ATATTTAAATATAATCTTTTTATCACTCGATTCAAATTTATTACAAATTTCTGCTTCTAATATAGAAGAACCCGTTTGAATGTGTTTGACCATTATGTAGTCCATTGGCAAATTCAGCTTATGACAAAATTTATTCAAAAAGTCTTTTAAATCGAAATCATTACAGTCTTTGCCAATGCCTACTTTTATGAATGTCGAAGCTAGTTCAATGTTACTATGGAAAACTTCAGGAGCAATTGATATCAACGATTCTTGTGTAAGATGATAATATTTTTTGCATTCTTGATAATAACTTTCTTCTTCGGATGATAATGGTTGTTTTGACAAGAATTTTTTTGTCGATAGATTATCTGCATCGTCTATTTTAGACATTAATAATATTACTGACAGAATAATAAATTTGATAGCTATAAAAAATCTTTCTATTAGCAATCTGTTATCTGATCTATAGTTAACACTTTTGATAAGGATAGATTCAGAATGTTTTCACTCATTTATTGATAGAATAGGGTGCCATCGCACAGTAGTCACAGTTATGTTTGATGATGGTCCAATATATTGTTAGAATTTTCAACTTTTTATATCATAAGTCTTCTATTGAAAGACTTTTGTGGTTCAAGTCTTAAAAAAATAGTTACCGATTGCTCGATAGATGCCATTTAATTTCTTTCTATACCGGTGCTTGCGTATTTGAATACTATTTTGACTTATGATTGTACAATCATTTTATGCATGTCTAATACACCTCTCAGTCAAATTGCTTAAGAGTAACTTCACTTGTGTGCCTTAAACACCAATAGAATCAAAAGGTCATCGAACCAAATCTTTTTTGAAAATTCTAAAGAATTAACTGGATAATTGATGAGCTCCGTTAAGCTCAATGTTGAATATATTACATGAATTTTTTCGGATTTACCTTTCGTAGGTACAATTAATCCATTAAAATATACTTGTTGGTGTCGTTGTAATTCATTCGCAGACAATGGTTTCTGTTGTTGATTACTTTCTTGGTATACATAGTTTGCTATGCTTCGAAATATTTCTGTAATATCAGCATTCTCTCCGGTGATGTTTTTCAAGAAATATTTGGTGAACGAGCAATTATGGCTCGTATCCAGTGCGTCATCTACTATTTGATTAGTACCACAAGCAAACTGAATGAGTACTACAGCACGTGCCCTCATCTCATGCAAATCTTTGCCTGTTGTCATAGCTAGAATGAGAAAAATATTGTTTTCATACAGTTATTAATTTGATTATTTGCACTTTGATTTTTGTGTCTTTTTCAACGTGTATGACTTACAACAGTCCAGAATAAATATAGTAGCATATGAAGGATTCTTCTCTACTAGTCGTTCGAGTGTTCTTTCAACGTTAGCTGCAATATCTTCTACATCTCTATCAGTTTCTATAGCTTCATCTTGAATCGGTATCAAATAGTTCTTGTCTTTGACTTGATAGCCATGACCAAAAAAGTAGAACAAGACTAGGTCACCATCTTTGATTGACTGTAGTTATTGTTAGCAATGATTAGAGCTAACTTTCGACGAGCAGATGTACTTTTGTTAGACGTTGCCATTTATTGTACAAATCTTAAATGATAAATTATCATTTTTCTTTTGGTGCTGATTTCTTAATCAAGAGAAAAATAAAATAAATCAGTCTCATCCTAGCTCACCCAGTCAAAAACTAAGTAATTTTACCCGTTTGTGAGGAATCCCGGCAAGATACCTCTAGAAAGGTGCTCCCCGGATAGTTGTTCCCCGGACTTTTGCTCCCCGAACACTTGCTATCCGGACATTTGCTCCCTAACTGTATTTAACAAAAATGTTGATCAGCAATAGATTAAGATATAAATTTATTTACTTGAGGGTATGGGTGTATCGGTGTGAGTGTGTCAGTGCAAGTATGGACAAATGGTTATCGTCTTCACTCACCCACACCTACACTGACACCCACACCCACACACCCACAAATAAACAAATTTATATCTTAATCTCGTGCTGATTAACATTTTTGATAAATACAGTTAGGGAGAAGGTGTCTCTCGGGAGCAAATGCATCTGGGGAGCAAAAATCCGGCGAACAAATGCCCCGGGGAGCATCTTGCCGTTTACCGTTTGTGAGATGTATTTTCATTTTAACTTTGATTATCTGGTGGAAAATCAAGATGGACTTGACTCCGCATTGTTTAATTTAATACTTGACTGTACTTTGTCAACGAAGATAACGATATGATTAAATGTCACCAAAAATATAACTACTAAGTATAAATATACGAATTTCATTTGTTCACGTCCGATCGTTACTTGTTACATTCGAATCAGCAGTCTTATGTTTTACATAAAGAGTATTGATATACAAAGAAATTTACATAGAAATACATCTGAGTGAAGATAAACTGTTTCACTTCCTTTTATTTATTGCTGTTGACTATTGACAAAAATCTTGGCAATTGTTGAGTGGATGTATTCAGACGATGAATTTTTTTCTCTCTTCAGCGGTTAAAAGAAAAACATAATGCATTCCTACCCTAAAAGGTTTCAATAAATTTCAATCATTATTGAAAACAAATATTATAAATAAAAATAAAAATAAAAATAAAAATAAAATCTTGCTTGCCAATCACTATCACAATCAGCAAGCACTTCTGAATCACAAAGCTAAATAATTTCAGTTAGTAATGGATGATCCTATGTTTGAAAACTTTGTAATGACACCTTCATGATACGGTTTACGAGTTCAATAGGTGAAAAAATTATTGAGATCTTATTTTTTTTGTGATCATTTCGAATTCTGTGTTCTATTTTTGCTTTTTACTTTAGAAAATATTGTATCAGTGCTCTATAGAATTGAATTTAACATTTTATAACTTTTTCATGAATATATGTTCACGTCAAAGATATCTCGAAAGAAATTAGAATTTGAAGAAATGCGTAAACAGATTTAGATTGGAACTTTTCTCATCAATAGCAAAAAGCAATCTAAGAAAAAAACTCTGAATTTTATTAAAGGAGTCTCTTGGGAAACTTCAGAAAGTTTTGAATAGGTTACAAATTAGATTTTTTGTAAAACCTGTTTTTAGTGTATAATTTCTCATAACAGTTAGCTATCTCACATAAAATGAGCTGTATATGCTACATATCAACTATTGTGATTGGGAAATAAAAAAATAGAATGCAAATGTAAAAACAAGATTGATTGTTTAAAATGGCAAAATAAATTGATGTTTAGGTTGCTCGATTTATATATTACAAGAAACATATGAATCAAATTAGCCGATCGAAATTGAAAATCATAAGAAAAAAACTGACATTTCTCTTCCAACACAAGAGTTCATTATTCACTACTTGTGTTTTGTCTTTCGTTCAGAAGTGCTCGTGCGTTGCGACATTGGCTGGTAAGCAAGATTTTACTTTTATGCTCGCTTTGAGTGATGATTGAAATTTATCGAAATCATTTTGGGGTAGTAGTGCGTCATGTTTTTCTCCTAACTGCTGAAGAGAGAAAAAAATCATCACCTGACTACATCCACTCAATAGTTTTCAACATTTTTGTTAATTGACAACAACAATAAGTAAAGCGAAATGAAACTGTTTATCTTTACTCTATTGTATTTCTATGTAAGTTACTTTGTATATCAATACTCTTTATGTGAAGAAAGACTACTGATTCGAATGTAATAAATTATGATAGAATGCAAACAAATAACATTCGCACACATGTATATATATTCTTTGTATTGTTGAATAAAATGTAATACTATAGATGATATTCCGGTTAAAAATTAACTTTTATCAGTATTATATCTCGAATAGTACAGTACCTGCAAGTAAAACAACTAATTCTTCCGATTGCTGAAAAAATTGTTTTACCAAATACGACGCTAGGGCAGATGGTCACGGGACACAACGTCGTGGACAAAATATCGCGGACAAAACGTTGCACGGGCAAAATGTTGCAAGGACAAATTGTCGCAGGACAAAACGTTGCAATGTCTCTCAGAGTTTAACATTGCTAATTTAGAAATCAATTCGAAGAATTTACACTATGAACTTTGATATTATAGTTCGTATCGTAGTGTCCAGAAATCTCCCAGTAAGGGTATCCACATGACTATACGTAAAGATATAAAAGATTCATAAACCAGAAATCAATCCGCATCCCGAACCAGTGACACGGCTACAGATATCGAGCACTCATGATAACACCCAGAACTTAAGCTTGACCGGAAAACTACCTTTCAAATCCAAGACGTGACAACCGCATCCGAGCAACAGCCTCAGCATCATCTACATCCACACCCTCACCCACACCTGCTTGCTGTCTTATGAACCTTTTATATCTTTATTTATAGTCATATGGATACCCCTACTGGGAGCTTTCTGAGCGCTACGATAGAAACTATAATATCAAAGTTCATAGTGTAAATTCTTCGAATTGATTTCCGGATTAGCAATTTTAAACTCTGAGAGACATTGCAACGTTTTGCCCTTGCAACGTTTTCTCTGCGTGACATTTCGTCCATGCGACATTGTGTCCACGATATTTTGTCCGCGACATTTTGCCCCGCGACCATCTTTCCGGTCATCCCAGATACATATGTATATGATGTAAAAACATCCCCTAGCTAAAATATTTTCTTCATAATACAAAGAGAAATAGTGAAAGATAAAAAGTTCAAGTTCAATATGCTTCCCTACCAGCTGATCAAAGTAAATATATAATCGTACTTAGCAGAGCATATAATAATAATAATAATAATAATAATATCAATCTCTTGATTTTCATTTATCTTCTGATTTTTATATAACGAAACAAAAACCTTGAAATAAGTGTTGAAATAAATGTTAGCGTTTGAAGCACTTTGACAACTTGTCGAAACGTACTTGTAGTCGTTTAGTGTGTATCTAGATTCGCTTAATAACTAAAACTCCGGTGAATTTTGAGAACTGATTACCAATTCTTATTTTATTCTTATTTTTAGATTTAACTCATAAATGGGAGCTTTCGAAAGATATCCATCACTGCGTCGGAAGTTAGCATTAATAATTGGTAATGATGAATACAACGAGTCATACAATAAACTGGAAAACGCTAAGAAGAATGCTAACGATCTGAGTGCTTCGCTGAAAACCATCAATTTTGATGTTGATACGCACGTTGATTTAACTAGACTTAACTTCCACAAGCATATTATTGAGTTTTCTAAGAAAATTGATGATGGCGATTTGATCCTATTCTATTTTGTTGGTCATGGGTTTCAATTCAATAATAAGAACTACTTAATACCAAGTGATGCAGAGATAGAAGTTGATAAGGATGTCGAACTCTTCGGGATTGACGTGCAACGAACACTGGAACGATTCTCTAGAAAGAATCGATCTTATGTTACTATATTTATTTTGGATTGCTGCAGACCTTATTTGTTGAAAAACACAGAAAAATTAAAAAGTAAGTATTGACATGAATAACTTTTTATAATTCAATATTTGATGCCATTTTCTCTGCAACGATAGCCAAAGGTCTGCACGCAATGAAGCCACCTTCCAACAAAGTATTCATTCAGTTTTCATGTGCTGCTAATCAAACAGATAAGAGAGTTTTCAAGTCAAACCAAAATTGCTTGTTCACTAAACACTTACTAAACAACATTACTCGAGAGAATGTTGGTATCACGGAAATATTTAGAAATATATCAAATAGTGTGTACTACGACAGCAAGCAACAACAGAAACCTTTATCTATATATGAACCGCATCGATTTGAACAAGTCTACATAAATACAATGCTAATATGTATGTAGAAAATCTAAGTTTAATTCTTTCATTATATTCGTATATTCATGAAATTTAATCGAATATATTTCATCACTATGCTTTTATTATGCATTACAATTCTATAATAATCATAATTCATTTGACTCAATACTTTTCGTAGTGCTACGAATCAATTCTTTCGTCGGTCCGTTTTCATTACTGTATACCACATTCTAATGAAACGATACTTTGTTAAATCCATTAACATAGGATTTTTGTTCTTCTTAATATAGTAACCTTGCAGTTTGATCAAGTCGAAAATAGGAATGAAATTTATTTCGTTATAAAAATCAAATCTTTGTATCCCCAGATAACAATCTTCACGAAGCAGAAGAATAAATGATGATGCATATCAATCTATCGATCAGTCTAGTCTAGCGAATTCATTTAGACTAGATTTACTATAAGCAAGGAAAATTTCTCTGGATTTTGTATAACTAATGTCATGTTTTATTTTTCAATTTAGTTATACCGAATATTCCACAAAATTCACACTGGGGACTCAATGCTTACACTGTTGCTGGTGGTCGTGGTCCTGGATCAACACTCAATAGACTCCACTTTCCTAAAGGTCTTTTTGTAGATCAAAATCAAGCTATTTTCATTGCTGATAGTTCGAATCATCGCATAATTAAATATAATCGACATGCAACCATCGGTCAAAGGCTATCTGGTCAACGCATAAGTGGATATCGATTGGGTCAATTGAACGGCCCTTCAAACGTAATTTTCGATATAAATTCGAAAAGTTATATTATCTGCGACGATCATAATCGACGAGTGTTACGATATTTTCGTAGAAGTAAACCTTATGTGATAACAATTGCTGAAAATATTCAATGCTATGGAGTGGCGATGGACAATGAAGGATCAATTTATGTTTCAAACGCCGAACGACATGAAGTGAGACGATATGGAGCAGATGAACCTCATGGAGTAGTGGTAGCAGGTGGCAATGGACAAGGTCGTCGCCTTCAACAACTCAGTCATCCAACATACATTTTTGTTGATAAAGATCAATCTGTGTATGTATCAGATTCTTGGAATGATAGAGTAATTAAATGGAGTAAAGACGCGAAAGAAGGTGTTATTGTTGCTGGTGGTCGAGGACAAGGAAGTAATCGAACACAACTGAATAATCCAACAGGAATCGTCGTAGATCGATTGGGTACAGTCTACGTAGCCGATCAGAGAAATAATCGAGTGATGCGATGGTACGATAGTGCATCCTATGGTGATGTTATTGCCGGTGGACTCATTCCAGGAGATCATGCAAATCAATTGAATAAGCCTGAAGGTTTAGCATTTGATCGACTTGGCAATCTTTATGTAGCCGATTCTAGTAATCATCGAATTCAATTATTTAGAATTCTGACTATCTAATAGCGTGTGTGTGTATTTTCTTTGTTTTGTTGCGAATGAAATCGAAAAGCAACCTGCAGCAATCAGTTCATTGATTGACAGTAACTGTTAAAATAATAGCAACAATTAATATCGGCATGTTCATTTTTTTCAAATATAATAAATTAATCTGTTCTTCCACTTTGCCAACAAGTTAATATCACACATGCTAATAAAAATCATAATAAAATTGTTACATATTATAATGCAGTACTCGAAGAGATTTATTTTCTTCTCATTGTTTGCAATGACCATGTTCTACCTCTTGTGATAAATATATCAATTTTTATTGCATATTTATTTAGGCTATAATATACTGAATTACTATGAATTATAATTGTTAATCTAATTCAATGCGTGCTTTTTTTCTATGTGGATATTTGTCTTGAAAACTTCCTATGAAATAAATTAATGGGTACAATAGCTATTCGTTTTTTAAAAATAGTTTTGGTAAATTGAGCAGCATATACCGAAAATGTTTTATAATATGAGAATAAAATTTGAAAGCGGTCACTTACGTCAATAAATATTATTTTAATGGATAAAGATGGTAAGTATATAACAGAATCATCTCGAAAGAGACTTCGATTCTTTCTTGTCTGCTTAAAATTTTCTAAAAATGTTCGTCCCACGCGGAGCTCTGATACACAATCAAGATGATATATGCTTGGCTTTGATATTATATATATTGTATATCGGCTTGTCCACGTAACACGCTACTTCGCTGACCAAGTTTCAAAAAAATTGTTTTTCGATATGGACAGCTCTAAGCGTATCTTTTAGTGCAGTTTTTTACGCTGATTAAGAATTTGGACCTTTTTTCTCAAAAAATTGACCTTTGGCATTGAAAACCGGGTTTTCAAGTTTTCAAAAATCGTATTTTCAATTTTCTAACCAAGAAATTTAAAACAAAAATGCAGACTAACATACCATTCGATGTAGAATATGATTCTCTACAAAATGGTCTGTTTATTTTTTACTCTCATTCCTCAGGACAGCTTCTAAGCTCTTGTATACAGTTTCTAACTTACGGTGCAATTATTGAGCTCCTATTTCAATGCAGCAACTTGATATTTTTACAGAAGGATATATGTACGGCAGTGATCAATACACATACACATTCAAAATTTTTAAGCATGTTAACTGCTTCAAATTTTATCGACAAGAAAAACGTGTCACCGCGTTACGTTTGGACAAGCCGATATACCGATATGAAAAATCTCTTGATGTGATTCTGTTTCTGAGCAGTTCTTTTCAGAGATTTTTGAAGTGTAATTGAGCTCGATGAAGAATATTGATTCTATTTATTTTGATAGGAAATCCTTAATAGCTTATGACGACTGGAGTACTATTTGGTGTATCACCGAGGTTTCTTAACCAAAATGTTATACGATAGGGTTGTCCAACTTTCGTATCAAGTATTTGATTAAGATAATTAGGTAAATTTACAGCACCACCACAAAAAGAATGTTGACCATTATATGTATGTGCTGAATCTAAGACTAATGCCATATGAATTACATAAGAAAAAGCCATCAGATGGATTATTTTCGAAATTTCCATCTGTCACCCATTCTACGCTTGCCGATGTATCTATAACTGGCACACCATAAAGATACCAGTACGAAGCGTCGTGTCGAAAAGCAAAAGTTAGAATTATTCGATTCGAAATAGGCTTATATAATTTTGAATAATACGTGTAATTAAATGGTGGTACCTTATTCCAAGAAAATAATGAAATAACATTTGATAGAGTACAATCATTTGGTAGGTTGTAAATTGTCAAGAGATGAATATAGTTATTGGAATGTTTGGCAGAAGTAGAAACTAGAAATAAAGCTTTGTTGAGATTAAATTTTTTTCACGTTTTTAAATTCAAAATGATCTCATTTATTTTATACGTTAATATAATCTGACCTTGAAATAGGTCAAATTGTTTTGAAATACTCAATTATCCGCAAAAATAAGGTAGTAAACAGCATTACCGTTAATACATTTGAGAAAGTTCAAAAATACAAAGAAACTTTTGTGCTTCTGAATATATTATTGATCTATAGTCTTGAAGCTTACTTTCAGATATCAAATTCGATTGAACGAGAAATAAAATGAGTATTGTTGCAATTATTAAAGGAATAGTAATAAGACTGATAGTCATAATTGTCAGTAGTATACGTTTGATATTACAGTATTGCTTACAAGACTTTTGTTGGTTAGTATGTATTTCAAATTGAGTCATTGGTGAGGATCCTATTGGTGCTGTGTTGTTTTGACATGCATATCTCACAGCATTAGATTGATAAAGTTGACATTGTTGTTTGGCAAAATATTCTGAACGAAGATCAGCGATATTCAATGGTTCACGTGTTAAAGGACTCGTTCCTTTTTGTTGAATCCATCGAATAATAAATAGCAGCTCGTTCATAAACATAACCATCGGCAGCAAGTACAGGATCTTCATGGACATCCAGTGTGATTGGACAAATAAAATCATCACCGTGTGCTACTATAGGAGAACTTGACGTCTTTTTCATAGTTATTAATATATGTTTCGTAGTCGACAATCAAAGTATCGTTAGCTATTAAGTATTAAAAAAAGAGAAAAAGTGGGCATGTGAAGTTTTTATTTGTATTGTACATCCGATTTTTCCATTCTTCTTCTCTAATTTTTACGACAAAAAGTTTAACGAGAAAAAAAATGTGAAAGGAAACAATGAAGTGCATATATCATTGATTAATTCTGTGCCATTTTTTTTTATTTTAAATTTCGAATTACTTTCACTCAGACATGTCAATCCTTTTTAGTGTTACTCTTACACTTGCTTTTAAAATCGATGTTCATACTTGTTGACAGACATGCTAACAATAAAATAATACATCATATGTTACCATCTCCGCCGCTTCTCATATTGAACTTGCAAGCGCAAGAGTTTCTATTTCAATCAAGGCTATAGCTATAAATAAATTCAATTATTGTCATTGGATAATGTATATACGTATAAATCGAGAAATTATTTGTTTTTAATCATTTCTATTAATATCGAAGTACTTCAATGTTATCGTCAGCGTGTTTGTATCTTTCAAAAAAAGAAGATGAAGTTCTATCGTTACCTGCATTTTATAAGTAAATGAAAACTTTCAAAAACAATTCATATTGTATCAGTACTACTGAATAAATAAATGGCTCGAATAATTTTATGCTCGATTTAAAATAAGGATTTATTTCTAAGATTCTATGAATAATTAGTAAGGTTTTCTTTGTGTATGCTTGAAAGTTGAAATCTTAAAATTTCTATATTGATAGATAGGCAGTATTTGCTGACATTTCATGACAAAGCTTTAGTGTCCTGTTAATGACTTGATAAAAAAGACTAACTGATAAGATTCTTTTCATTGTATTCTACTTACTGACAGATGAAAAATGGACACCCAAGTGAAACAACGTGTATGTGGTCTCTTAGGAGGCATAGCTTACGCTTCAACAGCTGATGTAAGTTAATAAGTTAATAATAATTTTTTAATGTTTTCTTTTTCACAACAAAAAATAGTATTACAATCAAATGAATCAATTAGTTAGTAAATTTTTACCCGGCCATTGTAGTCGTATTCATATTGTTTCGGTTGATATTTTTCAATATATTGAAACACTCAATAATAGTCAATGGGCTGAAGCAGCTGAATATCTTCTTGAAGGTGTTCATCAATTAGTAAAAAGTGGAATTGATTTCTTACTTATTTGTTCAAATACTGGTAAATACTTGAAGGAAATTCCTTTGTTTTGTTTTTTGTCAGCAATCAATGTTTTGTAGGTCATATTGCTGCACCACGAATATTGGAATATTACCCTAAACTCGTTCTACTTCATATAAGTGACGCTGTGGCATTTGCAATTAAAGAAAAAAAATTGAAAAAAGTACAATTAAAAAACATTTGAAATCAAAGTAAATCTCGTGAATTACTTCTAGGTAGGATTTTTTGGATCAAAATTTGCTATGGTATCCAGTAGCTGCGTAGTTGAACGTTTGATTCAACATGGGTTAGAAATCGTATTTCCAAATAACGATGATATGGAACGCGTACATCAAATAATTGTTGATGAATTAACAATTAATGTAATTACTGAAGAATCAAAACAATTTTATAGGAATGCTATGCAACGTTTATATGATGAACAGCAAGTGGAAGGAATTGTTCTTGGATGTACTGGTAAAATGACTATTTCACTTTTATTTTCCTTTGAATAAGTTTTATCTTCACTATTTTCTTTTTAGAAATTCCTCTGCTCGTGAAGCAAACTGATCTTCCTCACATTCCTTTATTCGATTCAACACAACTACATGTAATTAAAAGAGTTCTTTTTAATTTTCGATGTGATATTTGTTTCTTTTTTTGTTTGGTTTGATCCATTAGGCTCAATTAGCGGTCGATTACCAACTCGGTCGATATGATATTGATTCATTTTTACCACCAAACATTAAAAAAGTAGAATGAATGATTTTTCTTTTAAGTTAACATTATTTTTCTACAGCCTTGTTTATCAGCAGGTACTATTGTGATGATATCTTTCGATTTAATATAATAACTAGCAAACCAATTTGTTTGTTTTCCAATATTTTTTAATGCATGACATTTGTCAGCTGTAAATTTAAGAGCAACAATACCCATTTTAGATATATCATATTGATAGTCTTCATATAGGTTTGTATCACCATCGCCAACACGAAATAGAAATTGACCTTGAAGTAGGATAATTACTTCGCCTGTGAGACTATTTTCAGCATCTTTATGTCGATGATTGCCTCGCACAGCATTGCTTTTTATTGAAACAAAATGAGACGGTTGATCACGAGGTGGTACATAGAGTATACCTTGACTTTCATTGTAATATAGTTGGGAAGAAATATTGAGATAAGTAAATAAAGATGATTGTGGAAGACGAAGTGTATCAGCAAGGGCTTGTTCAGGGAATGAATCAGATCGCAAAAGCCAATAGATAAGTACAAAAACAGTTGATAATACTATAACTAAGTAAATACTATGTGTACTTGTCGATGACGGTACTTTATTCTTGTGCATCTTATTATTTCGAAATGAGGGAGAAAAATGATTAACTATATACTTTTAGCTCAAACTGATATATGTACATTATCACATAGATGAATCATGTTATATCTGTATATCAAGAATGAAGGATGAAATATATTTATTCGTTTTCTAAACAAGAAATAAGACTCGCTATTTATTCTACCAGTTGTAACTCAATCAATAATGGTAAAGGTAAAAGGTTTGTTGAAGCATAGATGGCAGCCCATAGCTGCCAGCTATGAGTAGTGACTTTAAAAATCAATATGAATATAGCTGAATCTTTATTTAGAAAAAATGCATTTCCATGATGATAATACATAGGAGTTTTAATCACACTGATTGATTATATTTTACATGATGAGAGTGCTTACAGTTTAGTTGAATTAAAAAATAACATTACTATATTTCATGTCAAATTTTTAATAATTACGAATCATCATGATTTCAAATCTCTGTTTATTCTTTGAGAAAACAAATGTTTATATACGCACACGAAAGCAGAGACAAGAAAATAGAGAGAAACGAAAAGACAACAGAAAAGAGAGTTTACTAGATAGAATAATCATTAGAGAATCTAGTGATCAGATTCTATTTAAAAAAAAGAAACATTTACTAGCTAGAGTGAGCTTGAGAGGATCTGATGACCAAATTGTATTTTTTTTTTGAAAAGAAACGTTTTCCAGTTGGATATATTTAATGAGTGATGTGTTCAAGTATAGACATGCCTACACCTCGCAGTCATATTCTTTAAAAAGTCCCGATTTGGTTACCAGAACTAGTTTAATTTTTAATTGTCCACAAATGTGGACTTGATTTAGGAGCCGATCCAGGGAACCACAATTTGTGGGAAATGATAACCTACCAATATTTTAGTTGATTTTATTCGATTCACAGGTTTAGTATTACAAATAGATGTATTTGAAATACTGTAATTAGGATTGAATTATTCTATATTTTGTTCTTTCAAATATTTTGATCATATATTTACGTATCTATCTCTATTTGTTATTCTTTTTATTCATTGATATTTCCTTTCATTTTACTCAACACGAGACTTTTTTCATTGCTCGACTTGATGATTATTCTTATCAATCAAATACGATTGAAATTTATTTGAAAATGAATCACAATTCAACTTGCAACGAAGGAAATACTAACGAAAAAATATTCTGTTTGTGTTCTTTTGCAAGTCTGCTTGCTCGCTAAACTGGTTTCTAGTAAATCTTACAAGTTTTCTTTTTGATAGAACTTCGGCATCAGAAACTGAAATACTTATGAAATTATAATTTTTTTCAAAAGTATCACAAAAGATGAGATTCTCAAACTCATGGTTAAATTCAAAAAAAAACTATCGATAAAATCAAATTCTTGTAAAGTTCCATCCAATAAGGAATCGTTGTTGTACAGGAATATCTGAAAACCAAGTGCATTATGTTTTAGGAACATGGTGAGATATCAAATAGATTAAATTAATTAGCTTGTCTATAAACAGATAGAATATCAGTGTTGAGTAAAATGAAGGTAATAAATTTTATTTTAATTATTTGAGAATAATTCAGTATAAAACAATATCAAAACAATCAATAATTCCACATTGTTATATAGTTATTGAAATAAACTGATATTATCAATTAAATTAAACATTAGTATTATAAAGAGTTCATGCAAAGCAAATAAAAATACAGCTGTCTTTCTAATATATCATTGTCAATGAATATAATAACATACTGTTTATTTTATTAAAAGATTATCGTTTGATGTCTAGAGTAGAATTGCATCGAAATTCTTCTGTATTCGTTTATTTTTAGTATTAGCTGTGAAACAAAAGGTCAAACAAGCTGTCGTACTAGTAATAGTAATATAGCTACTCTTATTCAAGAAAATTTTTCTTATAGGGAATACGATGCATCTAGAAAATTTGTATATTCATCGATGTAACTGTATCGAAAAGTATTCTATCTATTATGTATCGTATCTAGAAGTAATTGAGCAAGACTACAGCTCTGTGATGTGTTACTTCTATATAGATTACATGTATGAATAGATACTTGAAATTAAGATTAAGAAAGATAGCAATATTATTAAATATACAATGTTGGAACAATGTATTGTGAAACTTTATTAATTCCTATATATTTATATATATATATATATAGATGAGAACTAGAAGTCAACATTTGTTTCGATAAAATATGCTAGAATCATATTCTTCGACTACAGCATATCGACAAATTCTATCGTAAGAAATAAAAGAAAGCCTTGTTCAGTTTCACAAATACGTATTGAAATAAAAGATTTTTTTTTCGTAGTTTGCTTCAAATTTGTTCATCGTTGATTAAAGACTATATTTTTCACACTTAGTAAAAAAAATGTTTTCAACATTGAAATTATTATGATGAGTGAATGAGTTGTGCTTGATTAGTTTTATCATTATCAAAAGCGTTGAAGCTAAAAAAATTCAAACTTGTTTCTTTTCACACTTGTTTCTCTAAATATTTTCCACCACTGAATGTTTGTATGCACTTCTCTCCTCTTTTCAACACCATCAGCGATATTAACCAACATCCAAATAACAGTAGAAAAGTGTTATTAGTAGCCATTTTTCATCGCTTCGCATTATTATTCTTTTGCATATCATTCATATCCTAGATCGTCGTTCGAATACACATGCTCTCTTCTTTCCCTTGTTGTATTTGACATATATATATATATATATATATATTCTCGAGATGGTGTTCCTTTATATGTATATTGAAGGCATAGAGATGAATGAACATGTGATGAACAAATTTTCTCTTTTATTCTCTTCCTTCTTTATTTCTCTTTCGTTTGCTGGCCGATGAACGAACAACACAACGGTAGACGAGAGAAGAGTGAGAGCGAACAAATCGCCTTCGCCGCCGCTGTTTTGTTTGTTCTCAGGATCAACACAAAAGCGCGCTATGTTGTACACTAAAGGCGAACTGAAGGTCAGCACACGCGAGAGAAAATGAGAGAATGTACGTTGGTCAGTTTTGATGTGTGGCCGCAGTTTCTCTTTCTCTCTTCTCTCTTCTCTCTCCTTGTCTGTGTTTTTTCCTTTTTCAGTAATACAACGCGAAGGCCATTGCATCGCCGTTCAAAGTGAACAAGCCGCTCTGCTGTCCATAGCTCCGCCCGATAGTGTCACAAATTTTCAACGATTCGATCTAATATATAGAAAAAAATCGATTCACACTTCCATCGTACGTATGTAATATAAAGAGATAATCTGATTATTTTCGCTTCGCTTTATTTCAATTCATAGAAATATTATATTTCTTTTTGTTCTTATATGGGAAATTTATTGTTTATTATATATGTGCATGTTCCTCTCGAAGACTAACCTTGCGTCTTCGCTTTTGCTACTGTGAAATAGAACATACAATCACGACAAATATATATTGAAGAAACAAAAAAAAAAAGAAGGAAACCTCGATGGCTATGATCATCATCACCTCTCTTACTCGATCAATCACAAAATAACGTCCCGATGGGTGTTCATCACACTAGGAGAAAAATAAGATTTACGAGCAGTCGATGTCTATTACACCATCAGTAACGGTCATTACTTAAGTTAGCCCTCTGATAGAAGAAAACTATCATTGATATTTGCGATTAGAAGTTTGAAAACTTTCATAAATAGTTTTCAATGTTTTCTTTTTTTTCTTTATTGTATATTTTTATTAGAGTATCTGATTACTAAGCAAGTACATTGTAAATGCTCACGAACGCAAGCAGACGATAAATTTCCATTTGAGATATCATCAAAAGATTGAAATATTGTCACACGCATGGAATCTCATTTTAAGTTTTTTTTCTCTCTCGAAACTATCAACAAAACGATAGATATAATGTGGAACAATATATATATATATATTCTTGTTTGAAGTTTAACCGACCACAACAAAAAGCCTTTTACTTTACATAAAAGACAAGAAAAAAATACCGACCAACAAAGAAGTTGATGCGCATAATTGATCTCTGCTCATACTCATTCATTTTAATCTCGTTTCTTCGTTCTATTACTTAGTATTTTATACTTGCCTATCGTACCTGACAATCATCAATACGTACACACATCGGATGACAGTCAAAAGGTACAAGTGACCATGCCGACAAGTCTTCTTTTGGCTCCAACGCAAATGGTAAGTTTTAATATTTATATATATATATATATTATATTGTACGTAATATTTTTTTCCCATATTTTTTCTCTATATTTTTTTTATAAAAAACACACATTGAGGAAAACCAGAGAGTGGAAACAAGAGAGCGCGCAACAGCGAAAGAGAGAGAGAGAGAGAGAGGGGAGGGGGAGGAGGGAGAAAACGATGCCGCTCTCTGACTAAGTCTCTTTCGCTCTCTTTGTTCATTTGTTGAACAAAAGTTGTCTATAGGTCTCCTTTTACTTTTAATCAAAAATTCCGCCTGCTTTGTTGTTTAACAGAGTAAAACTGATTTATCATCATCATCACCAGCTACAACACTCGATCTCTCTATCAAATCATCATCTACTAAACTATCTAAATCATCTGAACGACAAATGTCGTCGTCGTCATCATCATCATCATCATCATCGTCGTCGCCGTCGTTGTCATCATCATCAACAACGATAGCAAAAACAACAACAGTGCACAAATCTTTATCACCATCGAAAGTTCCGACACCGACAACTGATCCTGGTGGGGGTTCAACAACAGATAGTGACGAAGTAAAAGTATTTGGATGTGAAAAACATGAAGAAGATGTTGATGTCGATGGTGATTCTAGTAGCGATCGACTTTCACCCGTTGTTAAAGAAGAAGAGGTAAGACATACAAATTTTAAATGAACAATATTTAAAAGTTTTAATTATAGTCGTTACCACAACAAGGACTATCAACAAGTCTTGGAGGTAAAGGTTTTCTTAGTGTTCTCTCTCTGTTCATTATGTCTATATATTTATATTTACATTTTACAGATCGTTTGAACAGTGAACATCAATTCCACAGCTTTTTTCCATATTTCATTTCTCCTTATTATCATGCAGCGGCAGCAGTCAGTAATGCTACAACACCTTTCGTAAGTTTTCATTTGTTGGTTTTTTCAGAGAAATTAATATTTTTTGAGCATATATTCGATGATCGAAAGCAGGTGTCCGATGGATAGGACGATTGCGTGTAGTTCCACCCTCACACAAATTCAATAGTATATATATATATATATGATCGATCAGTAATTTCCCACACACACACACACTCTCTCTCTCTTACTCTTCATGATCATCTACGAAGGAAAATCATTAGCGATCGATTGTATGTGTTAAAGTTGCTTCCACTTCAGATTGATCGCGCGGGACAGACGGACAAGATTTATCTCTTGACTGTTTCTAATTAACATTTGTGCAACTCTTCTTCCTCATCCTACTAGTGCAGATGATTAGAATAAGAGAACAAGCAAAGCGTTTGCAAGCTAATTCGTCATTGTAACGAGACAAGACCGGAACATGACCGATCCTACCTTGTCTGTCTATATGATGAAAATGATCTGATTAGCCTGAAATCAAGACGATGAACTATGCTTTGTTTGTACTACATAGTAAAAAGTAAAATGGAAAATAGATAATTTCATACTATTAGAGAATTTGTTCGGCGGAAAATGGGGAGAGGGAGGAGTTAGAAAATTAATCGAGTGAATGTTTTTAATATGTCCGTTTTGGATATGAAAAGTAAAGATCAAGAGCTCAACATGCACGAATGAACAAAAGTGGCCACTTTAAAATTAAACATTTCAGCTGTTTCATTGACATGATCTTAATAAAGAATTCGAATGATAATTAGATAGTTTTTGTTATGCACTCAAATTTTATTTTGAATGATTAAATATTTCTTTAATATATATCTGTTTTGAAGGATAAAATGGCTCCATTGGGTTCTTTATCAAAGTTTATGTCACCACCTCCTGCTCATATGTCTAGTACTAATCTAGGCATTGATCCAAATACAGGTAAGCGAATCAATCTTTTATTTGAAAACATTCTCATTCACTTTTTTCCAACTCATAATAAATCTATATATATATATTCTCTAATTGTTTAATGATGAGGTGAAGTTGTTCGCACTTGAGCTCTTCACATTTCTAGATATATAGAAGAATAGCGAAAAAAAGGTTAGTCATTTATTATAAATTTTTCATGACGTTGCTGTTTAAAACAAATGCCTTTGCAATACACACGTCAGTGACACTCGCAAATGGATGTGAATCAATTACTAGTCAACTTTCGTCCATTACTATAGACTAGAAAGCCGAGAGGGCGATGCAATGAAAGGAGGAAAAGGAAATACATTTAGTACTTCATTAAATAAATCTTTTTTTCTTTCTTTTCTCATCATCGTTCGCACGTCTCGAGTCTTCTCCGAAAGTCGATCAATCGCAATTCACTATTGAAAATACGAGAAAAAGGTGGGCAAATATGAGCAAACAAGCGAATGTGTGCTTGAGCTCGTTCATGCGATGCTAATCGACATACATGTCGAACGATGACATGTAACAAAGTGGAAAATGATCTTATTAACGAGACACAAGACAATGAATGAGAACGAAAGAATAAAAGACAATGTTCAATGTAATGTGTCAGAGCATCCATTGCACCGAGCAGAATCTCGATGCAATAATTACTGTTATAGTTACACAATATAAAGCCGAAGATAATAGTTTTCTATTTTTGAAAACAACAATAGAATCTAAAAAAAATTAATGCGCACATTATTTCTGTCTTTATTTTCTAACAGATCTGTTAGAATTCAGCAACTTAGAAGAGTAAATTCAATAAATATAATATTGATATCAAATTGTTAAGATTTTATCATTAATATCTGTTAGTAATTAACTAAAAAATAATTAATCATTATTCATTTTTTAAGTGAATTGAATCTTTCACAACACAAAACTGTTCATACTTATCGCATTGAAAAGAGACTTTATTTTGATCTACATTGACATATTTTTTGTTTTTTATTATTTATATATTTTTCTTTTGAAAATTGAATATCAACTAGAATATTATTTTGATGTAGACCAATAGAGAATTTTGTTGCATTCATTTTCAACAAATTATACTATCTAAACGCAACATATATAAAAACTAATTGCGGATGTTAAATTGAAAATTAAATATCATTTGTATCGGATCAATCATCATTTCAACTATTGTTTTATATCTCATCAAGATCAATATTACAACTAGATACCTATGAACAATGCATTTTCATACGAGACTTAAACATCTAACTAGACTATAACTACTAATTCAACTATTCCGATTAGTACGATAGTTTTTATTTACAGATAGTCAATTGTTTTGTGAAAAGTTTCAAAAACAAAACTGTTCTGATTATAACGACATCATTTGATTACTTAAATAAAAAAAGCTAAGATTCTCAATTTAATATATACATATATATTTGCTTATTCAGGTGTTCCTAATTCAATGTATCCATTATCATCGCCATCTTCTTTTCAATCACTTTATGCTCAGCATTGGTTCGTTTATTCTTTAATACATTTCTAAATATTTATTTTCTTTTTCTTAACTCCAGGCGTTCACCTATGTTTCCATTTGTATTTCCGCCTGGATATCCATTTTCTCCAGGTGTTCTTTCTCAAGGTTCACCGTCAACACATACCATCAGTGGACATTCATCATCAATAACAAACCAAAGCAACCAGTCGTTATCACAAAAGCGATCAACAACACATAGGTATGTTTATATGAAAACAAAATCTAGATTTTATAATTGCATTGGTTCCAATAAAGATCCATGGATAACAGTCCACAAGATCATCATCATCATCATCATCATAAACTTTCAATGTCTCATGAAGATAATAAAGCAAAGAAGGCTCATATTAAAAAACCATTGAATGCTTTTATGTTATTTATGAAAGAACAACGAGCTCAAGTTGTACAAGAATGTACTTTACGTGAAAGTGCAGCAATAAATCAAATTCTTGGCCGAAAAGTATAATATTAAAGCAAAAACCAAGGAATTTTTCTCATCATTACTAAAAATTTGTTTTTTCTTCATAGTGGCATGAACTTGATCGAAATGTTCAACAAAAATACTATGATATGGCACGAGATGAACGTATGAAACATATGCAACTGTATCCAGGATGGTCAGCTCGAGATAATTATGGTTCAAGAAAAAAGCGTGGCACTAAAGGGAAAAAAAGAGAAAAAAGTCAAGGTGAAAATGGAGGTATGATGACAAATTATTATTAAAGTTATTGATCTTCGTTCTTTTTTAAATTTTATTTAGAATGTCTCAATCAGAAAAAATGTCGAGCAAGATTTGGTCTTGATCAACAATCGAATTGGTGTAAACATTGCAAGTATGTATTAGTTAACAAATAGTACAAAAGACATTTAAAATCCATTGTCTTTTCTAGACGAAAGAAAAAATGTCTTCGTTATACAGAAGATGAAACAGCTTGTGAAGGACCTAATTCTGTTGGTGGTGGTTCATGGAGTGAAGACGATGATCCTGATAATATTGATGATTCAGGAGATATTATTGATCATTGTGGTACGCCAATGATGGAACATCCAGACGGAAGAAATACTCATGATACGATTGAAGGTAATCATTCACCTCATCATGGTGGAATATCCATTGATTCCGATGAAGAAAATAAGTCACGTATATTAATGCACCAACAACCACCAAATTCAAACGGTAGTGGTTCATCTTCATCGACAAATGGTGCCGTGCCAATGGCAATCATGACTGCAACAACATCATCATCATCAAGAAAAGACTCATCATCATCATCTTCATCACCACAAACTTCGCTTCTTCATCCTTCGTATCATCGATATTCAATAGGGCCAACAGGACCTCATTTTCCTTCACCTCATCATCATAATATGTATTTTGATTCATTTTTACAACCAACATCGATGTCTCTTGTAAATGGACTTAAACGAGAGATATAGTTTATTTATATTTCTGTCTTTATCTCTCGCTATTTATTCTTTCTAGTCAGTATCCGAGGTGATCGTTCTGATTGCAATACATGTATAATCTCGTCTTTACCATTCATGTTTCTTTTTCTATTTGTATCTTTATTTTTCCGCATTTCAAGCCTTTGTTCATTATAGATTTTCTCGTTTTTCCATGTTATACATGCATCATACTCTGACTCTTTAAACGTTTATATATGTAAATCATTTTCGACTGTTTTTTCTTGTGGATCATTCGTACAGAGTTCATATTTAATGAGGAGAAGAAAAGAAAGAAACAATCGATAATCGTTCATCTTATAGTATCACATTACAGACATGTGTATTTGTGTAGGGATCAAATAGAAAATTGCTAGGATGATAGGTAGCTGATTTTCTTTATTGTTTGTAATCAGAATAGATTATCGTATGAAATCGTTTTGTTTCGTATTATTAAAGTTTTGATTTAAATTCAGAATAATACAACGCGAATAGACTATATCATCAATGAAAATATTTTACTAAAGAAATAGTCAATACTTTGCTCGAGTATGATTATAATTTCTAAGCATCGAATACGAATCAGAATATAGGATGGATTCCAAATATGAGTTCAAAAATATTTCTTTTACTTCTAGTTTAGAATTGATTAATCAATCTTTTAGAGATGCTTTGTTTGAAACATTTTTTTCAGTAAAGTCATGCATAATCAATTAGTTTAATAAAACTCATAAACAAACAGTCACGTATCAATCTTCTGGATTTTTTCTAGATAACACACTTAGAGAATATTTGCTACGACTGTATACTTTATAATTCAAGAGCTGCCTGGCGGTCGTAATCTGAAAAGAAGCTAACAGATGTTGAAATATTTCCAATATAATGTCCCAGCGGTATATTTCAACAGTACTTGTTTTTTTTATAAAAATAAATAGAAGAGCTTTGTATTATTTTTTCGTTTTCGAAAGGGACAATTCTGATTATTAGAAAATCGATTGTATCTCGTTCATTGAGTCTCAATAAGAAATTCTTTATTTTCATTTGTAAAAGCAAACTTGAAATTGTCTCTTTCTTCTGAAAACTATATCGGTGAGATGTCTTCTTCAAATCAAAATCAATGTTAGTTGTTTATCATGTGGTATTGTATGAAAATTGGATATACTAATCTTGTTCGTCAAAAATCATCTATTCATTCTCTTGACATTGAAACTTTTGCGATCAATTGTTTTAAAAATTTATGAAATATACAACCGAAATTAAAAATCTTAGATGATGCAGAAAACTACGCAATAATAATTCTATACTTTTTAGTATATGGTATGTATGATTTAATACTTGAATTTGTCGACTTGCTTTATTACATAAACTTGCATTGAATCACAACTGATGATTTTTATTTTAAAATCAATGTCGAGCAGAGTGAGAGAGAGAGAGAGAAAGAGAGAGCCAAATTATATAGAAAGATGAGTTTAATATTGCAATGTTATGTCAAGAGTAATTGGTATAATATGTTGCTTGTCTTGCGAAGGAATCGGCTGCTTTGATGATTGAGGGTTTTGTAGATTATTCATATTCGATCGCATATTATCTAATTCTTGTTTCAAAACTTGACATTCATATTCAGCTTGTTGTCGAAGCTATCATTAAAAAGAAAACAATTATTATGTTTAATTACTATTTTAAAATATTTCCCTATACTTTAGTGCTATTATTTAGACGAATCTTAACTTGCTCAAGTTGAGTATTAAGATCTGATTGATCGTTCTAACAATAGAAAAGATATATCAATTACGAATAAAAAATATTCATCTGATCTATATTTTATATTCAGACCAATGATGTTCGACCTCGTTCTTCAAGCGCAGCTGTTTTTTTCTTTTCCATCTGATATCTTTGTTTCCACAACTCTCTTTCTAAGATAACCAAAACAAAAGAAGAATCGAAAAATTAACCGATCAGCATATATATGTATTTCAAACCTTCTTTTCGATGAACACCAATCTGATCATGTAACTGTTGCATTTGACGAATAATTGTTTCACGTGTTGCTTCCAATGCAGTACGCTTTTTTTTCAATTCTTCAAGATGATCTGCGAGTTTTACAACTATAAAAAATAAACTATATTGAAATCGCTTGTCGTTATAAAAACCAATTAAGTCACCATCATGAGCATTTATTTCTTCAGCATGTTCTTTTTCAGCATTACGACGAGCTAAGTCACGTGCTTCTTTTTGTAAACGTTCAATATCATTAGCAGCCTGTCTGAAAGAAGAAAAGCCAAAAGACTGACTGGCATCCGATTTTTTCGTGGAGACTTTTTCGTTTTTAATAGACGATATAGCTGGCCATTGAAGTTTATTTCGCCATGCTCGATATCTCTCTAATAGTATTGAGTGTGTATCTCTCTGTTTACTCGACGATTGTATTAGTTGTTTTTCTGGTTCAGGTGACCACAATCCCCGAGAATTAACAAAATTAGATATTCTGAAACGCATTTATATATATAGAGATAGATATAGATATATTTTTCGAGTCTTTTTTTTCTGTCTTTCTATCACAAGCGCTGAGAAAGTACAACAGTAGCAATAACAAGAACTAGTCAAAACAACATTAAATTCGTGCATTGTCATCATTCAAGATTTTGTTGTTGTCATTTACGATGTGTCCCATAGACTCGTTGGATGATCCGAGCGGTTGCATCGCGTCTCTGTGAAGGGAATAAGACTTAATGTGAGTTATAAATATATATATATATATATGTATATATGCAATATATGTTGTTGTTGTTTTTTTTTTTTTTTTATATATATAGCAATGTTTAGGGAAGTAAAATATGTGATTATTTTGTAAATAGAAGCAAGTGTAAAAACAAGCACAATTGACGTTGAAATGTGCTTCATTTAAAAAGTGATTGCACACTCATCATCAACAACAACAATCGGATAACATATGTGAAGTAGAAAAAAAACCGACTATTTATACAACCTTTGATTATCATGATGTACATTGTCTTCATTGCTGAAGTATGCACGAAGTATTTTTAATATAATTTTCAACCAATAACCAAACAAGAGAGAAACAAGTAATTGTAACTTACTGCTGTTTTTGTTTTTGTTTTAATTTACGTCGATTTTGATATTTTCGATAAGCTCTTTGAATTTGAGTAGCTGCTTCATTTTCTTGTCTTTGCTGTTCTCTCGTTAGCTTTTCTTGTTTTTCAAGTAATTCTCGTTGACGTCTTTCTTGTTCTTGTTCAATTTCACGCCGCTGTCGAGCCAATTCAATTTGACGTTGACGAAGACGTTCTTGTTCTTCTCTTAATTTGGATAACTCTCTACGATGATAAATATTCCATATAGTGTGAAATTAACATCGTGTTTGTGAATAAAAAGATATATTTTACCTTGCGCTAAGTGTACTTGAAGCTGCTGAAAAACTTTTATGGAAGACAAAAAGCAAAGATATTTTTGTCGAACGTTCCTTTTCTCTATTTATTATTTTGATATTTACTTTGAATAAGAAGCAATGGGATGTCCCTGAAAATTTGTTGAATTTTTTCGTTCACCAGAACGAACAAATGAACGATGTAATTTTGTTCCAGATGGTATTGGTGGTATAATTCTTGGTTTAACCCAACTCTGTTGACGACTTGAAGTTAGTTGTGGTGGAGTATTTAATGCTTGTTGAATAGGTGATTCACGAAACAGATAACTTTTTGAATTTGCTGATTTAACATGTTCATCATCATGATGTCCTTCTAGAACATAAATCTGAAAGACATTGATTTACTTATTTTCGTTCTAGAGATAAAACAAATGGAAATCTTACTTCAGGTGCAAATGTCTAAAATATATAGCAATAAATTTAACTAACGCTAAATTATGATATGAAAAGTTACGAACCATAGGCGGTCGATAGTTTTTCACTCGTAATTCTGTTTCTTGTTGAGGTTTTACCTAGAATATAATTATATATCGAATTTTGCATTTCTTTTATATAATTTATACTTTCGTTAAACAACGACCAACACTTCTTAGATAAATAAATTGTTTTGGAAATGCATCATCTTGACCACAAATCTTAAGAATATGTTGACGAAGATCATTTAAATTTAAATTTTGTGGTACACTTCGAAAGATATTTATGTTAATCATTTTATGTGTGAAGAATAACTTACTGAACAAAACCAGCTGATATAGCTCGTTCCATCGTTTCATTTTCGGCTAAATTTTGAAGATTTTTCCAAACGCTTTTTGGTATTATGTAAATATGAAGATCAACAAGCTAGATAATCCAGTATGTCAATGTTCTATAAATAAATCTTGTATGCTCTACCTGCGATGAATCCGGTCGATCAATAGAAATTATATTACTACGTACAGCTAAACGTTCACTTTCTAGCTGAGACTGCATCTATATTAAAAAAGTAAATACGTATAGATCAATCGAAAAGTGTCTGTTGTTTTTCTTTTATTCTTATGTTTGCTTCACCACCATTACTCTATGTTTGACACGCTCGTTAGGGATTTTATTCTGACATAGAATGAAAGAAGAAGAAGAAGAAAAAGAAAAGAAAAGAAACAAAAGCAAATCACATTTACATACTGCTTTGAAACAAGTGTGTTGATTCCATTTCTACTTCTCTCCTTGCTTTGACGACTGCATGCATAAAAAGAAATATACTTTATTGAACTAATCTCGTGTTCTTCTTTTTTTTTTCTTTTTGTTCCTTATTTCATTTTTTCATTCTCGTTTCAATGCAAAAAAAGGAGTCTATTTCATATTCATCGGATAAAATGCCTGAGAACTATTATGTATCAGTAAAAATCTGTTCGTTGTTATGAAATATCAAAATGATAAACATTCTACGTAGTTTTTATTAGATTGAATATGTATGAGCATGGCTTCCGATGGGTTTCTACTACATAAAAAGAAATAAAAGTCAACGTATAAATACTATGAAACCAAAGAAACCTAAATTAAACATTGGCAGACAAATAAAGGAGCTTGTTTTATTAACAACAATGTGAGCTTTTGATACAATTGATTGAGAAAAATGCAAAAATCCGTTTGTGTTTATCATCGAGAGAAACTTATTGCGCAGGATCATTTTCCTTTGTTTTGTTTGATGCAACTTTGTCTACGTATTGACAGTTACAAAGCATTCAATAAAAAATAGTTGTACTCGTACTAGGGTTAAAATTTCTGCTTCAATATTAAACTTGAACTTGGCACGAGTTATGTTCATCAAATTTATTCTTGTTCTCAGTAATAAACTTGTATTGTAGGATTTTCACAGAAAATTTGATCATATAACAAAGTTCTGCCGAGAAATTTATTCACTCCTATGCTTGTAAATAGGTTAGCTACAAAATTTTGAATGACTGGAGGGTGCGACGGCAGCAACGTCACTGATCTTGTCTTGATGTTTGCTATAGAGGGATTCAGGCTCTTGCTCTAGAAATGAAATGCTCCTATACTTTCGAAGAAGCAGAAACTATCAGTGTTTCAACTTCAAACGGAGTTTATTAATGTCTCTGTAGAATTATTTTCTCTCTCTCTCGCTCTCTCGGCCACCATAATAACCATGCAAAACTATACATTGAATTATAATAATCCGTGTACTGCTGCTTGAAATAATGTTGTTTTATGAATTACAAAATAATATTATCGCATAAGAACGTAACATAATGTTTTTTCTTTCACCATCTATCGAAATTTATTTTTTAAAGATTTATTGAAACTTTTCAATGAGTCGTTAAACCTTTTGAAATCAATTCTAAGAACAAGTGTCCTAACACTATCATAAATTCTAAAAATCATTTATTTCGGTCATGACTCTTTTTGTACGAATATAATCATAAGACTTATATGTATACATTTACTATGTCTAATCTTCTTAAAGTGTTGTAATTGCTCTGAAAAGAAAACCGTATTTTGATTGTATGCTTAAGCTAGCATTATATCTATCCATCAATTTTAACAGATACGTATGCTATTGAAACAAAAACATTTAATGAAATCAAAAGTTTTAGCATTAAATTTCGTTATATCATAAAAATACAAATCTTGACAAATTATTTTTCCGCAGACTGTGATATGCTTTCGTCGTATCTTTACAGTTATCTATATTGTTTGAGAAGTTATTACCGGCTATTTACTATCGTTTGTCCCATAAGGGCATCAATTAAGCCTACAGATCGCAGGAGACGATATGAAGATGATACTATGCAGTGCACACGATATACTTACTATTGATAAAAACCAAGGATACATTATCGCTTCTGTATGGAATTATAATATCGTGTCGATTTGAATTAAATAATTCGTAAAATAATGTACTTCTCTTCGCTTTACCTAATTGTTAATTTTGCAGAACATTTTGTAAAGATACTAATATTTAAAACAAAATAAGATCTTATGACAAAAAGATATAAATCAACCGGAAAAATCCCATCCAAATGATTCTCTTTACATTTCCTCTCAACACTAATTGTGTACATCGTGGGAATGAACTACACATGTGTAAGTAGAGTGAGAAATGACTGCTGGCAATGTCCCATTGCATTGTAATTGCTATAAATATTTATGATGTTGTTATTTTAAGCGGACATCTACTTCTTTTTGTTTTCTGGCTGTTATCTAATTAGTACTTTCTTCTTGTATTATCATCTGTTATAATACATATTTAGCTAAAACAAAACACCAACGGTATTACTTTTCTTTTAGGTAAAAGTGATAAAATTATGAACACAGATAAAACTTTTGCAAGACATCCGCGAGACAAAATAAATCATTTGACAAATCGAGTAAATAAATTTCAAGAAATAGTCAATACAATAGGCGCACCGTCATCCAGCAGCCGCGCTGAGTCAATCTATGGACCATATGAAAAAAGTCAAAACAAATAAAAAGTGAATGCTATATTTCTTTTGAATTTCTTCTTATAGTTTAGTACATCGTGGTCAGAAAGTCCGAGAGAAGATTCTTGAAGAAATGAAACAATTATGTCATGCTATTCAAACTAATGGGACAGAAGGAGACGATGGCACAGTAACAATCACATTTACTGATTTATTCGAAGTACGTCATATATGTGTATCTTCTGCGTGTGCTTAACAGTACATCATTTTTTAGATATATACGAATATTTCGGATAAATTAGTCGGCGTATTATTTAAAGCTCGTAAACAAGGATATTTAACGTTTAAAGGTGAAATGTTACTACGAAACAGAGATGAGAATGCTCCTATACAGCTAATACGTTCGTCTTCATAATAAACTATTTGTATTGAGCTTTTCTGCATCCTATTTTGTATTATTATTATTATAGTTCACTTAAACTTAAAATAAACTGTCTTTAAAATTCGAAAAATAGATCATCTGTATATTTCATGGACTATAGTTCAAGTGACTTTTCAGTGCATTAGATTTATTTATTCATTCCTAATGTGCTATGCGCATCATTGATTGACTTTTTGATAAATGTGAACAAATTTTATTACGATGACAAGGAATTAAAGGTAAACTATTATTAATTGTAATTAAAAGTTGAAAGCAACAAATATATTACTAACCAGAACATATTTCACTCATTAATAGTGAATCGTACTTGCACTACTATTTTTATCAATCATTACAGGAAATATTTGCAGCATTCATGTGCCATAATAGACAATTGAATTCAACGTTTATTAATGCCAATCCTTAACAAAACTAATTCGAACAAATAATCAATAAGAAAAATCTTTGAGATTCATTCAGGTTTCTAGTTAAAGCGATTAAAATGTCAATTTATACATGTCACATGAGTATACAAACTCAGAACGTTTTGATAAAGAAAAGAATAAGCATATCGGATCGTCGAATTTCATGATGTAAACATTGATTGGGAAGCGAAATTGGTTTCTACTCAAGTTTCAATTTGTTTACAGTCAATGCATATTAATTATTTTCATAGACTGAATTACAAAGTACATTAGCGAAAAAGTATACAGTGACATGTTGTTGTTAGTAAAATAAATGCTTGCCGAAGCCTTCATTAATTAAAATAAATAGCAGACAATGTTTCTATTGGTTACTAAGGTATTTTTTTCTAAATATAGAAATAACTATGCAAGTAGCCGCTCGAAATGACAAGCAGAGACGTATTCAATGATACATCATAAACAATTCTTGATATCAATAGTCTTTATCCCACGATGGCGACTCTATAACATAAGAGTAAGCATTTCCCATTAGAACTAATTTGCGAGACAATAACCAGATCGCCTATACAATCAAAAAGTCCGACTTGAGTGTACACAGCAGAATATAATACGATGATCAGACTATTGTACAACATGAGAACATACATCATTGATATTGATTGTTTATCTCGTTCAGTTGGAATATGTGAAGCAGTTTTACAAGCCATAATGCCTAATAAAAGAGTTACAACAGTGAACAAATAGTTAACAAGAGCGATAAATCGACAAGATATGCAATATTTCAGAAAAATAAAGTTTGAAGCTGAACGAGTGTAGCTATTTGTTTTAGATGATGCAGTCAAAATATACTACAATAAAAAGGAAAAGTACCGTATTAATGAAACGAAAGCTTAATATCATTGTACAATTATTAACTAATCTTATATTACTTTATTATAGTTAATATCGATCAATTAATGACAACCAAATGAGTACATGTTCAAGAGGCAAGTCAATATCAAAATATTCTTAACAATCAGACTCCAGTTAATCATTATATAAGTGAATAGAATCGTGAATAAAAGATTTCATCTTCTATTCAAATACATTTATACTTTTTCAAACAGTTGTAAGAGTTTAAAACAACAATATTCAATGGTCCTCCAAAAAACATCTAGGTGGATAACAATGAAGTTATAAAATGTATCGAATTTGATTACTTACGTTAGTTCTATCACATAGTAATGAGTGTTCTAAAATCAACATTATAGATTAACCTGATTATTTATTATTGTATTTTCACGTAGATTTCCTTTATTTCTTAGTGCCTCTTTAAGGTTACATATCTGTAAAAATTTGTTTTATCGACTATATTTTGACTTTCTAAAAATATTTATCTTCGTTAAGAGAGCGCTTTTGCATCGTTATATCATAATAAATCTTTACTAGACGCGTTCAACATTAATAATTTTCAGCGATGGTTCGAAGATTCTTCAATGACGAATCTGAAACAGTTGATGAGGGAATTGATTTTTGTTAAAAAAATTATTCTAATTTAATAAGCAGTTATTTTTATATTTTCGTTAATAGCAGGAGTAAATAAGAATGTTTTTATTTTTTTAAATAGTATATGAATTTTAGAGTTCTTCCATTTCGGAAAATGAAAAAGTGTGTTTATCAATTTAATATTGTTTCGCTTCTCTTTGAATGTGCTCAGCACGTCATAACATACGATCTTGTACTTTTGTTCCGCATTTTACTGATGAAAATGTTTCGTTTATATGTTTATCATAGAGTGGCATCGATCGAGAAGTTTATTTAGTACAGAATCTTTCCATCGGAAGTTTGAACAATCTGATTCCGTCAACAATAAAGTCGTTACTATCGATAGAAAGTATCATGAGTATAATTCATATGATGATAATAATGTAAACTCGCTCACTAAAGTTGATTTGTATCCTGAAACTTATTTTAAAACTTTCATGAATTATTCCAAGAAAATTTGTTATCGTCTTAATGCTCACATTAGATAATAAGAAGAATATCTGAATGAGAAATTCTCAGCTATGGATTTGTCTAATTCATAAATAGTTTAGCTATTTGCTAAAAAAGAATAAACAACGAAGATTAAATATGAAACGTGCATACGAGGAAGAAATGCAAAGCTTTTCAATTTAGAAAGAAAAAAGTAATTCGATATTGAATGAATATTTTCAAAAATCAGTAAATTTTGTTTTTCAGAAACAAATAAAAGCATCCTGAAGAAAATCATTATGGCGAAAAATATGATCAGACAATAAAGGCAACAGGAAACTACATAATAAAATTTTAGAAATGCACGTTTATATTAAATTCTATCAGCAATTTCAAAGCACTAATTCGATTTATACTAATAGTCTTGACATATTCTCTATCATTATGAAACATGCAGTAGAATGCTTTTGTCTTATCAGGCATGCATTATTGTTATATAATTTGATTTACTTGTCTATTGAAATCTTGAAAGAAGAAAAATTACAATATAATCATATTCGTATTTAAATAAAGCCAACAGCTCTTGAATTCATGATATTTTCCAGAGTATTTTAATTTTTTTTTCAAATTGAATTTTGATCAGTCATTGTGTATTCTTAAATTTCAGAATTTGTTTTTAAAAGAACACTGAAAATTCGAGTTATTCGAGAGAACTCAAATGAATTATAGTAGTTTTGACTAAAAAAAAGGATCAGAACTACTGGCAATATTGATTAAACAAGAAAACTAAATTATTTTATGTATTGCATCAATGACTGCTTTGGCTTGCTGTTGAGATTTCAGATTTTCGAAAATTTCTTTTGCTCTAGCTATATCATTTGCATGTTCATTATTTTGTGTATGAAAAATGATCTTGTTTATTTGAGCCCAATGTGCAGCAAGCATTTGCGTGATAATCATCATTTGTCGATTGTTGCCGTATGCACCACAACCCCACCATCCTGTATGGATAATTGTATGAAAATGATTTGCATCCTTGTAACTTAAATTTCGGTCGCTCGATCGTGAAGTATGTAGATTCATTGCATGAGTTTTAGGAGCCAGTATTTGTGCTGCTTTAAAACTCGCATAGCAATTGGCGACTATGTAACTAATTTGATCATCTGTATAACAGCCTTCACCATGACTGGGGGCTTCAATTGCAATTAAATTAACTACTTGAGACGGATAGTTCGACTGAAATGCACTTCGAAGTTGCTCTAACGTTGCATGAGCAAATGCATTACCGTAAATTTCTTTTGTATCGAGATTGATAACTCTTTTAGTATGACTAATTAGGACTAAAGCGAGAAAAGAAAATGAAATTTTAAACAAAGAAAATAGACGGAAATATAGTGGGTGTTGGTACAGGCCTATTTGCATATGCATTCGAGTCAACTGTACGCGAACCAACTGTATTAATTGCTTGAGTAAAATATTGTCTTACAGCAGCTAATTCAACACATTCTAATACTTGTAATTCGTCTTGAGCTAACAAATGACCTGCATAATATGCAAATAGATCACTATAAATTCAGATACCATTCGACACTTTGAATGTCATAGTTAGATTTATTACTAAACACGTCCGCTGAAAATTCAATTATAGTCGATGGTCGATCGTTGGCTTCTATAATTGATATAAATGGTTTCCATCGTGTTATTAATATTGATTTATTGGGTGATGGTAAATACTGTTTTCCTTGTTGAGTAAAACAACAATAAATAATTTATTTTTGTTTTCAAAATTCGGTGGGTATTTTTCATATAGTTCATTTGATTTCAATTCTTCTGCAGAAAAGATAAACCATCGTGATATTCATGATAAAGATTTGACACAAACATTTCATCACGAAGTACATTAATAGTTTTCACGTGTATCTTAGAAGAAGTTGATACCGGTGTGCAGTATATATCGTCAGTAAAACGGCTATGTGAACGTGTTGCCATTAAAGAAAACTGTAACTGAAAGAGCGGAATCAAAGACTGATGTGCCGTTTTTCAGCGACAACAACATGTCATTAGAAAAGCAGTAGAGAAAGGAAGTAAAATAGTTGCCACAGTCACCGATAAAAAGACAAGCAAAAGTTCGACGCTGTTTACAACGTGCAAGAGAACAAAATATTTTTCTAGGAATAAAGACGAAAGGTAAATTGATAGTGTATGATGTGTGTTCTTTATTGTAAATCTTATAATTGAGGAAATATGTACACCTTGATATTTATCTCATCAATCTAGTAGAATGAAGATATTTATTATATTTCGATCTTAGAATATTAAATTGCAAATTTCATTTAAATCATAAAATTAAAAATCAAGTATAGCTAAAATTCGAAGCATTTCAAATACATAGTGATAAATATTATTGTGAGCAAGTAATAATCTTAATTCAGAGCATATAATATTGATCGCAAAAAAAAGATGTTCATACATATTAACCATTAATTTTTATTAATCTTTAGCTATTAATAATTCTATATAAATTAAACAGTTTTCATCAAACAAACCATTTTTCTATTGTCAAAAAACACATCAACGAGAAGCATAATCCTTTGATTTTTTTTTCTTCGAAAACAAAAACCGGAATTTCACAGAATGCTTAACAATATTTTGATATATGCTGACTATTCTAATGATTCTCGACTGATATGTGTCAAGCAGAACAAACTGATTCGGTGAGATGAAGGCATTGATATTTCATTACATTGAAAGTACAGAAGAAAGGTCTTGTATAATAGAATCATTAATTAATGAATGAATGAATAAATGTCTCTTTGACCCTAACTTTTACTTTTAGACTATCCGTTAGAAATTAGCATAATATAACGAACTAAATAAGTTGGTTGTATATAAATAGAATATGCAAAAGCATAAAAAGAAAATCGATTACTGACTGTTGATAATGTGCCATATAATGTTTGTTCTACAATAGGACTAATGTCATATGTTATTTTTTTGTATACATATAAAACTGTTTTTACTGTTAATCTTACCCTGAAGATGATAAATTAGGAGTCTGCCCTTTGACACATGAGACTCTTATTCCTTTTTTTTAAGCTGGACAAACATTGTATATTATTGTTTGATATGTTATCCACATATTACAAGGTTTTCTTGTCTTCATTTTCACACAACAGCTGAGCTAATCGCCTCGCTGTTCGTCTATATTACACAACGCATGTCTTCCCTCATGAGATAAACTAATACTGAAAAAGACGAAGGAAAACGTTGACGATGATGACGTTACTGTCGTTCTTAATAGCAAAAAAAAACGATGAAGAAAAAAATCAATCTCAATGTGTTTATTTCTTTTTCTGAAATAGTTCCGTTATATTGCCTTGCCAAACAAAATTTGCCTATCAATTGCTTGACGAAGAATTATATAGTTCTCGATACTTGACTTTCACTCTTTTTTTTTGACTTGCATGTCAAGCTACTATCGTCAAGTACAAAGGATAATGTTGAGAAAAAAAGAAAAAGTCATGATCATGATCATTATCATCAGCATAATACTAATAATGAAGACTAAGGCAAAGCGTCAACAGAGATCTAGATATATGTATACCATATATGATCATCTTCATAGATGGTAAGTCAAATAATGAGAGAAGCCAACAAAACTTTAGACTTCGCATGCTCTTTATTAGTTTTGATTCGTAAGTGATGAGCTGTATTGTAAGATGAAAAGGTCACTTCTTTATGAGTAACAATGTTTAGATAAAACGACAGCTACGAGAATGATATATTAGTTTATTATTAAATAAAATGCGTTTTATTCATCTTAAAAGTTGAATCTTTCCTCTTTTTCTTTTTTATCAACTGTCATATTGTGAATGCAGCTATTACTGTCATTCTTTCGTCTTCTGTCATTTACTAGTTCAATCGACTATCTATCGACATATTTTGATTAGTCTCATTTTACATTGCCGTTGTCTTTCGTTCGCCCGAGATTTTTTCTATCTCTCTTCTTTCGGCTTTTATCATCATCACTAATGTCTTTTTGATCAACAGACACACACAAGAAAGACTATCGTGTGCCTGCTGTTGTTGTTGCTGATCTCTCTTGTTGCCATCGTTTTCTTCTCGTTGGTGAGTATTTTGCAATCAATTGATTCATTCACATGCGCGTAACCACAATATAGACGTGCATGCACGTACTGGGTTCTAAACCAATTGTAAAATGTGTTCAGTGTGAGAATTCGAAATAATAGACACATGCTTCGTTGCATTCAATTATTGGGTTTGTTTGGTTGTCTTTACTATTATGTCAGCACTTCTTTTTCTAGATATCCTAAGTGAAATACAGACTTTAGCCACCTCATTTATTTTTCTTTATTAATGACATAAAAAAAAAAGAATCGACCATACGCCCAGTTTTCCTCTACTATTTATTAGTAGTAATTCTGTTCTTTTTTTGTTGCTTAAACGAGGACATGTAGCTCTAAATTGATGACGACACTGACAAAGAAGAAAACGGCGTCAGCGCTTTCCCTCTCCTCAGTTATATAGCAAGAATACAAAGCATTCATTTAACAATGGTAAAAGGAATCAGTTGAACAGCTATTACTATCTACCTGTAGGCGCTCTATAAAAAAAAAACACTATGCAACAAGACGAAACAGAAGAGAAAGAAGAAGAAGAAGAGGAAGAAGAAGAAGAAGAAGAAGAAGAAGAAGAAAACGTTGACAAAAACTACCGAACATAGACAACACACGCGAGTCAACACTTGGCATTCTCTAGTCATTCAACTTTCATCAGGCGACAAATCGTGTAACCCAAAGCGTGTAATCATATTTACAAAAAGAAACGAGAAAATAAATATCGTAGTAAGAATATTCAGCTAGATAATCTAGTTGTTCTTTCTATTTAAAGTTGAAAAACAAACTATTTATGTGATTCATAATAGAATTTCTTCTCTATTTTAAAGCAAAACATAAAACAAAAAGCTTTTCTTTTTAGTTAGTTTTTTTCTGCTATTCCTTTTGATCTGATCACTAATCTACTTGATAATAGATCATTTATAGTTTGTTTGTTTTCTTTTACATATGTTTTAGTTGTGCTTGAATATATATATTGACCTATTAATAAACGTACAATTGTAATGGGTAAAACAGTACCGCTTATTAAAACAACAGTAACAAAAAAATCAACCACCGATTCTACACCAATTAGAACTGGCGAATTAAATGATCCATTTCAAGTACAAAAGAAAAATATCCGTACAGCTGCACTTATTATTTGTACTTTTACATATCTAATTATTGGAGCTTGTATATTTGATGCACTTGAAGATGCTCCGTTTACTGATAGGTTAGTTTTTGTTTGAACATAAGTTATGTATATTAAAAATATTGTCTACTACTCTACTTGTATAACAGAAGAAGAGGAGTTTTTCTATTTATTATTAATAGAATAAGTTTACCTAGGAACTAATTGTTTATGAGACCAAACGAAAAAACCGGAACTAGATAAATCGACTCTCTTTTATTTGGTAACAAATGGAGGAAATTTATTTATTGAAGGAAAGCGTGTGAGCTTTCGGTATCCTACTGGAATCATCATCAGACACAATATGACGCATTTTATTTTTCAATTTGAGTATCATTCATTTTACTAATATAGCATCTGTTCTTTCGAACAGATGTCTCTTTCGAACAGGTGTCATATTAGTAAAATGAATGATACTCAAATTGTAAATTAAAATGCGTCATATTGTGTTTGATGATGATTCCAGTAGGATACCGAAAGCTCAGACACTCTTCTTCAACAAATACACTTTCATATTGAAAATATGATCTTTACGACAGTAATACACTTCATTCTCGCTCTAATTATACTCACTGTCAAACATTCCCACATACATGGAGAAAACCTTTTTTATTCCTTTCTTTTTCCGGAAAGGCAAGGTTTAATGCTATTATCTATAGTAAAAATATAATCTTCTTTTTCTAGAAAACATCGATTAGAACGAAAATTTGCTCAATTTAAACTCGATCATAATATGACTAATGAATCATTTCGTCAACTATCAGATTTAATTATGAATAAAACAGTCGTTCGTCATAAATGGAAATTTTATGATAGCTTCTATTTTTCTACTGTAGTCTTGGCTCTTATTGGCTATGGACATCGACAATTAATAACATCACGTGCAAAGATTTTTTGTATTTTTTATGCCATGCTAGGTATACCAATGTGGTTAATAACGTTTCAATCTACAGGCGAACGATTGAATTCACTTTTAAGTTGTATCCTTGCTCGACTTAAACATTCATTGCATATGAAACAAACTAAAATAACTGATGGAGAATTACTTGTAACAGAATCATTATTATCCATAGTTATTCTTATAATAGGTGCATGTGTATTTTCTAAATATGAGAAATGGTCTTTTTTTGATTCTTTTTATTATGGTTTTATTACTTTGACAACAATTGGTTTTGGTGATTATGTTGTTTTAGTAAGCTTGACCTTTTATTTTTAGTTTTTAATACAATTTTATATCTGTTCTTTTTACTAGCAAAACAATCGTGATAAAAACTTTATTGAACATGCTGAATATTTTTTTTTCTGTATGGCATTTATTTTTCTTGGTCTTACTGTACTTGCATCATCTATGAATTTACTTGTTATACGTATTGTTGCGTTTTATTCTCAAGAACGTTTACTGGAAAAACTTCGTCAAGAAGAAGCTGCTAATCAAGCTGTTTTACTTAAAGGTGATGTTATTTGTTCAACGAATACTGGAAAACAACGAGCAGCAACACCAGTTTTGGCTGAAATGACAGCTAGTCAACAGCATCAACTACTATTGAATTCTAGTCAAACATCTGTATGTTCATGTACATGTATGGAAACATTTACCGAGTGGAAACAAACGAGAAAAAAACGTGCAAGATGGAAAAAACAACAACGAAATGGATTGAATAAACCAATAAAAATTTCAGAATCAGCGTCTTCAGTTAATATGATGCATGCCATCAGACGAAGTTCTGTATGATTTATATATGCATATATTTATATTTATGTAAAAAGTAAATTTTGTTGTCTGATTATGTATTTAATAATAAATTCCATTCAAATTCTTTCATGTGTCTTTTAAAAAATTATTTTCATGCAGTTTGTTATTGCGTGATGATATATTTAATACATATTTGGTCTGTAATAGATAAGATCTTTGCAAGCTAAAACGATTATACATATTCATATAAATTCTAGTAAATTTTTCTTGCGATATCTATTTTATGTATGATCACTTCTGATTTTCTGGTAGAAGAAAGTCGGTTTAAAATTCTAATGTTAAAGAACATAAATTATTCATATGGAACTCATCTAAACGTTGAATCAGTCATGTAGAACATATGTGAAATCAGTCAAACGTTTCTTCTCTCTTCCTAGTCATCAGTTTCATAATTCGACTTTTCTTACTTCTAGTTTAAATACGGAAGCAGGATGTTTCTTTCTGTTTAACAACTGGTACATTTCTTTGGGCGACGAGTGCTCAGACGTTTTCGTATGTTTCGTAAATTAAATCAATAATTTAGTGTGTATAGAGTCTCGTCGATATGAAGAAGAACTAATACTGTTATTCCCTGACTAATTTTTTTCCCACGATGAGGTAGTATTATAGGTTAAAAGAGTTATTCTTCTTCTATTCAGTGTAGCGATTAGACGTGTCTAATAAATTTCTTCTTGTGCGATATTCAATCACGAATTAAAGATATAAATAAACATTTAAAATGAATATAAACGATGAGTCATCAACAGATTACTTCTTAAATCCGGGTCTTCAAACACCCAGGATAAACAAAAGAGTAAGATCTGAAGGTGAACACTCAGATGATTGTGAAACAGTTATTATTCCACCTGAAAAAATTTCGCTAGTCATTAATAATTCGAACCAACAACAACAAGCTTCAACAACGCAACGGAACGAATATCCACCAATCACAATTGAATTCAAATCTGCTCATAGCAAAACAGATAGAAAATTGATAGAAGAACTAATTAAAGAATGGAGAATTAAAAATAATAAAAATATTGATATTATCGGAAGATTCGGGTACAAAAACGTACTTCTGGTCTTTCCACGAAATTTCTCAACTCTTGATGATTTACTTGAAACAGGAAGATGGCCAGATAGAATCGCCGGCAGCAACTATGTAATTAAATATCCAAAAATTCTACCTGCGACATACTCATTAATCATACATGATTTTCAATCAACATGGAATGAAGATGAAACAACAAAAGAATTACAAGAAAAATGTGTGACTTTAAGAAAATTAACTCGTCTTGTAACACGTGAAGGTAGACCAATGAATACTGTACGTACCGATTTTATCTCGACGCAAGCTGTCAAGCAGCTTTTGAATCAAGGCGAAATCGAAATAAATTGTACGAAACTTCGCATTCGACCATATTTTTCACCAATAAAAATTAATAAATGTCGAAAATGCTTCAAGCACCCAGGTCGAACAGTCCGGCCTGGAAACGGCCGGTTCCGAGTAGTTCCGTTGATTTTGTGGAAGCAGTATTCCGGTTGGAAATTTTTCCGGTGATTTCCGATCAATTCGTGCCGGAAAGCATCGGAACTTGGCAGGAATTCGCCGGAAAAGTCCGGCCGTATTTTTGACCGGAATACTGCTTCCATGTTCCAGCGATTTCCCGTGTTTTCCTGTAGGATATGGTGACTTTCCCGCATATTCCCTGGAGTATCCTACGGGATCCGGTGACCGGAATGTTCGACCTGAGTATGATCATTTTACAAGTCAATGCACAAGTCTACAATTGTGCTTTCGATGTGGCCAACATCATCCATTAAAAGAAGGATGTAGTAACGAAATAAAATGTGTCAATTGTCAACAACATCATTATTCAGGACATTCGTCATGTCCAGTTGTTCAGCAAAAAAGAAAACAACTGTCTGAGCAGGTAAAAGTACAACGTGCTCAACTGCTAATAAAACAACACCAGGACAATTTCATTTATAATTAATCTACATTTCCGCCACTTTCACCTCGTTCGCAAGAAATAAATCCTAAATTACAAGTAAACTCAAGGTATACAAATAATTGCATGAAGAATCAACAATCATATGCATCTATAACAGCATCAAAAACCACAAAAAAAACATGAAAATGTTGACCAAATGATAATGGCAATGTCAGAATCAATCAACCAACAGTTATCAAGCTTTACATCAACAATCACATCACAAATTACCGAAGTATCAAAGAAATTAAATATATTCAATGACAGAATACAAAATCTTGAACAACAAATTGATAAATCAATTATGCCAGCAATAAGTGAGTTGTCTAAACCCGTGTAATAAAAACCGCATGAAAATCGGCGGTTAGCCGCGATTTTACCGGTCCGGTTACCGGCTCCTATTACCGCAGAACGGATAAATACCGCGGTTTACCGCAAAAAATGAACTGGCATTTACCGCGGTAAACCGCCGGTTTTGATGAATACCGCGGTTACCGCTAAAAAAAAGCGGTTAACGGGTTCATCTATAATTTTTGACAGAAAAAGTCTTCCAAATCATCAATTAAACTATTTTAAAGATCCTTTTTTTTACTTTTACATGTGATAAACATGCGCAAAAAAACCGCCAGTTTACCGCGGTTTTACCGGTCCGGTTACCGGCTCCTATTACCGCAGAACGGATAAATACCGCGGTTTACCGCAAAAATTGATCCGGTATTCGCAACATGGGAAATTATTGATAATATTTTAGATTCCAAAGAACAACCACTCGCCCATCAACGTCCACAAACTTCATCATGTAGAGAAACGATACACAATTTACTACACGCATACAGATCGACAACTTTTCAAACACTTCGACACAAAAAACAATGGCCAGCAACTAATTTGACTCAAATTCTATCGACCATTAATAATAATACGCAATAAAATGAATCAGTTCAATATGTACAAATACAATGAATTACAACAACAACTAAATAATGGTGCCGCAGGTTTAAATGAAACAACAATACGTGCGGGATATCAAATTATTGAAGATTGGTGTTGGACGTATTCACGCACTGAACTATTTAATAGATGGAAGCAACCACATCAGAAGCCAGATCAAACCGACTACAAGTTAACCATACTACACTATAACATCAGGAATTTTTACACCAACCAATGCGATCTATTAGAAATGATCGAAAAATATAAACCTGCTGTAATTTCTTTAAATGAATTGAGCAAACAAATTCCAACTGAAGCAATAGCAAAAATTTTGTTCTCCTATGAAGTTTTTAAAGCCGAAGGCACCAACACTCATGGTGGCGCAGTTATAGCCATTGATAAACAATTAAAACCTATATCTGTCGACTGTCAACAACAGCCAAATATAATCGCTGCCGCGATATTAGTAAACAACAAATCGTACAATATTATATCCACATACTCTTCACCAACTGAAAAACTACCACTTCCTATACTTTCGAATGTATTACAAAATTCTCAGGCAAACATCGTACTTGGCGATTTTAACGCAAAGAACACCACATGGGGTTGTACGCAAACAAATCAAAAAGGTCGAGAACTTGAATCTTGGTTAAAATTAAACAAACTAAACATTCACAATCCGGCAATGATAACATCTTTACGTTCAAAAACAACTATTGATTTAGTTATTTCAACCGTTCAAGAAGCTTCTGTACAATGTAATCAGCTCCCATACAACGGAAGCGATCATTTTCCAATTCTAGCTGAATTTAATGATATAATCCTCAAACACCAACAACAATATATTCAAAAAATTAATTGGAATCTATACACCATCATGCTTTCTATTTTATCTTCAGAAATCGAATATATTGCACATGAATCAAACATGCAACCCCACGAATGGTTTCAAATGTTTCAAGACTTTCTTAGCGCCTTAAGAATTCGATCACCAACATGGCACCCTGCAAAAAAACGTCGGCCTTCGCTTACAGAAACCATCAGAATGATGATTACGCACAAACATTATTTACAAAATCGATACCGACACACAAGAAATGAAGAAGGCAGACTAAGCCTTCGCTTGTGGCATAAAGTATAACAAAGGGAAATGAAACAACATCGCGCAAACACTTGGAACCAATTCATCAACAATGTCGCCTCTCCACAACCATCTGCATTTTGGAGCACAGTCAAAAGTCTCAACAAAAAACGTTCAATTGAGTTCTCTGCAATCACGGAAGGTAATCGCACGATTAAAGCACCGGACGAAATCCTGCAATGTTTATCGAGGCATTTTCAATCAAGATTTACAGCGCCGGTTATGAATAGAAACAACCCGACGGACAAAGAAGCACTCGATCTGTGGGAATTACTCGATAAAGCAAACCCGGAAGACATCCAATTAGTTAATCAATGTTCAGATCTAAAATTCACCAGTGAAGAAGTATGGCAAGTTATAAAATCTTTAAAAGGAAAGAACTCGTCCGGATTCGACCTCATATCGAACAAAATGATCAAAAACTTACCTCATAATTATTTAAACATATTAACCAAACAATATAATGCATTATTCTCGTTATCATATTGGGATAAAAATTGGAAACAAGCAAGAACAATTTGCTTCAACAAAGTAGATAGTCCAGCACCAACTAAACAACAACTACGTCCGATTTCTTTACTTCCAGTGATGGGCAAGATATACGAACGACTCTTTCTTTTCCGTTTTCAAAACTGGCTTAACAACTTCGGAATACTTCCATGGCAAAAATCTGGCGCGCGCGCTAAACAATGCACAGTCTCTCGAGTGAACCATCTCCTCGAGCAGACGTACACATCGTTACTATACAACACATTTACACTTGTAGTATTTATCGATTTCTTACAAGTCTTCGACATATTATGGCAAGAAGGTCTTCTATTGAAACTACAAAGATTGAATTGCCCTTACTCATACCTTATATGGATAAAAAAACTACTTTACAGAACGAACAATGAAAATTGTCCTAAACGGTCAATTATCGAATAACATAATTCTTCAACGAGGTGCGCCGCAAGGAAGCGTTTTCGGACCCATAGCTTACATCGTTACTCATTACGACCTCCGACAAATCTTTAAAGTACCGGAAAACAATCACCTGTATGTCGACGATCCTGGATGTGTTTTTATTCCAAATATATATAAAAAAATACAGACATCAACTAGTCGAAATCCAAGATACAATCAATCAAGATCTAATAAAGCTGCAACAATATGCAACAGAATGACATCAACCAGTAAACAGCAAAAAAACGGAGTTCGTAATTTTTACCAGGGTTGTCAAGAGTCCAATACTAAATATCAGTTTCGATGGTACTCAACTTCAGCAAAAGAAAAATTTTAAATATCTAGGATATCGACTAGACTCGAAACTATCGTTTAACTGTATTGTCAATGATCACTTGACTAAATGTCGACAATCATATTCAATAATGAAATATATTCATCGTCGATTTCCTTCGTACTTTAAACTAAAACTACGTTTCTTTACTACATATATATGGCCGCACCTATACGCAATGTCTACCTTTTATTGTTTACTATCAAAGACATTAAAAGAAAAAATCAATAGTTTCTATCGCCGATGTTTGCGCATAATATATCACCTCTTCCAATGCTCAACATACAACCTCCATGAAATCTTTAAACTACCAACACTCGAAGAGAAATATAGAAAAAGTCTAATAAAACGCTTTAACAACATCCAGCAATATGAACAAGAACTGATTGGATCCTATATACAGCACAAAAATATAGGTAATAAGACACGACAACACTACAATGAAAAGGCATATATTCCATCACTGCCGCGAGGTCGACCCAGCACTCGTACTGTCACATTTCAAAACAACTCGACAACATTCTTTGACGAACTTATGAAATTTTTCAGTAGCAACCACTCGTCCTATTAAGAAAAAAAAGAAAAAAGACGGAGGGTTGAAGCTGCCAATTCTTAAAAGTTTTGTGAATTAACACAATCATTAAATCTCACTCTATTGTTCATTTTCCTTTGCGCTGAAGAAAATTCTTTTCAAAGTGGTCAGGACCAATAAGGTCAACCCACTCAAATAAAGCTCTTTATATATATTTATATATATTACATGAATGCTTAAAATCATGATAATTTTTAATTAATTGAAAATAGAAATATTATATATAGCGCTGTATTCAGAGCATTCCATATTAAATTTAGCTTAGAACAAAAATTCATAGCTCAAACCCGATTTTTCTACAAGAATACAAATTTCGTTCGTGCTCAAAGCCAGGTTAGCTGCAACAAACAAATTTACCATGGTGGCTATGTGGTTAAATGAATGCTGCATATTTACAGCACTCTTGGATTGAAATTGAATCTTAGAAAAAATATTTTCTTGTTCCCTTGAGTTATAATAATGAGTTCTCAATTTAACACCATAAGACTCGAAAAGAAAATGGCTTGTGTGTATGACTCACGCTCTTTTAGGTTGGCATGTATTTTGTATACGGAAAAGTGGAGAATTTTATTTTCTTTATTCAATAGTTTATCTTAATAGAATTTTACTACGTGTTCGGATCTCTGATCTATTTGCCGTACATCCCAAAATAAAGTACAAAGGACACAATCGTGTATAAATATTTAATAGTTAACATAATTAATGATTAAAATTTGATTTCTAGAGAGAGAGAGAGAGAGAGAGAGAAAAGATATACTTATAATTGCTATATTTATTCTATTGTCTACTTAATCAAGCACAGACGCACACACCCGCTTTTGACGTCATGAGAGAAAAAGCTCACTTATTTATATTTAATGCATCATCGTATTGTCTTTTCAGAATTGAAAAATGTTTCCACGATTGTGTTTTATCGCCATTCTGATTTTTTGCGTTATCAAGGTTCATAATTTTAAATATATTGGTTCATTAACTGAAAATGAATGTAAATCTTGTAAGTAATATCTAAATTCTATACAAATATATCAAGTTGATGTTTTTCTGTATTTGGATTTAGATATGGCATCGGCTAACATTAATAAACAACTTCAAGCTGTATTCAGTTGCCCAAGAAAATGGCGATTCAACTATAAAAAACAAATATCCAATGATATGAAATATTACCTGGTGAAAACGGGATAAAAAATCATCAATAAAAAAATTCCATCATTTAGTTTCTTTTTTTATTCGTAGAAAATACTAGATGGATGTTTTATGATTTTCGCGTTGCAAATAGTTACTCATTATATGAATAAATTAACACCAGACAGAAAAATTCTATCACAAATTGACTTTTTGTCGTTTTCTGTAATTATTAAAACTATAAATAGAAAAAGGAAACATAATTCAACATGAATACTGCTATTGTTACTCTCAAAAAAAGGTCCAAAAACATGTACGACACAACAATTGTCCAGGAGTATTTTAATTAATAAAAAGAATCACTTTCAGCCAACCTCTAAATTAATTTTCATTCGACTTCAATAAGCTAGAGCAGTTTTTTGGTTTAGTAGAAAAACAACTCTGGCATACCAAAGATAATTGTTCCTATTGATTGTTGATGATATTTTGTTTTTTACCTAGCTTACTAAAAAGTTGGATTCAACAGTTATAAAATACATTCTTTCTATATCTAAGTTTGTTATTATTGTATAAGGATGAAATTTTTGTTTGACTTTTGCATGTAAATACAGTGCTCGTTTATTACGAATAAAAAGAAGATTCATGGAAATGGTCGATAGAATAATTTTAATTTTTGCGTTATACGAAAGAAGGACGATAGAAATGAATATTTTATCATGAGTGTATAGAAGAATCGATTTTGATAAACTGTAAACAAAACTAATTAATAAAACAGTGGAATACCGTTGGAAGAAGATGAAAATAGTTAACCGAAGTGCAGATTTGCCCACACATTGAATAAATATAGTTTATCCAAAAAAGTTTAAATAATAAATTTACTCGTCTAATCCATTCCAAAGCTGGTGGTGACATTCAAAAAAAATGAAAATTAAGATCAATTCATAAGGGGAAATAATTCGAGATGCCATCTATCAGTTGCAACTCTTAAAAGCTTCATTATGGCTAAAAGTGTTTTTTTATTTTAACAAGTATGTTGAGATGCATATTTTGAACTAGGCTATTTTTATAATGAGTGTGCTATTTTGTAACACACTGAATTTTGCTACACATAGAGAAATTATAATCACCAGTTAATCTATTTTTGACTCCTACTACTTGGGTACCATCGGAAAACATCATAATATAAAAACTGACGACTTGATCACCACTTTATCAACATGATCCTAACAGATTTTTAGAAGATTTTAATGAAAAATGTTTCTACTGATCTAATACATACGTGCATGCTGCAACCGAGACAAGAATGACCAATAAGTGCAAAAAGATAGTTTCATACAAAGAAAAATATTTTTTAAGAATGTTCTATCGATTTTACAAACAAATGTTTTTGCATGGCATATTCTTTTTATTAGTTAAAATGCGTAACCAAAAATCTTAAGTATGATTGCTTTTTATCATGCGTTGTAATAAATTTCTTGGGCGAGAAATATTTTTAGACGAAAATAAATTTTTCGACCCTTTTTGGTTCTTTTACATATTTCCCGTAACAATGAGAGTGGCTGTTCTATTCCAAACAGCCGACGAATTTTCTTTTGAAAACAAAAACATTTTCTCGTTCTATTGTCAATTATTGGCTTAGCAAATAATGGGCTCGACCGGCTACCAACTTAGCATTAGAAAAAAGAAGACACAAGAATTTCTTTCATCAAATCTCTACCAAGTGGGTTCCTCCGTAGAGGCAGGCAACCATTGCCCTGCCACTCAAGACATCACGTTGACGTATTCTAGAAATCAAAGTAAAAACCCATAAAATATCTTGTTCTTATAGGACAAACAAATATCCAATGATACGTTTTGTACAATAAGGTATCTCTATGAATCATTTACGGCTCAAAGTCGAAAACTTCATTGAACCATGACGGAGAATATTATTTTTCAATTCAACGAAAGAATTTATTGATTTTATCTGTAGTTACTGAGTAACGTAAACGCCGTTCTCCTGTCAGATAACTTTGTGTAAGGATCAAATAGATTAAATGTTCTTTTCTGCCTTTGATCGAATAACTCAACACACTCTTGTAAGTGAAATACCAGATAAAAATAGAGAAGATTTTTTTATTAGACTTCATATCATTTCGAGGTAAAATCTTTTAGTGAGCTTGATTTACATATGCAGAGGTAGATTCATAGAGATCATGTAAAATCTCGATTTCTATTCATAAATAGAAATATTTCACATTTAATTAATTAAAATCAAAAAGAAAGTTTGGAAAGGATCTCGAAAAATCATCGAATAGTTTTAAATAACCATTTGTACTGGAGATTATATCTGTATTATTATAAGATATTTATTGTTTACTGCTTAGAAATAGTTTTACTATAAATAGACGAAAAACATTTTGTTTTTTCGAAACGATCAGTTTGATTCCATCTGTTTTAAGTCTTATTTCTTTGAGAATAAAAAAATGAAATCTTTGCTTTTAATCGAGTACCTACCATGATATATCCACGGGTTCAAAATAATTATAACTCTTAATTCCGACCATTAAAAAAACACAAACTATTCGATTAGATGCGGTTCATACATGAAAGTAATTTTTCATATCATAGAAAAATGATCCGATATAAATTCATCATGATCAGATAACTGTTTGCCCAGCATGAATATTACAATTTGAGTAAATGCCACGAGATAGGAATACTTACCGACTGTTATATAGGTTATAAACTTTAGTATATCTACAACCTCTATAAAAAAAACAACAACATGCGTATTTATCAAAACAGAACGAGAAAAAAAGCAATGTCTAGTTAAATAGTGTTGTATTTTCAGATTGATATTTCATATAATGGATTTATCTGGTTTTGGTCGTGAGGACTTAGAGCAAGGAAAGCTGAATGATATGCTACATAAAGTAGGTATTAAAGATGTTGGTCAATTTGTGAAAAAATTTCGCAATCAGGCTCAACAACCTGGAGGTGATGACGAAGAGGAGGATGAAGATACATCGTGCCGTACTGCATCGGACCAACAGGCGAATCTATTCTCGATGGGGAGTTCACTATTAAATCAAGTTTGCTAAGATATTTATTTCTTTTAAATAGAGTCATTTACATTGTTTTCATGAATTAAGTTTTCTCGTGGTGGTGGTGGTGGCGGTGGCGGAGGTGGAAACAATTCTGCTGATATGATCCAAGGTGCCATGAACGCATATAACATGTTTTCAGGTGGTAAAAATCAAAGTAGTGGTGGCGGCGGTTTTCTCGATAATATCAGTAGGAAACAACGAATGATTGTAAAAATACGAAAATTAATTTAATCTAGGTTCATCATATCAAAATGCTCAAAAAATGTATGCTCTTTACCAACAATTCGATAAAAATGGCGATGGAAAAATAACTGTTGAAGATATACAAATTTATCTTCAAGAAATGGGACTTGGATTTGTTTCACCATGTAAGTGTTGTTCGTTGTTTCATATACGATGAATTTTCATATTTTTCTGTTGATTCAGATTTGGCTCAAGCGTTATTTCAAGCAGTCGATCAAAATCATAATGGTTCACTGGATTTTACGGATCTTATGGCATTAACTACTTTATTAAATAAGATGTCCGGCCAATTCGGTGGAATACAAAAATAATTCTTCTAATGCAAAAGCTTTATATTGGTGCTTTCTTATTTTTCATGAATAAATTACATATTTATCATTGATAGTGTAGAACTATAATTCAGCAAAATTTGAATAAAGTGAATTTTTACATTTTCTTTCATTTTACGACACCAGATAACGTGACGATACTCCATAGTTCTCTTATCTCTCTCTATAAAAGAGAGAAATAGATGCATCTACATAGATATAACAATCTCGATTGTTTTATGCGTTTGTGTTGTTCGATAAACAAATGGAGAAATTAGCAAATCTAACTGAAGCAGATATCAATAATGGTGTACTTATGCGTATGCTTGTTAATGCAGGTATCCCTGATGTTCAACAATATGTCAAACATTTCAATCGAGAAGTCGAGGAGATCGTAGTCGAAGAATTCGAACATTCCGCTAGACATAAGTCATCGAATGAAGAGCAAAGCGCTCCTCCAACTGATATGCAAAGTTGGCTCACAGGTTTAAGACCTCGTTTGGATGAACCGATTAAATCAACTGAACCGCAAAAACAACAACCAACTGATCTTCATAGTTGGATGCACAGTATGGCATCTAGTGATCAACAGGCACCTGTAGACAGCACTCCATCACAAACAATCAACAGTAGTTCGAGTGATAGTCCTGCTGTCACGGGTGATATCGGAATTTGGCTTCATAATTGGTCGACAAACCTTACTGAACAACCACCACCTAAGTCTCTTGATGATTGGTTAAAAGGTTTAGTACCCGAAAATATGAGTGAATCTATTGGAAAAGAAGCTAGTTCTAAAGGTCGATTGAATACATATCTGGATGCTGCTGAGAAAGTTCTTTCTGGATATGGTTATGATGTTTCAAATCCAACTAAACCTACCAATAATGTTCCAGCNTTGGCTTCATAATTGGTCGACAAACCTTACTGAACAACCACCACCTAAGTCTCTTGATGATTGGTTAAAAGGTTTAGTACCCGAAAATATGAGTGAATCTATTGGAAAAGAAGCTAGTTCTAAAGGTCGAGTAAATACTTATTTAAATGCTGCTGAGAAAGTTCTTTCTGTATATGGTTATGATGTTTCGAATCCAACTAAACCTACCAATAATGTTCCAGCTAAAACTGGTATGCTAGGAAATGTGAAACAAATGTATTTTCTTGTAAGTTTTACTTTTGATCTTGTTCAATTTATTTATATTTGTTCTGCAGTGGAAAACGTTAGACAAAAATAATGATCGAAAGATCACCGTTGAAGATGTTCAAATAATGCTTGCAGAAATGGGTCTTGGTTTTCTTAGTAAATATGTAGCTAAAGCATTATTTGACATGGTCGATTCAAATCATGATGGTCAACTTCAATTTCGTGATTTTATTGCTTTAATGGGCATCATCAAAAAATTACTCAGTGCTGTTGCATCAGCAAAAACTGCGTAAATCTCTTCAGAAATTGTATTCATCGGATATAAACATCTACACAAAAAATCTTACATATTTTTTTTTCTACATAAATATCGTTGATTTTTAAGCTGTGTATGATTAATTCAAATAGATTTGTCTGGAATGATAAAGTTGGCTTCTTTTTATGTTGCTGCTCTGCTAGATTTTAGAAGGAAGAAATCTACTTTTTGATGATATTAGAAACAATTTTAATACATTACTGTGATATATTGTTTTCTCTCACATTATTAAACTCAGTTATCAGCGAGACAGCAACGTGATAGTATGACAACAGAACGGAACAAAAGGATAATCTTCCTCCGGTGGAATCGAACCAACGTCTTCTGCTCTCCGGACAGTTGTACTACCACTATACTAGGAAGGAGCGTGTATTATTCGTTTGTTCCGTCTTATGATCGAAGGGGAACACTTCGGTCGTAACAATTACGCAGCGAATTTTTTCTTTCAAAACGGCATTTAAATAGCATATCGATAGGCGTTTGCTTTTATTATCAAACTTGATGATTGTACCTAAACCATTGAAGCGTGTAACGTGCATAAACATCCAGACTATCAAAATGAGTTAAAAGCAATGTAAATATCTATGTTTTTGTAAAATATGTCGACAATGAAACATAATATGCATAGAAAATGAATGAAAGAACAGTAAAAGAGCTCCTCTTTTTAACGCCGATGATGAATGAATCATTTATTAATTGTTCGAGATTATTCTTATGAAATTTTGAAAGACACGTGGATTCGAACGAAGAAAAATAAAGCATAAATAAATGTGAAAGCAATGAGACAATTTTTGAGGTCGAATACAAACAGCTCAGGGCCTATTTGCAATTTCACAACAGTCTGAATCTCTTTATTGAATTTTTATTGAAAATTAGGATATCTACTAGAAGAAAAATTGTCATTCATTTCAATTCTATATGGAACATTTCAAAAAGTTTTGTTATGATAACCTAACTGGGAAAAATTTAGGCCCAAAAGTGCAAAAAAAACTTTTTTCTTTATTTAATATAAATCGAACTTTCGATCGTATTAAGATACATCACGTACCACTTACTGTTCTTTTTCAACCTGATGAAAGACTCGTTATTTTTGCTCAGTCATGCTGTACCGTACGTACCAATCATTTATGTTGCGTCGACATTAGCAAATAATTATACGAAAATATATTTATGAGCAAAACAATGCACTTTTGATTCATTCAGGATAGCTATTTAAAACATCATGCTCAATTCCAAAGAAGATACTCATCGATAACAGCTACTATTCAAAAGAAATAAACTTAAATATATTCTCTTCCCTGATGCGCACTAGTTAGAATGAATCAGATTTTAATTGAGAATATTTGTCAAGTATAACCAATGTTGAAAGAAAGATTTCACGGCTCAAATAAACAAATATATTCCGCCTGATATTCAAATATACACCTACGCATGTCAAATCTAATGTTCTAATTAATATGAGTACATTGATGCGAACTATTCTTCAATTAACAGAAAAATGTCGATTATACTAATAATGTCATTTAATTTCTTACAGGCGTTTCTTTCGCTTGTTCTATTCTGAATAATAGTCGTGACGTAATACGGCTCTGACACATGCAGCCACTTTCGCTTTATCATATTCATGCGTGGAATAAAGTGTGTCCAATCTATTGAGGAAAAAAAAATATATATTACTATTGCGACGATAGTTTTCTCTTATTTAAATTATCTCTTTCTACTAACGACCCGATTGATCATATATATTAAGAAAGATTCTCTTGGTAGAAACAGTTGTTTGAGTTATTTGATTTGTAAGATTTGAAAATGTTTCGGTGCACTTTAGAAAACATCGATAGATTCAAGTTGGTAACTTAAGGAAGTATTACTCACCTATATTGATTAGAATAATTAACCTGTATGACGCAATTGACACGTGATATATTGGAAATTCCAACTTGTAAAATGTGACGAAACATTTTCAAATAGACGTTTTTTTTTCTATACAATGTTTTTTTTCTTTAAATGAAAACTTAACATTTTCCTTTTAGTTATATTCAGTTATGAAAATGTCAATGGTGTCTCAGTTTTTCCTAGTCACTTTATTATTGTTAATATCAATCGACATTTCACCTTGCTCCGGATATATTTCAGGTACAATGACCCAAAAAGAATGTGAAGAATGTAAGTATACGGAAATTAAACTTCATTTTCTTATTGAACTGTTCAATTTATTTTATAGATTTTAATTCAAAGAATGGATTTAAATGCTACATAGCAACAACAAAATGCCCACGATGGCTTCACAAGAAATGTCGCAGATCAATATAATGCAATGGATTCAATAAAACCATTCTATGCTGTTTTCAAGCGAGCATAATAACGAATCATTTTTGTTCACACACAAGAAACAAATCGATATCGTTCGTTTTTTTTTGTCATTTGTCAAATGTTTTATTTTACACAATGGTACACATAAATTGGGGATTTTTTAAATAAACTATAATTTAATTAGATATAATAATTATTTTTAATGCGATGCGAAGCACAGCATTTCTGTAATCCGTCGCGTGTTTTCTTTTGCTTTTGCATTCTCGACGTACGCATCGTTTCCGTCGTTTTGTGACGCGATGGTCTCGAGTACCAAAAATCATAGAAAACTCATTGAAACGGGAGATGAAAGTATCGAGATCGAAATCTTTAATCTAATATTCCGTTCACTCACAAATGTGCTTCCAAAATGACGAAAATGAAAGAAATTTGTTGCGAGATAATTAAAGTGACGTCATGAGCATATGCTAGCCACTATAGTCTATTAATTTACATCTGATCTAAGATAATGAATCATGGAGATAATTAATCGATCAGTCGAAATTGGCTCTTAAGAATGTATCGCTAAGTAAGAGTAGAGTTTTCTCAGTGATGAATTTCATCATGTCGACATAAAAAGTATTCAAGATTTTTCTGAATTGAAGATTCTTCGTGAAGATCCGTAGTTGAACGAGAGTGAACTTTTTTCGTAATGTGGCGATACCTTGTAGCATGAGACTATTGGCCTTTGAATGTCGGATCAATTAGAAACTATGATGACATACTTCTCTAGAGTTATTCAGTATTCAACATTATTGAATATATTCGAAGATTTCAATCACAAAAAGAAGTAGTTGTATTTTTGTATTCTTATGATTGACTAAAAAAAAAACGTTGATCTGAATATTGTGTATGTTCAGTTATGGCATTAATTTTTTGATTGGACACTCAACGATAATAACAGATAAGTCTTGTCATAACATCAACCATATGTAAAATGTATAGTTTTGTTTTTAGTTTGTCTAAAAATATCTTGCGAAGATCGACTCCTAAAATCTGCTAACAATGCTATTGAGATGCACTCTCAATTACAGAGTTATGTAGAAAAATTCAAGTTTAAAAATATGCTAACTTACGATTTCAGAAGTTAATTACCGTCTTACTCTACAATGAATTCTTTTCACAACAAGTATCAACGTTTGAAAATGCGTGTTATAAATACGGAATTCAATTTTCGTAAGAATTAGTGACGCATGTCAACGTGCGTCATGTTTACTCATATATGTAACTGTCTATATCAGTAATCAATGTTTCGCATAGTCATTTGGCGAAGCAAACATGTTTATCATCATAACGATTGGTAACTTATTGTATTAGCCATTGAGTAAGATTTTGCTCATTCTTTTTCATCCAATACATCATACCACGTGCAGTTACACATCCACTCCTTATCTTTACTCATCCTATATAATAAACACAAAACAGCCTTTAAACCACTCACATTAATACATTCGTTTTTTTTTGTTTTGTTATTCATACACAAATGGAAGCGTTAGGCCATTTAACTCAAGCAGATATTAATAATGGTGTACTTAATCGTATGCTTGCCACTGCAGGAATCCCTGATGTTCAAGAACATGTAAAAGACTTTCATCAAAAAGTTGAGGGAATAATTGTTGAAGAATTCGAAAGTGCTGATCCAGATCAAGAAGAGTATAATGAACCAATAGCTTCACCATCTGAGATTCAAAATTGGGCTAAACATTTACAACTTCATCTAGATGATCCTGTTAAACCGTCTCTACCAAAGTCTGAAGAACCAGAAAAGCAGCAACGAACTGATCTTCATAGTTGGATGCAAAGGATGGCACCTAGTGACCAACAGGCACCTGTAGATAGCACTCCATCACAAACAATCAACAGTAGTTCGAGTGATAGTCCTGCTGTCACGGGTAATATCGGAGCTTGGCTTCATAATTGGTCGACAAACCTTACTGAACAACCACCACCTAAGTCTCTTGATGATTGGTTAAAAGGTTTAGTACCCGAAAATATGAGTGAATCTATTGGAAAAGAAGCTAGTTCTAAAGGTCGAGTAAATACTTATTTAAATGCTGCTGAGAAAGTTCTTTCTGTATATGGTTATGATGTTTCGAATCCAACTAAACCTACCAATAATGTTCCAGCTAAAACTGGTATGCTAGGAAATGTGAAACAAATGTATTTTCTTGTAAGTTTTACTTTTGATCTTGTTCAATTTATTTATATTTGTTCTGCAGTGGAAAACGTTAGACAAAAATAATGATCGAAAGATCACCGTTGAAGATGTTCAAATAATGCTTGCAGAAATGGGTCTTGGTTTTCTTAGTAAATATGTAGCTAAAGCATTATTTGACATGGTCGATTCAAATCATGATGGTCAACTTCAATTTCGTGATTTTATTGCTTTGATGAGTATCATCACAAAATTAGTTGCTGCTATTGGTTCAAAATAGTCATAGACATTCTATTATTTATTATTATGATGAGTTGCTCAAGGGTAACATTTATATGATTAAACTAATCAAACGTCTTGTAGAAATAATAAGTTTAGAAGGATATAGAGATACTGATTAGTAATCGGCTGTTTGTTTTATGATGATGTTCGAATAAAATATTCGACGATAATCTTTCAGCTAATTCAATTATGAAAAACAATTCATTCAAGCATGAAACTAGAAATACAGTGTATAATTTAGCGTGAATAGTCGATTATAAAAGTGTCTAAATCAGTGGAAAATATTTTTGCAATCGTACATACTACGAGAATTCTATACCGAACTTTAGGAAATAATTATTAAACAATAATTTACATTAGTGCTTGAACACTTGCATGTGATCTATGTTGGCTATCATTTTAAATTCATTCATTTGATTTTCTGAATAAATATTAATATCATCCTGCTCTGTTTGGCATGATCATCCGTCAGATGAAAATAACATAGAACAATTAAAAACTTCAAATAAAATAATTTGTCTCATCGAAGGAAATAGACCATGATTCTCCCACTCTCCACTCAGGAGCTTGTTTACTTTTAGTTTTTAGAAGTATGACAATTGGAAATAAAACAGCGGACTTTTTCAGTGCTGCTGAAAAGAAACGGCGGGAATTTTTAGATTTAGGTTATTAGACAAAAACAAAAGCATGACTTTCGAAATCAAGAAGGAACAAAATGCTCCATCATCGTTTTATGAGTATTTTATTTTGAACTAATCTATTCTAACAGTATTGGTTGTTTTATCACAATCTAGAAATGATTGTAATTTGAAGTAAATATCATGAAATCATATCCTCAAGAAAATAATTCTAAGGCTAAGTGCACCATTCTTTTTATTAGCACGTAGGTCTACGTGTTTCCAGCAAATCGCTATCAACTAATAGGTTCAGCAAAAGTTTCTCAATCAACAAACAAAATACTCTATAAAGCACTATTATTATTTTTTTAATCATAGACAGCACTCATTAATAAAGCAATTTTATACTTGGGTTATACGTGATGATTTTTTCAAGTATAAAATAAAAACGTTCAAGCTCCTATCTCATATTCTCAAGACGCACACAGAAACAAAATAACAGAAGACACATTTGACAACTCCATTAGTATATACTGTGCGTGTTTTTAATAATCATCTATTGAATAGATAAATGACCTTTGAGTGCAAAGATTGTTTCTCTTTGCATAGCAGAATTTTAAAAAGTATTCTCTTTTTTTTTGTTTTTTATTCTCAACAAAAATTGACCGTACAAAGAAGCAAACAAAAGTAAAACAGAACAAAGTATCATGCTAACGTCTAGAATTTATGCATGACAATAGCCTAGAATAATAGAAAAACACCGTTGCAGTAATCGGTTTGAAATGAATAAATTGAAAATTATGACTATGGTTCATCTACACAATAAATACAGTAAATCAATAATTATCTGATAAAACAAAAAGAAGAAATGATCGCACTCACACACACACACACACGCGCGCGCATGAATAAGAACGAAATAGGGTTACAGCTAGAATTATGTTCGTTCATGTAAAACAATCAATTCGTCACACGTAAATGCATGAATCGAATGATTGAGAATCAGAACTGATAAATTCTAACTACTATTTGACCGTTTAAGCCAAACAGGGCCATCATCTGACTTGATTCCTGTCTCTTTTAACATATTTCGTCTTGTAGAAGCTGACAATGGTGAATTTTTTATCGTTGATACTTCATCTATATCGTGTGTTGACGATATAGCAGCTTGTCGTTGAATAATCATCACTGTTTTTTGTTTTCGTTTTACAGCAGATATCGGTGTTTCTTCAAGAAGTATATCATTTTGTCTCATACTTGTTGCTTGTGTTCGATGTATTGGTACATGAAGACGAGGTGCTGAATAGCACGGCCGAAGAGAACTTGTTGCTGCTGCTGCTGCTGCCGAGGGCAACAGCGAATGTGGTGATGGTGATCGTGATGGTTGAATTATGTGTGGGGATGGTGAACGTTGTCGATTCGTAGCTTGTGAATGTATACTTAATTGTGAGTAGGGTGATATTGATGGAGATATGTAAAATGGTCGCGTTGGTGCTGATGATGGAACACCACGTCCTATAGATGATTGTCGATAGTATCGATGATTATTTGAATTTGGTGATAGACTAGCACGTGGCGTGTACAATTCAATTAATTCTCCTGTTATTAGTGAAGCACGTTTAACTAGAAAGGATGCTTGATGATTACGTGAACTTTCACGCCGTCGTGAACCTATTGTAAGATTTTCATTTAAACCACCATATTCACTTTCGAAATAAGTTGAATTTGTGAATACTTGTGAAAAATAGGACGAAGCAAAGTAGGACGATGTTGACGTACGATGATGTCGTCGTGTGCTAGCATTTGATGTACTTCGTAATGATGAATTATTTTTATTGTTTGAATGTAAATTTAAATTACGTGTAAATGTTAAACGCCATCGAAGAAAGAAACATGTTTGTTCAGCTGGACCAAAATAACAAAGAAGTGATTGAAGAAAAAATGTTGAATAAATAAGGCTAGTGATAGATGATACTATGTAAATCATAGCCGTTTTAGATAAATAGGGCAATGAAGAAAATAACCAAGGACAACAAATTATTATTATTGAAAATGTATATTGAAATAATGTTGTACATAATTGATTTAGTGAATGCATTGTACGATTTTCTCGTTGATAAACAAATGTTGGAGCTAATTTATAGCTAAATAAAAAAAAGTAGAAGCATGTAATTGATTTATTTTTTGGTCAAGAATGATAGAGTTCAATATGTTGACTTAATCAATTAAAATATAAGATTTCTTGCAGCATTATTTTTATGTTTAGATCATAAGTCTAAGAAATCGGTCGGTTACATGGTACAGAACTAATCGAGTAAACTGAAATAACTAACAGTAAATTACCTTCGATATGCAATTAGCGAAATTTACAAAAAAAATTAGATACTCTTTTAATAATTAAAAAATACGATTTTTAGTATGAATTAATAGTAAATCAAGATTATTCATCGCTAAGCATTCTAGAAGATACCCCGCTGGTACTGATAAAAACGTTTCGTGACAAGAAAAGCATCATAGGGATTTATATCTGTCACAGATTGATATTTTAAAGAGCAAGTTCTGTTAACTTTAGACTGTTCTATCGCCTTGGATGGAAGCAGCCTGAACGTCTATGGCATACTATCAATTATATACGAACGGAAACAAAGTTTCCTTGTTCCAATCTAGAGAAAGTTAATTCAGACTCTATTCTCATTAGATCTTAAGAAAGTATTCACGCACTATTTTACATGATACTTAATAATAAAAAGAACGATCCGATTAAAAAGCATATAGAATATTTAATAAAAATCTGTTCCTTGCAAACCTTGAAAACTAAATTTTGACATTTTACTCCTAAACGTTTCAACCCATGGCAATAGACGAACGAATAATTCTTACCTAATTGAATAGAGTATTGAATATTGTGAAGAAAAAATAAGCAAAATAATAAAATAAGATATATTTTCAACTGTTAATTTATAATTCAATAATGTAAATATAGCTAGAGATGTAACGAAATTGAATAGTATAGTTAATGTAACAAATATTCCTAGAGCGCCAGTAAATAAAGTTAGAAAAACAAATATAATAATAAATCTAATAGCAATTAAAAAATATTTTTCTTGTTGTAATTGTTCCATGATTGTAAAAGTTGAAAATATTTCACTTGTCCACCAGAAAGATACTTGTGTTGAAATTTTAGAATAGAATTTCGTTATAAAATTTTGTTTTATACTTTCTATTAACGATTGCCATTCATTATAATTATTAAAATTTGTTTTTAGTAACCACTTGTAATTGACTGTTTGAAATAAATAACGAGGAATTTGATCATTGATAAATCTCAAACCATTTCGAACGAGAAATAAATCATCGTATTTATTTGATAGGTAATAGAGAGAATTCAAACACAGTATACATTCATATCGTGTCTCGGTTGTATTTAATGAACATATGAATGTACAATTATCTGCTTGATTACTACGATAGCGTATATAGGAAGAAAATTTTGAATTCGTTAATAATGAAGGTTCAGATTCATATAAAAATAAATCACCGAAACAATGAAAATTATTTATACTTAAATTTTCATCCTGAGTTGAAATACGTGACGTACTACTAGAAGAAAAATTTAATTGATATTTATATTCAGAACTGCAAAAAAAATGGAGAATCTTTTCGAAACAGTTCCATAAGACTGAGAAAATTTTTCTTTCTATTTCTATTTCTATTTAAATCTCTAGATCTAATTGAGCATTTTTTTCTTTCTTTCATATTTTAAATGTATCAATTGACGAAACGTGGGTACTCTATTTATAACCATGGATGATCATCAGACAAACACGGAAGTTCTTGGCAGTCTTTGTTTAATCATGTTTGTTGGCATTGTATTTTTTTTAATAGTCGAGAGAAGTGAAATTTTCTGGCGAAGGACTATTGACATACGAATATTTTTAAGACTCCCGCAAAAACAAATCTCTCGGAATAAATAGAAACATATTCTTACCTAACAATTGAACTATTTTGAAGTATCTGTGGGGCTATATGACGATAATAATGTTTATATACAGATGTTTTCCTATTTATTTCATGCTGTATTGATGCACAAAATTGTATTAATTGCGATAAATTATGATTTAATGCATATGCAAATGTATCGATTTCATCAGGTCTCGATGTCATTTTATTTTCTGCATTATAATCAAGTATAGGAATATCCCTGAATGGTATTAATGATTCATTAGGCACCTCCCAACGTGAGCCAATGTAATATGTAACATCAATATCTGAGCTATTTAATGAAGCTTCATAAATATTCGATGGTGTATGTATTGATAGTGTATCGCATGTAATACGACATATATTATATTGTAATTTTGGCCATTGAAATATAATAACAAAAGCTAAGCAAGATATTATGGTGATTAATGTTAACCATAATGCTTTTAATCGCACGATAAGATAAGGAACAAGACGATTAATGAAATAATTCATCTTCGATGTTATAAAGCGACGAGAAAGATGTTCAGTTGTTGGAATCGATGATTGATAACGAAGAATGAATATAAATGAAGCTATAAAAACAGATTTAAATGAAAAATTTAACAGAAAAGAATCATAATATAGCTTTTCAAGTCCCTGGTGATTTGCTAAATCTTTTTGGAAAATGTTCGAAAGTTAATTTCTCTAATTCTATTATCATAAATCAGTTTGTTTCCTCGAGGGATCGCATAGAATAGCTCGAACAAATCTTGAAATTCATTCACTATTCTATAGATCTCAAGTGAAATTATACCAAATGTAAAAACAAATCATAAATGGTTGGGGATACGTAACAGTAGTAAGCTCTTCAGATCTCTCCAGACATTATTACTATGCCTATTTACATACTATGCAAAAAGAAAAGCTCTTTACTCGATCAATAATTGATTATTTCCACAAAAACAAAAAAACAAAATTTTTCCCCTTTGAACTTACTATTATTTTTATTAAAGTTTCTAGATATAAAAAAAAAAGACTATTTTTTTTACAATCATATAAACCTTATCATATAGTAACCATAAATAAACGACGGCCCGTAGTAAACCACTAAAACATTATGATATAAAATGATTCTATAGTCGAGCTAATTGACATAAGATTTTCTGCATTGCTAAGATTTCACGTTTCATTAGGAAAATTTCATTCGTAATGCTTGTTTTTCTTGATTATTGAGAAGCTCAGACTATACCCTATTTGTACTCTAAGGATTAATCAAATTAATCGGCGAATATTCTATTTTGTTTATATTTTCTCCCGAGATTTTCTTTTTGTTGTTTTGATTGATACTATAACCTTGAGATAATAGAAACTCGAACAATCTTATTCTGTGTCGATCATGAATATGCGTTTCTCTTATTTTGATTACAACTATTTATATTATACTTCAACTCGATTTGATTACCTGGATAGAGAATAAATGAAATAAAAAATGATATTGATATAAGTAAAAAAGAAAATATAGTAAAACATTGTAATGCTATAATTTGATTTGTATATGTAATAACAAATGTAATTATGGCTGTTAACGTTTTTGGTATTAAATAGAAAAATGTTTGTGTGAGCAAATTTTCCATAATACGCTGAATTGTACAATCATCACGTCTATGTTTATTAATAAACCAACAAGTATACCATAAAAATGAATCAATAAGTAATAAAAATAAATATAATATTAAACTTGTATAATTTAATATTGTTATTGGAAAATGAAATAAATAATAATAAATAGTAAAACAAGAAAAAAATGTTAATAATACATGAAAAATAATTATTACAATAAAGAATAAATTTTTTACAAATAATACAAGACAAACGAAATAGAGACATATCGTAATATAAATAAAATAATGATTTTTTTCAACATAATAATTAAATAGAATTTCTTCATCGTTAAAATCAAAATTCATAAATTTTAAATAGAATATTTTCTTATATTTGTAATTATATATATTATCATATAGATGCACGAGTTTTGTTGAATTATGTTCCATAGATAAATATATTTTAAATGTTAATGATGTTTCAATATAAGTTAGATATTTTTCAAGTTTACTATTTAAACATGATGATTTACATGATAACCATTGTTTAGAATATTCATTAAGATCGTTTTGTGTTAAACTATCGCATTCTTCAGCTGATGATATTACTTGATCTTTAAATAGAAGTCCAACTAGAAAAATAAGCAAAATAAATTCTCTTTCTTTTGTTTTTATTATTTCGATTAACTGCAGAACTAAGCATTCATTGACCCGGAAAATTTCAGTGCTTCAACGTTCTCTAAAGGGATTTTTTCGCTTTAATGTATTTATTACCTGGTCCAATGAATTGACAACACGAATGGTTCGTTGAACAATTTGCATAGGTAGAACGTAAACTCCACTCGAGTTTGCAAACTGATTTAAATATGCTAATATCATCGAATAATCTTCTATTATTATCATTAAATTGAAATATTAATTCTGTATAAGGAACTAGAATAGACAAATTTTTGTTTTTATTAAAGTTTTTCAAATTCAATATTTTGTAATTTACGTATAGGACATCTTGATAAATGAAATCGTTTTGAACATGGATTAGTATTTGGATTGAAAGATGAATATGGCGTTTGTTGATATATCTAAGAAATATATATTCATAAATCCTTGATTTTTTTCTCTCGCTCTCTCCTATTCTTATAATATATGTTTCAGCCTGCCTTTTTTTTTTATAATCGAATTTCATTCTATCGGAGATCATATTAAAATGAATTCTATTTTTAAAACAAATCCACCTACTTTGCTATTAATTGAATGTGGATATAAATGTGTTGTTTGAGTTTCACGTATAAGTGCAATTAATTTTCGGTATTCGCTCGATGTTTTTGTGCCATGTGCTTGAAAACCCTATTTAATTAATTTCCATTAGAGACGAAAATTAACAGATCTTTCAAAAACAAAAAGCTTTACTCTTAATGAATGCCCATAATCTATTTCATCACGTTTATAAATTAAAAACATAATACAGATACTTGTCATAAGAAATGTACAACAAAGTATGAATAAGTGATATTTAATTAAAAATCGAACGTATCTAAAGGTAATTTGTATAAGAAAAGAAAAATAATTAAAAATAAAATCTACTCACTTAGCTTTAAGGTGACTACTACACACCATCGCATACTGAATGGAATAGAAAAGAAGAGCTTAGCAAGTAGCTAGCTCGTCAGCGTTCTATTAATGTTGTTTTTCTTAAAAATAAAACAAAAAAAAATCAAAAATCAAATAGCAACATGTATATAAATATATGTCAACTACTGTCCAATTAGGCAAGACTAAGGGAGATACAACATTAAGAGAAGAAAGAACTATTAGCTAAAAAAGCATGCAAATTCACTATTAGAGCACGCACATAAATGGATGCACACAAGCGCGCTCGCGCGCTAACCATAGTGCTAAAGATGCTAATCCTTTGCTTCTTGTTATATTCCACTGATATTACCCATAGGGCAAGTCAACTAGACTATTGGTGTGAAATGCGATGCTTTCTCTATCTATCCATCGATATGTATATAATATAGTCTTGTTGTCAGTTTAGCAATTTGTTTTGTTTTGGTGTCAATTTGATATGTGAAATCAACGAAAACGGTGGCATTATCTTTTTTTCTTATTCTCTTTTCTATCATGATCTATTGTCGAGAAAGTATCACTAATTTTTATCTCAGATTGCCATTAAGAGACAAACAAACTCACTTATAAAACTAATGTCATTCACCGAGCCTGTCATGACATAAATATATCCTACTTTATTTTTTATAATATTACGACGATAAATAGTTAATAGGCAAAAAGAATAAGAATATGCATAGACGCTTCCTTGTTTTCGGAGACGTGGGCACACATTTTTTGATTATCACCATTCGACCAGACTCCTGACGGATTTCTGTGCTTCTTTTTCCTCTCTTTCTCTCTCTCTCTCTCTATCTGTGACGCGACTACATAGTTGATTTTTTGGCTTGCTGAATGCATCTCAGCCGCACCGACGATGACAACAGCTTTTTAGGCTGCTGCTGCTGATGACGTGCGTTGATGACGATGTTAGACAAGCAACAGTAAAAAAAAAAGAAGAAGAAGAAGAAGAAGAAGAAGAAGAAGAATGCGATTATGATTATTTGATCGAGCTCGTTGTAGTTCTGTGGTAGTTATGGACGTGTAGTTATAGTAGTAAAAGCATTATTATTGTGTATAAATCGTCCTTGGTTTCTCTCTTTTCTTTGTATCTCATCCTGTCATTGTTTCTATCTATCAATCTATCTATTGGATGAGAGTTCATAGAATTAAACGGATCAAGCATATCAGTTGTCGACTAATCTGTGTTTTTCATTTTTAACGAACCTGGAAAGGAAAAACTCATGAACTGATCTATTTAAAAAAATTATTCTACTTCAACAAAAATGACTTTCTCCTAATTAGACATTATACATGAGATATATGCATTTTTTCCTCTCGGATAATTAGGTGTTCATGATTGTAGAGAATAAAAGTAAACAAGATAACTTCATGATTTAAGTAACAAAACAGACAACCAAAAATATACAAATTGATGTATACCAGAGAGAGAAAAATGCTTAATAAACTACTCTTGATTATGGAGAGTGTCGTTTCAATTATCCGTTGAATGTATATGAAAGTATGAACATTTACAATATATTTGTTAGACGATGAGGATGAATATTTACTCAAATTTTGTTGCTATCTAATACTCCGACGTTCTATTATTGATTATTTTCTCTTGAAGCATTTATATGTTCGAAAGATGGTTAAAGAAGTATGTAAATATATATTGTATTGACATCTTCTGATACCAACTGCGGCAGACAAGAGAAAACCTAATTAAAAAAAGTCAAATTTCTTAAATGAAATCTTTTTCTGTTTTCTATTCTCAACTTCCTAATCGGATAAACATGCAGGAAACGCTAGAGAAAAAAAGAGAAAAATCTATTAACACAATATTCAATAAGAAAATTATAAAAAAAATTTCATTATCATCATCGATTGTTAAATTTTCAAAGAATAAAGCTCTCGTCAGTTTTTGGGTTTTTAATTAAAACAAATTGCCAAGTTACTTTCTGACAACAAAAAGAAACGATGACTTCTTCTAATAAGCATATATTATATGCATGTAATAAATAGGAGACGACGAAGAAGAACAAAAAATACTAATTTTTTTTTTTAGGTTAACATTATTGCTATTGTCTTCAGCCTTTTTTTCTACATGTTTTCATCATCTAGATGATCGGTTACATGCAGAGAACGCACGTAAAAAAAGAAACAAAAGGCAAGCAACTCGTCAAAACAAGAAAAAGAGTCATTTTTTTCACCGATGAATAACGACACCAGGGCTATTATTCAATGACGTCAATATATCACAACATAATTTGAGCACTCATGATAATAATTAGAACCGAAAGATTACTTTTTTTTCTTTTTTGATAAAAAGGAAGCAGGGCGCAGTTAAGCGAAATTAATATACGACGGTTATACATACTTATTAATTGTATACAAGAAGAATGCTCTATTAGCATGCTGTTGCTGTTGATATTCTTTCTTTGTTTTTGAACAGTGATAATCATAATAAATGAAGATCTTAAATGAATACAAAGAATAGTTCTATTCATATGACAGAATGAATGATAGCGACGACAATATCATGTTTCACGTTTTTATTTTCAAACCACATGTGTTTGCGTGTGCATCGTGTAAACTCTATTTTCTACTTTGACTGTTAGTTGTGTAGCTATGCATTCCGATGGCATAATTTCCCGAGCGCACACGCATTAAAAAAAATGAAAAAAGAAAGACGAAAGATATAGTGAGAATATAGAGATAGAGAAGTGAAGTGCGCTCGCACATCTAAGGAGAAGAGAAAAAGGAATGAGAACAATGATGATAACTGGTAGTACAAGTACTCATCTATGCTGACATTGTTAGAGGAGTACTGCTGATGCCAAATGATGAAGAAGACAGAAAACGATGACTGAGGAGTTGTCTTCGAGGTATGATTCGTTAGCATCGAGGGACGGATGTTAAAAAAGAAGAGAAAATAAATAAATAAAACAAAAACGAGACCATCATTCTTCTTTTTTTCCCCTGATCAATGTAATCATCTCTCTCTCTCTCTCTCTATATATATATATATATATAGTTTGATGTATAAGTACATTATTAAATAATTGACATTGAGAAAAAAGTTCACTAGGTTTCCTTTATTACTACGGGCTTAATCTAAATCGTAACAACATTGAATAAAACTAACCCTATCATACGAACAATAAATTCTCCTTTTTTTTTATTTGTTTTTGAGTCTCGATAATACTTGTATTTGTTCTTTATGAAAAGAATTCTTATTTTTTTTCAAAATGTTCATGAAAAAAAGATCATACGCATGCTCTGAAAAAGAGTCAGTCGATTGGCAATAAATATACAATCAGCTCAAATATCACTTAGCATAGTTAATTATGTTAACATTAAAAAACACGAAAGAAAACAAATAGCAAAAAAAACTTGACACCGGCAATTTCTCTCTCTCTCTCTCTCTCTCTCTATATATATATATATATATATAAATCTCTAAAGAGGAAATTTCATACGGAGAAAAATAAAAGAACATACTACCAGGCACTTAAAACTTCAAAGAATTTGAAACCTTGTTCTTTGTGTCTTTCATGATAAAGTATATATGTGGGATTGCTCGATGTTTTTTTTATTGAACTTTTTCAAGTGAAAACTTAACAATGTTATTTCATAAATGAATAAACAATTAATTGAACCATTGCCATAGATAAAAATTCATCTAATCTAATGACTTGAATTATATCTATTTGCATGCGATAAAAGAATGTCAATTAAAAGATCTCTTCAATGATATACTAATAGTAATGAATGAGACAGTAAGGTTTTCAATCGTTAATCGTTTCTGTTTGAGTAAATATCTATTAGATAGATCTTATTTTCACCCTAAAAAAGTTATTTTCTATTGAGAGAGAAAAAACAACGGTTGTGAAAACACATTTTCCCTTGACCTAACTTTGACACTATTTGATTAATCATTACTTATATATTTTCTAAGAAGATCGAGAGTATGAAAAAAAAGCAATGTGATAATTGATTTATCAATCTAGAATTCCGGCAAAAGAAACAAGCCGTATAATAGACTATTTTTTTCTCTCTAGATTTATCAATTCGCAACATCATTAATAAATTTGTAAAAATATCACTCAAACAGAATTATTCTTGCCACAATCATTTTGGGAAATATTATCCATTGACTGATCGTCATTTTAGATCATAATCTAGCAAGTTTGCCGTTCGATAAATTGGTCTCAACATGATGTAATAATAACACATGTACATATATACATGTGTATACGGAATATACGTTTAAAGATCAAATATTCTATCACCATCAATCGACTAATAGAAAGAATAATAATACTAAATTGTTGCTTTTATTGATAGTTGTGGCATGAAGAATAGTGCAGGAACAAAATTAAGCCCTTGTGTCTTCATTATTTTTTTTCGAGATCTACATCGGAGTCAATTAAATGCTTGTAACTTTTAATCTTCAGTATTGGCTGTTAGAAATGATATTATACTTTCATTGTTCAAGGTCTACATCCAATGGATGAATTCAATTGGGAGTTGTATTTTATTTTTCATAAAAATCTCAAGAGACATAAGCCGACCTTTCAACAAAAAAAACTAACACCACTTTATTCACTGATCATCAAAGAAAAATATTATAAGTGTTCATTCAAGTTCACTAGAGGTTTCTTATAAGTCAAAAAACAGCTTATTTTTCATATCATACAAAAATTATTTTTCATTCAACCAAGATTTCAAACTCGACTGTTTTTATTTTATTTACTATTAAAAAAAAATTTAAGCTCTCAATTTATTATTAATTCAAATATCACATGTTTGATACAGAGAAAAATCATTCTATAAACAGATTCACGCTATTTTATCCATAAACGTTATAATATATTCCGGATAATTCTGATCATCATGAAAAGTACAAACAATACTAAATGGATCTTTTTCATCCGTTGTCGAATCAGCTTGAATTAATTTTCCATTTGATGTCGGTATCATTGGTGGTACACGAATATCGTTATTGCCACGTACATGATGACCAACAAGCACACGGCATAGGAAAAGAAACGATACTTCTTTATGATCACTATAAACGGATGAATAACCAGCATAACGACTAAAATAAACTCCACGACCATATAAAACATAATCCATGCAATATGAACGATTAAAACCATGCGCCATTATTTGATGATGATTATCAGACTTTGTTCCGTGAAATAACCAAGTTTCGTTTAGATTTACAGGATCATTTTTTCGTTGCATATATGAACGATGTGAACAAAATTTTTCCCATAGATGACGATTTTCTATACGTTCAACCTAAAATAGATCAAAATCAAACTGCGATTTTTTCGAAAGATGATGGATCTGAAGCTTCCGACACAAGATTAAGCGAATCTTTATCTTCGGTAATCCATCATCAATAAATGTATATTTACGCTGAATATGATTGATAGTAATCATCTTAGATTTATTCAAATACAATAGTAATGTACAAATGCAAATCAATCAAGACAGATTATAAGAACTTAGATTGCATCGAACACTCCTCGCTACTGCTCTGCATGGTAAATTCACTTCTGAACGATTCATCGATGAGTATCGAAATATCGTTTTATAATATTTCTTTCATGTATGAGAAACACCACAATAAAGTGGTTACATCGGCTTTTCTTTGTCATGTTATTTAAATTAAGACCAATACTTACAAATGCAATTTCAGTGTTCGTATCAGAAACTGTCTGATGAAACGCTCGTTGCACAAATAAATATTCTGCTGATGTTTTGTCAATGGAAATCGATTCAAATAAAGCTTTACTATTTTCATTTTTATAATTATTACCCTTCCAGAACGAAGGATACTTTTGACCATATACATTATCTAGAACATTAGAAGAAGAAAAAGAAAGTATCAATGAGTGTTCAAGTTTTTCTTATTCGACTTACTATCATCATATGGATATATAATTGCGTGCGAATGTAATATAGGAAAAGAGCTTGGCATCGATCCCAATGTTCGTCCAGAGAATACATTAGGCTTCACCGCAATAGCTGGATTAGACTTTAGTTTTGTATGATTTAATGATCCCGCGAAAGGTTTATTTTTCATATTCATGCTATAGTCAATAAAACGAAGTTCTTCCGGTGAAATAATATGTTTAGAATATTCATCAACAGCCATTATTGAATTATATTTTTCCCTTGAACTCATACGATAATGTACTTTGGGTAAAAGTTGAAAGAGTACGTCAGTACTATGTGGCCGAACAATTGTATAACAGGGAAGAGATAAGTTCCTTAGAAATAATCCAAGATTTATTATTTTCGAAGCACGTGTTTCTATAAATGAATGAAATGAGGATAAACATTTATTCATTTCATGCTTCATTAATGACTTATATTCTTTCTAGACATAGAAAATTAAAGAAGATATTTTTTTATGAAGATTTTAATAGACTTTTACCACTGTTGTAGACGAATAGAAAACAAATCCTTCAATTATAATAATAAATATACGATAATCTACATTTGTACATGCATCAGCAAATATTAACTGAAACATTTGTTGATGATGACGACGAAATTGATCAATTTGAATATCTGTATTACCATTTAATGCTGATTGCTAATGAAGAAAAATCAAATTCAACAGAAGATTCTAGAAAAATATTTAAATATACAAACATAATATAGACGATGTTGATCTGCCAATTGTGGTGCTGCCACCATTGAGGATGATGATTTTTGTACGATAGAAACTAAATAGAATTGTAAATATCTCTAACATGGCTGTCATTGACAAAGTAAAATGATATTCAAATTTCAATGAAACGAAAATCCCTCAAAATTAAATTTGAAAGTACTTCTTTCAAGTCTATTTGAAAACAGCTTCGATATATTCATTTGCTAGTAAATTCTATTACAGAAAAGGTAAAATAATGCAAATGTTTCTTATGATTGTGAGAATAACATGCGGTGCAAAAGTCTTTGTAATAATGTCAAACGCTGTTAGACCATGTTGGAGACTTCTAATTCTGCTGACTTTTTTCTTGTTGAAAAGAGCAGTGTCTGAACTTTAAATCTTGTAGCAAACATATTTTTCTAGGACGAATCTGGAAATGAGGAAAAGCCAAAAACTAAACGCATGAAAAAAGTTCTAGCAACTTCACCATTCAACAGTATCACTCTCTATTTCTATTGGATTCTTTTAAAGTGTGAATAGATCACGATCAAGGATGACTTTTGTAGCATAAATGATGCTCTTTTCGATGGTGTATTGAAAGTTTAATTTAACTTTAGTTTTTGTACTGAACTATTGCTTTTTTCGAGAGAGACTGACAAATTTGATCGTTCTCACAATGTGACCATTTTGAAACTGCAAAAGATATTTGTTAAGTTACTTTAGCTGTCAAGTTTCTAAGGTTTGATACATTTCGGATAAATAAAGCGAAAAAAAATAGAGTTCATACATGGTCCCTGGTAGATATTCTTGAAAATTGATAGTTTTTTCAATGAGTGTTTTTTTACAGAAATTTTGTTTTTCAATTTTGTTTTATGAACGACTCAAGAATCAATCTAAAAATCTTGCACAAGCTCGTATCGATATAGTTTTTGAAACTCTGCATTGTGGTGTATGTTTTGTTAAAATTCTACTCATGTAGTCTAAGATATTTCTGAAATATCGATTGTTACAGTGACGTCGCTACCCAGGTCGAACAGTACGAGCCATTTACGGTTACTTTACGACTGTTTTCCGGGCGAAAGTTTGCCGTAATATCTGACGCAGTAATACGGACCGTATGATCATGAGAGTACGGAGCGCAAACAGCCGTAAATCATGAAAACTCAGTCCCGTTTACGGTGTCGTATTACTGTGCCAGGTATTACGGGCAAATAAGGCCTATTTACTTCAGTAAATATACCGTTTTGACTTCGTTTACCGTCGATAAACAGACTGTAAACGAGCCCGTTTTGATCAACCTGGGTAGTATACACACGCGACATGTATGTGTTATCCTCTATCATCGTCTTCAATCTTCATTGGTCTTTTCCTTTTCCTCTTCTCTGTTCTCTTCTCTTGTCGTTCTCGCTATATATTTCATGTAAGATAGAGTTAAGGACTTTCTTGTTAAATAAAGTTAACGTACACGTTGCCCGTACACACATTCTCTCACATTTCTCTCTCACTGTAGCATCGATTTTCCCAGGGTGCAAGAACTTTTTTCATGTTTAATTTTTGACTTTTCCTCATTTCTAGATTCGTCCTAGAAAAATATGTTTGGTACAAAATTTGAAGTGCAAACATTGCTCTTTCCAACAAGAAAAAAGTCAGCAGAATTAGAAGTCTCCAACATGGTCTAACAGCGTTTGACATTATTACAAATACTTTTGCATCGTATGTTACTCATCAATCATGAATACTATCTGAGATGGATTTTCTATTTCAAATAAGTAAAAATATGTTCCAAAATATCCACTAACATTGCTGGTATCCACGAATCATTTTCTGAAAATCAGCGATTGGCTTTATGAATTTGTCTAGGCCATGAATTGCACGTTGTTTAAACAACCACCGTCGTTCCTATACATCAATGATTAAAATATTTAATCTAATTTCAAAATTTCTACCTCAAATGAAACATAAACGGACTGATGATCAAATGATGGACTGTCCATGTTAGTATCCATTCTATCGACCATGACCTTAAAATAATATATATATATATTCAGTATAATATTTTCAACAAAAATGAAACCTACATATTGAGTAACTTTATGGGTAATAACATTCTTGACATGACGCCATTTTTCATTCCCCTCAAACGGTATTGGTGTATAGCGGCCAATGATTGTTGTAGTAAAAATACCATAGAGGATTTGTTAAGGCAACTCAAATAAAAATGGATTGAAAAAACAGTTTCCTCTCATACGAAATTGCAAATAGAAGAAAATTTTATATAGACCAAAAATCTTCTTCTCGTTCAATGACAACCGCAACAACAACAAAGTTAAAATCTCTACCCAACATTCCGATTCCGGAAGTAAAATTAAAAGAATTCATTTTGTTCATTTGTTTTCTTAATAAATAAATTTTCATTTTTGATTAGAAATTAATAAAAAATAATCCATTTTTAAGCGATAAAAAACCAGTTGAACAAAATCTACTTTCATTTGTTAGCACTGGTCTCGCGTTTGACACGGATGTTGTTCAAAAACTGTGTCCATCAGCTATACCATTTGCAAATTATAATGGTCGATCATTATATGTTCCTAATCGTGAAACAAATAGATCACCACGGCCTCCTCATCGTTTAGAACCTCTTGTTTCATTGACTGTATCCAAAGCAAGATGGAAACATGCACGTCGAGTTCTAGCACAAAAACCAATATCAGTTGAGCCGAAAAAATTTCGACCACAGAAACCACTTTTTTACATGACCCAAGTCGGTGATTATGGTAGTGGTGGTGATGATGATGATGATGATGATGAACCTGGGCAAGAATTTATTGAGGATCCAGTGACACCGACCGCGGAATCAGAAGCATCTGAAGAAGCAGGTGAAAATACGAGTGGAATACGACGTGGACATAATACTGCTGAGAAACAAGCACGAGTTATAGCTGAGAAAGATTTCGCTCAAATGGAACGAAATTGGGATCAATATATGTTCGAACATATGGATGAAAATACAGCGAAATTTATTATTTTAAAACATGTTCATGATGGTAAGGAGATGTTATTCGAACGCATCGTTTTGAGATCTAGCAAGTTGCATGCCTGCTCGGTTTATATGAAGCACTGCGATATTTTGTTTAGTAAAAATGATGAATCACTTTTATCAGATAGAATTCCGATCAATAGTGAAGATCTCGTTGTTAAACTATAGTTGGTTGTGAAAATATTTTAATTTAAGAATTTTGACGGCTTAAAACTTTACACAGAGATAGGTTTTTAACGAGAGTAATTTATTGTGAAAACTTTAGGTCTTCTAGAAAAATGTTATTTTTTTGTAATGAACAAGGATAATATTTGAAACATTAATTAAACGTTAATTTTGTGAAGCCTCAATTTGATGGAACAACATTTATTTTTTTAAAATTCCATAAAAGTGTACTATCTTCGAAGCCATAAGCTAATGACAGAAATCTCTTCTAGGGTATTCATAGCTCATATCAATCTGTATATGATGCATTGAGTGTCGGGCTTTGAAGCAAGTTATTAATTCAATTCGAATAAATCTTACTATTGCAGAAACATTGTTAACTTACAATCAAATCAAAATGTATCTGTTTGATTTTATTTACAGATGAACGCCGAGCTCGATTAATTGAATATTTGAAGAAAACCTACAATATTACAAAATTACCACATCCGCAAGAAGTTGAACTAGTAAAATGATCGAATGAATCCTAAATTCATCTACTTTATTTTTCTATACAATAATTATTCTTCTAGTTTCCAACTACTAATGAAGAAGAGAAGAAAGATGGAAAAAAAGAATTACAAAAGTCAGACGGAAACTACTTATTCATATCTATGTAAAAAAAAGAAACCATCTATATTCTATTTAGAATATCAACTCAAATACCTGACAAAGATGCTGATGTGTCCAAACGAGAAATTCCATTGTATCGCTTACCACGAGGTTTACGACGACGAGCTAAAGAAGAGAAAAAACAAGATTGTAAGATAATTATCAATCTCTAATGTTTCACAAAAGTGAATCTTCTCGTGCTAATTAGTAGCAGCTAATATGCGTTCATCTCAACAAGTGATCACTGAAAATTCAACGATACGTCGTGAAACATCATTTTATGATATAATGTCGAATAAAATCTTGAGTACAGTTTATCGAACTGATCATCCATATGAACAAGCAATGCTTCTTGGTAAAACGAACTAGTATTCACGATACAAACTACGATAAATATAAACTTTATTCAGGTAAAAATACTCATCGACCAACAAATGAACCTGGTGTTATTGTTCTTTCTGATAAACTTCAATTTGATAAAGTTCTTCAAAAACAGCTTCCACCTCATCCGGATTCTATTGCTACGAGTAAAAATCGTTTGCGCATACTACAACCATCGAAACGTCATTCTATTTAGCTCTTCAAATTGACTCATCAGCTGCATACGATCGACGAAAGCCTGCACGTGGTTTTCGTCGTTGGAAAGCTTTACCTGAAGTCAAAGATACGGTATTTTCATCGCGAATAGATCCCTTGTCCTATTTGAATATGTTTCTATACATTTCTAGCACGAATTGTATGTGCTTTTACACAACATCACATTTTTTTGCACTCATTTTTAGACTCCTCACCTACAAATGCCCATGTCTGACGAAGAACTCACTAGAGCAGCAGCAATTCAAGCTTTTTTTGCTCAGGTTTTTGTGAAAATTGATGTGTTCCTTCATTTTTCTTCTTCTTCTTTTGCTTAAACTAATTATGATTTTAAACTCAAGTTGAACACCTATAATAATAAAAGAAAAGAACTCGTTATGTATGTATTTAGCATCCACCTCGACTACCGGATGTCAACGAGTTATCACTTTCGTGGCTTATGCCATCAACACCCGATTCACGATTGCATCAAATATTAAAAACAAATACAACCATCAGTCGAATTATTGAAGGTAACTGCTAAAGACTATTGTTGCCTAGTGAAAAATTATTTACTTTTAAGAATGGAGACGTAAATGGCAAGTCGGTAGTCAATGGCTTGATGCTGATGTTGAAGAATTATATGAAGATTTGCATGATATTCATGCACATGTTTGTTTTTTTGTAGTCTGAAAAAATAATAATATTTAAATTTGATTTAGGTTCGTTTTACTGCTATTGTTGTTTGTAGTCGAGCTGCTCAATATTTGACTCAAAAAGAAATAGGTAATAAAAAGTGACGAAACCAAAACATTGCAAAATTGTTAAAAATAATTTTTTCCCTGTGGCATAGATTTGGGTTTAAAAGTTCATCTACTTCCTGAGAAATTACTTCAATCTATTGAAACTTTACTAAATGACACCCAGGAACGTGTACGAACAGCTGCTGCCATTGCACTTGTTACATTACATCGATTTTCTCCACAAGTATTATTTTGATAAGAAAAAGAGAAAAATCTTGATGCCTGTATTTTTAGGTAGAAGAAATTCTTCGTTCGTGTGTTTTCAATGGTAATTCTGATGATAGATTAACAGCTGCCCAATGTTTAGCTAGTGTGAATATTTCAACATCAGATATTATTCATGAACTATTGAGAAATTATTTCGAAGCTGAAGATGAATTAACACGTGAACAGCTTATTCTTTCATTAGCTAAATTAAGCCAACGCACGGTAAAATAAAAATAAAAATTCAATAGAAGTCTGTTTTTTTTTCTGTCTTCAATAGAATCTCGTATATAGTTTAGCCGGTGAATATTTGAATTCTGCTGATGCTAATGATCGAATAGTTGCTTGTAAACTTTTTCCATTACTTAAATCTCGACCAAATAAAGTAAAGAAACTTTTTCAAAAAAAAAAAAACTTGTAAAAAATCTGCATGTTTACTATTATTATTAGGATATAACACAAAAATTAATTCATCTGATGTGGCAAGATTTGAATAGTAGTGTTCGTCGTGTAGCCGGTCAAGCATTAGGTAAATGTGGTTGCGGTCAAGCTGTACATGAAGAAGTGGTTGTTCGTTTACAAAGTCTGCTTTGGCAAGATCGCGTTGAAGCACTTAAACTTATTGGTTATCTTGGTTTGTCAATCGAAATATTACTTTTTTTCGTTTTGTATAATAACAAAAATTTATTTACAGGCGTTTTAACAGCTAAATTAATGCAGCCATTTTTAAAATGTTTCAAAGACGATCATGTTAGCGTACGTGATCATGCATGTCGTACAACATATAGATTGCAATTACGTGATGAAGCAATAAGAAATTTACTTATTGATCGTATTGAATTCGATCCTATCGAAAAAGTTCGATATTCAGCTGTTGAAGGTGGATTTCTCTTTGTTTTTAAATACTCTATTAAATTTGTTTTTGTCTGCCTACTCAGCGCTTGGTTTATATGGAATGACAAATCCGAAATGTCGAAGTGTTCTATTATGGGCTGTTCGATATGATAAAAGTTCATTGGTGCGAGCAGCAGCACCCAATGCTCTTGTTTTGCTCGAGCAAGTTAGCGAAGATATTATCGACACATTACAAAGTCGACTATTAGTGGAAAAAGATCCCACTGTTGTTCAGTAAGGAGGCAAAGAAATGTAGTCAATAGAGAAAAATGTTATATTCTCTCTTCGTTTAGATCATTGAAAGAAGCAATGGAAGCGTATCATTGTAATGTAAGTCAAGATGTGCCAATAGTACAAGAAATTCGAAATGAAGTTCGCAAATTAAATACGAAGAATACGATTTGGGAGAAAATAATGAATCTAGAAAAAGACCTACGCTTAGCGGCTGCTATGGAACGATTAATTGCACCAGTGATGGATAAAGTAAGTTGATTTTATTTGAAATCAGATATTGCACAGTTAGTGTAAATCCTACTTTAATTTTCCTTTCATATCTAAAACCGCAATGCTTAGATAATGCTAAGTAATTTGATATACGATAGTATTCGATAGATAACAGATTTTTTAAAGCTTCTCTTCGTCACATGTAGACGATGATTACTTAATTCTTTCTAGCCGGTAACACCAGTACCTGCTGACAATGATAATAAATCGGCAACGACGTTTTCAAATTATATTCAAAATGTTGCCGAGACGAATGCCAGTGACAATGATGGCGTACCTGAAATGTGGTTACCAGAGTTATGGAATACGGACAGTAAAACTGGTAAAATAAAAAAACATCGACTTCCACAAGACGAAACGTCTCTCAACGAAGAACCAATTACAGCAGAGCCTGAACTATCAAATGTTTGTGCTCCATTAGGTGTCTTATTACCTGTGGAAGAAGAGGAAAGCGAACCTGAAGAAGACGAAGAAAGTCAAATTATACTTTCTTAAGTATTTGTCAATAAAACTGTGTTTCTTTTTTATTCTTCATAAAAGAGAAAAATAAAATGGAGGCGGAGCTTAGTATTTCATTAATAAAGTACCACGACTCATCAAAATCGAATATTACAGTTCCAATAAAAGAAAAAGAAATATGACAGTCGTCCCATCTGTGATTGTTCTACTGTTTTTTGCTTTCATTACCTATCCAACTATCTGTGAAAGTTTGAAATGTTATGAATGTGCGGGAAAGAAATCTTGTGGTGGACAAGGACATACTAATCATATTGTTGAATGTGCTGGAAAATGTATGATCTATCAAAATGTTGATGATGATGATGGTAAGGAAAAATATCTCGTTTGAATCAAATACAGTCGATATTCAAAATTTATTAATAGGTGTAATAGTGAGAAGTTGCTGCTTGAATAATTGTAACAGTGAAAATAGACCTAATACCTATTTCTGTTCAAAAGATAGATGCAACAGTATTGATTTAGATTCAAAATTTTTAGGTAAATATTTTTGATGATTTGTTGCAAAATCAATAACAGAATTTATTTCAGCTACTAAAAATAATGCACATCAGAAGCAGGTTCATTTACGAGCAAAAATAGAAGAGAAAAACTCATCACTGCAATGTTTTGATTGTTCTTCACATAAGTCGGATTGTGCTGTTGATGAGACGACATTAGTTGAAAAATGTCAAGCATGTATGGTTTACCTTAATCAAATTGATACGAGTGGGTGAATTTATGAGCCAACGAACAGCAATAGAATTTTATTTCTTTTTCAACTATTCAGATAATGTCGTTCGCCGATGTTGTAAATCAAATTGCGGTGCGCCAGGCACTATTCGAAACCATCATGGACGAAGAACGTACTTTTGTACGTCCGATCAATGTAATGGAATTGGTTCCGAAAAAGTACTTACTGGTAAAGTAGGTAAGTATTTGCAGAGATTTACAAAATAAGAACTGCCGAATTCAATATCTAGAATTGGAAAATACAAATGTCGTTCGATTATTATTGTCGAAAATGGAAACAACTACTGCTACAATATCCACCACTACACCTGCAAAAACAGTCTTTCAGTGTTATGAATGTTCAGGACCATCTTGTGGTAAAGGTGATTCATCTGTCTCAACTAATTGCCCAAGCTGTATGGTGTACAGAAATCCCAATGATCAAAGTAGATGATAATTCATCGTAGCGACGATATTTTTTTATTGATTAAACTACATAGCTATCATTGAACGACGTTGTTGTTGGTGGGCTTGTGGAGCGTCAAATACTGTTAGTACTTACAATGGCTTAGAAACGTACTTTTGTGCTGATGATAAATGTAATGGATACGGAACAGAATCTACTCTCACTCCTGCAGGTATACATTAGATAAAAGGATTAATTGAGATAAATTTTCTTTATTGATATTAGTGACAACTACAACAGTCTCCACTACATCTGTGAAAACAATATTTCAATGCTATGAATGTTCAGGACCATCATGTGGTAAAGCTGATTCGCCTGTCTCAACTAATTGTCCGAGTTGTATGGTGTACAGAAATCCTAATGATCCATGTAAGTAGTATTGTACATAATAGAGACGATATGATATTATTGATTAACACTAAATAGCAATCATTGAACGACGCTGTTGTTGGTGGGCTTGTGGAGCTTCAAATACTGTTAGTACGTATAATGGTATTGAAACATATTTTTGTGCTGATGATAAATGTAATGGATACGGAGCAGAATCTACTCTCACTCCTCCAGGTAGACATGAGATAAAAGGATTAATTGAGATATCTTTTCTTTATTGATATTAGTGACAACTACAACAGAAAGAACAACAACTACTACAACAATTTCTACTACGCCTGCAAAAACAATATTTCAATGTTATGATTGTTCAGGGCCATCATGTGGTAAAGATGATTCATCTATTTCAACCAATTGTCCAAGCTGTATGGTATACCGCAATCCAAATGATAAGAGTAAATGATTATAAATAATAGAGAAGATATGTTTTTTGTTATTGATTAAAACTAAATAGCAATTATTGAACGACGTTGCTGTTGGTGGGCTTGTGGTCCTTCAAACAGTGTTAGTACTTATAATGGTTTAGAAACATATTTTTGTACTGCCGATAAATGCAATGGATACGGTGCAGAATTTGCTCTCAGTCCTGCAGGTAGAAATAACTGGAAAACTATTTTATGTATATTTCTCCGCTTTCATATCAGGAACGACAACGACAACAACAACAACAACTATGCAAACATCCGTATCGATAACAACTCCAGCAACAACATCAACAACAATAACGACAGCAACAACATCAACAACAATAACGACAACAATAACGACAACAATAACGACAACAACAATAGGAATAACAACGACTACTACAGCTGAAAAAACATCATTTCAATGTTATGATTGTTCAGGACAAGAGTGTGGTAGAGATGGTTCATCTGTTTCATCTAATTGTCCCCGATGTATGGTATACCGCAATCCTAATGATCAAAGTAAGTGATTAGAAATATTCATCAGATATTTCTCTATCAATGTGACGAACAGCGATAATTGAACGACGTTGTTGTTGGTGGGCTTGTGGAACCTCAAATACTGTTAGCAGCTATAATGGCATAGAAACATATTTTTGTGCTGCTGATAAATGCAATGGATATGGTTCAGAATTTGCCCTTGGTCCTCCAGGTAGCGATAAAGAAAAATATAACTGGAGGGTTTTTTCCCTGTTTCAATCTTAGTAACAACAACAACAACAACAACAACTAAAACAACTCCTTCGACATCCACTACTTCAATTAGTATCACCTCTGGTTCGAACAAAGATAATAGATGTTCTATTTGCATGTTAGAATTTATATTTTTCTAGGAATTAGAACAACAACAATAACAGCAACATCTTCGCCACATTGTATACTGAATTGTCGAAATGGAGGTACACCAGAAACAGAAGATGGTTGTTTTTGCTACTGTTTAGAAAATACGTTTGGTCGTGAATGTGAAAATGGTAAAATGAACTTCTGTTTTCGAAATATTCCTATAGATGATTTCGCTTTGTTTCTATTCACTAGTTGATTGTGCTAAGCCGGATGCTGATTCTGAAGTTTGTAGTACTGAAAATCAACCCTTGTGTCAAGAAAGTGAAGAATTTGCTCTTGAATGTCATCATTTATGTGGAAAATGTTAAGATTATTTTATTAAATCATACGAATAGTCCATAAAAAGTATATGTTCGATTTTTTCTTCTCTCTCGTCAACGATAAGTGATAGGTGTCTGTTGTTGCTGAGTTAAATCGTGTTGTTCTATTGCGTCATAAGGATTTGAGAATAAATATTTATTAGATCGAACATTGTCTTGATTGTCCAATCCGAATAGAATGTCTTTTGGATAGTGATGCTTTAGTGCACTGATTAAAGCACGTCGATTACCAAAGCCGCGTTGATAGCGTCGAAATTCATCGGGATTATTATTGATACTACACATTTGTACGATGATAAAAAGTGACATACCAACGATAAACATGAAGAGTAGACGTTGTTGAGACATGATGGATACAATGAATGATTCTAAGGTTCGTTCTATTTTTGTTTGTTTTTCTGATTTATTTATATAGTAGATCACAACTCATGAATGTGATTATTAAGCACTAATACTATTCTCGGTAGACTCTACCAATCAAAATGATATATTTGCCTACGCTGTTATCGAAGATATTCTCATGAGAATTAAGATTAATACGATAGAAAGTTTCATTTCAATTCAAATTTGTCTCCACTTTTTTTGGAATGACTAAACAAACGATAATTATTCTCTTTATTTTTATGAATATGTTTAACTCAATGCAATATACTTCAATGTGTGAATGTTATCTATTTTCGTAATAAAGATATTAAGTTTTTCGCTCGCAAATTACGCACTTGTTTAAATACCTTGAAGTCAAACTTAGACCTTCAAGTTATTCGCGTGAAATAGAGTCTGGATGTTTATTTGGAAAAATATTCAGAAAAGAATGTTTTTGGCTCAGAGATTCACATAGAATTCTAAGTTTATCTACTTGATTGAATATGTACATTATCAACTTTAGCACAAGCTTTTTGTCCCGAACTGGTTTTTACATCAATTTTTCCTTGATAATATCCAACAAGTGCCCATGAACTTGCATAGATATTGAGATTTAAAGTGACGGCATGATCTCCCTACAGTAAATATTGAATTAGCGATAAAAACGTGATATTGTTTATACTTACTGCTTTCAGTGGACAACCACATTGTGGACACAGAGTACAAAGATCATCATATGAACAAGAACCAATACCACTCACACAAGGAACAGACACATAACTGAATAGTATTTTCTTATGCAATGTCAAATCCAGCTGTATATTTTCGTGATAATGATAAAATGATTATAGAGTAAGATCTTTTTAAGAAACTACAAACTTTGATTGGACCCGTGACATCCTGATCGGTATGAACAGTAGCTTCTATAGATATGGAACCAGGTATTATGATGGGATATGGAGTCACTGTAAGATTGAGTAATTTAATAGAATCTCCATCGTTATTACAATTTTTCCATGACACTTGAGTGGCTGCTAAAGTCTAAAGAAAGTTTCTAAATTTATGCATCATGCTTTTTAACATCCAATTTACCGATGAAACAAAAATAAAGCATACACATAAGATCTTTTCGATACCATTCGTCAAGTTGAATAACATTTCAATTCTAAAAATACGATACGTAGAGAGAGAAGAAGGAAGGAAACCTTGAATGACGACTCAGTTATCTAAAGATACGATGCATAACTAAAGGTATGAATAGCAGTCGACGCACGTTTCTTTTCTACCTGATTTGCATGCGTGCATAACTGAGTATTTTTTGACAACAAAAAAAAAAAAGAAACATTTTTTGTACAGGTGTACTGGTTACGACTCCTTTTCTTTTTTACTGCAGAAAGAAATCGGCGCGATGACATCGAACAACGCAAAACAAATATAATAACATCAACGTGCTGTCCTCACCCCGTACAAAAAATAAACATTAGAGGGAGAAAAAAATCAAAGTTTAACAATTAAATATATTTTTTTCTTTTCTGTCGCAGTATATGTAATTAAACTCGTTTCTTTTTGTGTAACAATAGAAAATAATGCGAATTTGACACGATTTTCGAAGAAACTTTGCTTTTTTTAAATATCCTGATAAAGCCAAAATATATATCGGTCTTAACTTGTATAAAAAGAAACAACGAATGAAAACTTTACTTCGAAAAGAGGATAAATGGTATTTTGACAATAAATATTACACCTACGGATGGGCTCCAGAGAGTATGCACTGGAGGCAGTAAGGGGAGGGAGCTTATAGAAAATGTCACCAAAACAATATCAAAATAGGATTTCAATGTGAAAGAATAGAAAAAACACGAAATTTCAGAATGCTATAGGCCAATGAATATAAATCCGTAAACATGAATGCTAGATACGTCTTTTTGGCACGACTATTTAAATGCATCGGATATAATTTCATAGTGCCTTTTCCATTGGACTTTAAAATCTAGTATTAAATTAATCTTACAGATGCGATTGAAATAAATAGAAAAATAAAAGAATTAGAGGACTAAAATAGATACTTCTCAATCTGAATTCCCCACGTATAAAACCACACTGTGGACATGAGAAACAGACAGCTATTCTGCTCATACAAAATGCAGTGGACATCGTGTATCAATGTACTCTTGTGCTTGTTAGCATTCGATTCATGCTTTACGCAGCAAACCGCAGACAAAGCTGCGAATGAAAACACGAGAGAAATTCTCAAATTTATAACGAATTGACCTCAGCATGGTAAACAATTCACAAATTATATATTCGAAGATGTTTTTTTTCTAAATTTATTTTGGCATCGACAGGTAAAGTTCTTTCTGGTCAATTTGCTGGTTACAGTTCTGATACGTTCAATATCAATCAAATCAATGAAATTACTCAACAAACTGGTCAAGTACCAGCTATTCTTGACTATGATTATGCATGTGGTTGGAATTATAAAACACCAACACAATATATCATCGATTATTCATGTAGTACATCATTGAGAAATCATTGGAATCAAGGTGGTCTCGTTACTATAAATATGCACTTAGCAAATCCAGTATCAGCCAATGGTGGTGGTGGTTATAAAGATCGAATGAATTTACGCTTTATTGATTTAATTAATGCAAATACTGAAACAGGACGGCGATGGCAAATTTTTCTCGATCGCATAGCAGAAGGTTTGCATGAGTTACAACGAGCCGATGTTACAGTTTATGTCGTCCATTGCATGAAATGAATGGAGATTTGTTTTATTGGTGTAATCAAGTATAGAAGATATTTGTTTTTGTCTACCCATGTAAAAAAAACATTGGATTACTAATCAGATTAATAGCCTATTATAATGGCACTAATATAATCTGATTTTTCCGTCTCAAAAGGCAGATTGTTTTTAATTTGAATTGATTACCTATACCTACACAACTATAATAATCGATAAGAATAAAATCAAAATCAAAAGTAATCTGTCTTTTAAGACGGAAAAATCTGAGTAAAATCAGATATCTTACGATTTTGTTTTACAAGAGTAGATATTAAATATTTTATATTTTTTACGGGATACAGGAGTATTTAAAAATGTACGGAGATATATGTTCAATTATTTTACAAATACAAAACAACTACACAATAAATATTATTTGGGTTTATTCGCCTGATCAAAGTCGAGCAAATCCATCGCATTATTATCCAGGTTATTCCTATGTTGATATTGTTGCACTTGACGTTTACACTGATGATCCAGTAAGAAAATTTTGCTAATTCATGTATAATAATGACCATATGTACTTTGCAGAACTCTGTGAAAAGTTATGATGAAATGTTAACGTTGAACAAGCCATTTGCCCTTGCCGAAGTTGGTCCAAGTACAACTAATGGCGGATTTGATTATACTCGATGGTATGCGTTGCATATTGAAATAATTTTCATATCGTATATGATGAATTATGCAGGCTAACAGCAATGCAATCAAAATTTCCAGGTGTTGCTGATTTCTTAGCATGGAATGATGGTTGGTCACCCATAAAAAATCAAAATGTTTGGGCTTTGTTCAATAATCAACTAGTTATTAATCGTGGTAAACTTAATCTAGGTGATGGTGCAACTTCTTCGGCAAGTGGAGGAGTTCTTTATAATTTTTCCAATGGTGTTGGTCAATGGCAAGGAACCAATGTCACTGGTGGCCCAGAGCAATCGAATGAATTTGTTTTTCAATCAACTGATAGTCTTAAACTTGATATAAATCTAAGTCAAGGTAGGCGTTATGCACTTTATAATCAACAACAGACAAGTTTTCAAGTTAGCGAACGTAAACGATTGACTCTCGAGAACGTACAGCTTCATGGGGTTTTGCTAATAATGGTGTACTAACTGCAAAATTGTACGCTAAAGCAGGACTATCATGGACTTGATATGATTCAGGCTCAGTTCAATTGAACAGTAACACAGTCATATCGGCTGTACTCAATTTAACTGGAATTTCATCCGGGGAATTGTTATGCTAATGAAAACGAATATTCGCCAACATCAAACATAATTATTATTTTATCTTCAATTTGCTTTCAGTTCGTGAAATTTCCCTTAAGATTAAAATTTTTTCTTATATTAAACAGCCCTTATTGTTGACTGACATTTTTAGTACAATAATTTATTTCTATGAAACATGCTAGAATTTATTAACATTAGCATTTTAAATAAGAAATCTATTATTATTAATATATATGTTTATTTTAAAATTTTTTCTCTTCAACTAGCGATATATATATAGATATATATATATATATAATATCCAATATAATAATGAGGTATACATACCGAATAGAAAATGAAAAATAGAGTGCAAACTACTGACAGACATTAAACAAATTAAGAAGAAAATGATTCAGTTGACTAGAACTATATGCATGTATATGCGCATGTTAAACGATAAATCTCCGGTATAATAAATCAACAAAGAAAAGACGTAGAAGAAAAACCAAGAATAAACACATATATCCATCAATTTACAGGCCGGAACAAATCGCATACACAAACATACACACAAAATAAACACTGTACGAACAAAGAAAGAGAAAACAAAATGTAGAATTAGAGAATATTATATAATTATATAAGGGTTTTGTTTTTCATGTAAAATTTCTATCGATAAAATCCAGAAAGCGTCGTGCATAAATTTCTGGTCGAACTGTAGATATACCATCGGCATCTGAGCCAGATAATTTTGTTTTAGCAACACGCGCACTTTTCTTTTTCATTCCATAATATGTTAATACGTCAATTACACCGAGACTATACAGTTCACGACGTGATGATGCTATCAGAAAATAAAAGCAAGATTTCACTATTGCCAAAGGAAAAAAAACGAATCAATTACTCTCTGAACTTCGCATTGTAAATGGTTCATCTGAAGAATAATCATCACCGATTTGTGTTGGACTTTCTACAAAAAATAAATCGATAGATAATCTTTTTTTGTAATAAAAATAAATAAACCCTACCAGATCCTTCTGATGATTCATTACCAGATAAATCTGATGTATTCATATCACTTGCTGATGTAGTTTGATCGCGTTCTATCAAAAACATATGATTGATTAAAATCAAAACTCAAGAATATTGTCTTACCAATATCGCCTTGATCAAGGTCATGAATACCAATGAGTAATGAATAATCCATTTTATGTTGACTAACAAGAAACTAAAAGCAATGCTTTGTTCTTGAGAAAATCTCTATCCCTTTTCTTTTCTTTTCTTTTTTTATAAAAATCCAATATCTTACATTAACATCACGTTTAAGTCTTTCCATAAAAACTTTTTTTTGTTCCGATCCTAAATCAATCGTTCTTTTTCCTTCTATAAAATCATTATCTTTTAATGTTGGACATGGATTCAGTTTTTCTTTATCTGTAGCACTTCTATCTACAGTTGAACCCTAAAAGAGGAGAAATCTTCATTGAATTAAAATCATGCGAATTAATTATTCATACTTTAACATCATATTTATAATGAATTTTGAATTTTGTTGATAAAACATTACGCATAACTAATACATAATTTTCTTTATCATCCACTGTTAATCTGTACAATGCATAGAAATGCGGAAGTAATGTATCACCTTGAGTTTCAACAATATACTAAAAATCGAATTTTTTCATGCTTGATTTTTCTCGCTAATAAATAAATCATAGATACGTACTCGATGATACTCTGGTAAAATATTATGTATTTGTTCTACATCTTCTTTTGCAATAAATTTAAGAATAAAACGACGATCATACGATTGATACAATGTTAAATTTGATTTTGTTGTTTCAGATAATGGTATAGGTGGTTCAGTTAATGAATCCTGCAACAGAGAAATTTCCATTGAAGAAAAAGTTTTCAATAAAACTTACACGAAAACTACTATCATGTATTTTCCAATATTCACGAAAAGCACGGAATACAAGTGGACAATATTCTTTCACCTTAAAATGACTGGGCATGACTTCCCTAATAAGTTAAAGAAGAAAAAAAAATTGGTTTCTTGACATTGAAAATTTATTTTATATACTTATTAAAATTTTGATTATCAATACGAATTTTGACATAAGCTTTAAAATGTTCCGGTAGAAGCATCACTGGAATATTAACATTTTCTAATTCATGAATCTAAATTAATTTGTTTTTTTCTATAATTGGATAAATAATTAAAAAAACAATGCTAACTTACACTAAAATTAACACCCCACATCAGTACAGATAATAATGGTTCATTGGCACGAAATAATTTATGTTTTTGATGACGAACTTTAAATTTTGATTTAGTTTTTATTTTATGACCATCCATCAGCTTGATTCTATCTAAGGGGAGAAAAGCAAAATGAAAGATCGAAATTGATTTATTGACAAAAAAAAATACAATAGTGTCATCTATTAGAAATGCTTAACAGAATAGATGATACGTGAAAGATTTCATAATTAATTTGATAGTTAGCTTTTGTTTCAGATTTCTAGTTTTACTATTATCTCTCAATAGACGTGCCTCAGAAAGAATGAATGATCAATCAGGTGCATATCAGTGGCCGATTTAGTGGAACCAATCAAAGAAATAAAACTTCTATTTTTCTCAAGGGATTTATTCGCTAGAAAGTAAACAACTGTGACAGATTTATTAACTAGAAAGTAAATAACTGTGACAGATTTATTAACTAGAATTATTGTAACCTACGAGAAATATTTTTCGAAGGAAGAAAACAAGCGAAAACTCGTATTTGTTGTCCAGTAGATGGCACTAAGTTATTTTTCAATGAACTACGTCTGCAAATCAATAATCAGGCGGAAGTCGTCAATTATGAATAATGGAATCCGTTGAGTGAGCTGAAAGAATAAATAGTCAAAAGCAAGCATACATGACGTTTTTATGCAGCAGAAAAACTGATGAGAAAAAAAAGACCATGCTAGCAAGCAAATTATATATGAGACAGTTCCTTTCAGAGATAATTACTACGGACTGTCACTGATGTTTTTTTTTGTGGTGCGAAAGAATGAATCATACAGAATACGACAGACTCAGTTGATAAGAGCATGAGCGATCGTGTACTCTATACTTTTAATGAATTAAAAAATGGTCAAAACCACTTTATCACTTATATTACATAGAAAAATGTTCTCCAGAATTAGAATCTAACAATTGCAATGTTTACTTTTCCGTTGCATTCATTCTTTGCAAGATTTGAATTATATGCTAAAATAAAAGCTAATACAAAAAACGTTTTACCTACCCGAACTTGAAAATTTCTCTTTATGTTTTATGATCACGAGCTGTGATACTAAAGAAAAAAAAATCTTCGAGTAATCTCGCAAATTCCGAACTCATATTGACATTTTGAGTAGATCTCAATGATACTAATAACAGCAGATAATAGTTTATGACCTCAGGCATATTTTCTCCTTTATTCAAGTTCTCCTTCCTTTTTTTATCGGAATCCGCAGGATATTTCTTTCATTAATTTTCAATAGAGCCTGTCAAAAACATCATAAAATAACTGCAATTATTATTTTTTTATTTAATTTTATCAAAAAGGAAATGACAAACATATTCGAGATTTTCACAGGAAAATTGCCGTTAATAAAGAATATACACATATGTATATCTATTGGTATAAGAAAATAATAATAATAACAGGAGTATATTTATTTTTTTAATCCGATTCATTACCATTTTTAAATGGTGACGAAAAGGATCGTTCTGATGTACTACTTATTAATGTATTATTATTTGACGATGACGTTGATGATGCATTGGAATCAAATTTAAATTGTCTTCGGTCATATTGACGATGTATCAATGAAGAAAAGGGATGCATCATTTTAATATGTTCATAATGATTTGTTGGATCAATTGATGTATGTCCACAATCTTCACAAACATACAGCTTATTTCGACGACTTTTATAACCAAATTTATGGCTTAATCCATGAACTTTCCGTTCATGAGATTCCAGACTACAGCGTTGAGTGAAAGCTTTTTCGCATTGATCACATTTAAATGGACGAACACCTGTTATACAAAAAAAAAAGAAAGAAATACTTTCGAAAAAGAAAATATATTTGTTTTGGTTCTAACCTGTATGAGTTCTTGTATGTCGTTTGAGATCAAAAGTATCATTAAATCCTTTACCACAAAATGTACATAAATATCGCTTAATTTGACTATGATTTTTTAAATGTCGATTCAATAGTCGTTGAAGCTTAAACTTTTTTGTGCATAAACCACAAAAAAACTCTTCACCATGATTCAATTCATTAGCTAGAGAAAAAAATCGAATATTGAAGTTCACCACTCAATGACTCATTTTATTTCGATGGCGAAAGAAAGTGTAACAAATCGTTTCGTTAATTAAATTATTCTTTCTGGGAAAAACGATTCAACTTACAATATTGAATTTGTAATGCTTCTGTTGCACAATCAAACAGAGGATTTTTAATTCCATGCCCACCATTGACCATTTCTAACCTTCCATTCTAATATTCAAAAAAAAAAAAATAGAAGCAAAAGTTTTCGATGTGTTATTTTCTTAATTGACTTACAGCTAATGGAGGACTACAAATATTCGGAACTACATGTTCGTTTAATCTCGAATTCATTGAAACATGATTATCATTATGGTTTAATTGATTTTCAACAGGATATAACAGTGGACTTGGTGAATGTAGATAATGTCTAGTAATTGACGACGATTGATATCGAGTAGGATTATTATTCGATGATGTCAAATATTCAATAGTAAATTTCTTTTTCTTAATCATTTGCTCGTGTGAAACAGTCAAATCGAGCGGTTGATCCATATTGCTAAACAAAAGAAATGAAAAAGTGTGAAATAGAAATTAATAGTGCCAAAAAAAAAGAGAAAACTCAACGAAAATTGAGCTAATAATTTATGTGTGAAAAAAAAACGAATAGTTCTCTTCTCGCAATATACTTGAGTTTATGAACAGAAGTTTTCAGCAGGATATGTTACCTTTGATGCTTTTGCATTGGATTGAAATTTTCATCGATATTCAACATATTTTAAGTTTGAATGTGATAATGATGCGACTTGATCATTAATCGTGTTTCTCTCTCTCTCTCTCTCTCTCTCTCTCTCTCTCGGTATGCTCTTTTTCCTTGCTTTTCCTAACCAATCAATTTTTTGTCTAAGAATAGTGAACACATAAATAGAGATGTTCGTTTGAAGTTCATTTTTGATTCATTTTGAAGATAACATTGACTTATCAAACTTATTCGAAAGGAAGAAGAAAATGAAGATTTTTTTCTTTTGTACAATTAATTGAATAAAAACATCAAATAAAAGTTTTTGTCCAAAAAGGATGATACATTGAATGTGTCAAGAAGTATGAAGAGATATTTTTTCACGTTTTATATTTCGCACATTATAATAAACAAGAAACTAAATAATGTTCGTCGTTTTATTTATTTCAATAAATCACTGAACTGACTGCTAGTGTTCAAGTATCCAAAAAATCAATGATCGAATTAGAATGTAAGCAATCAATATATTTGTTTATATCAAGTAATCTACTTACTAGCTGTTCGATCTTTTAACTAAATATGGTTGGATGCACACATCAAATATCTTACTAATGACTGAATGTAAGCAGAGGTATCGATAACATATTAACGGCACGATATTTATCAAAAAAAAAACGAAGAAGAACGATGAGTGCTTCCGTTTTTTTCTCTCCTTCATAAAAACAGTATCTAACCATTTAATCATGTTACCTGTACGTGCATTTGACTGATCGGTGTCTCAACGTGAATACTTTCTTGCCGCTATCATCATACTTATACATAGAAAAATCCTGTTTTGTTTGTCTAAATGTCAAATTAATTTCATTTTTTTTCGCATTTTCTGTTCGTATTCATTACTAATTAGACTGTAGACAACAACAACATATAGTTAACGAACTGTAACAGCGTAGGTCTTTTTTTTTTATAAAATTATATGGCAATCAATGATGATCGTACAAGCAACTATGCATCCCTAGAGGGGCTTGTGTATTTCGAAGGTGGAATATATAACTAGACGCGTTTATATACGTTGAATTATTTGACTTGACAATTTGATTGCGTCAATAACAAGAGAGATGATCGTTGTTAACACTTAAATGCCTGCTGTGTATGTTATTAGTCGTCTATAAGATGATACTTGTAATGATAACGGATCACTATTTGTTCCCAAGTGACTCCTGTACCTGTTGGAGATGAAGGACACTTTCACTTCTCGTTGCTAGTTTGAAATAAAAACTGACAATCATTACGTAAAATGTGTCGAAGAACAAAATCATTGCTGTTGATAGGATCAAGTGATTACACGAAATATCATTGGCAAACAAAGAAAAAAAGAGCAACAAGTCAAACCGCCCATTTCATAGTGTTGATTATAGACAGAAAATTTGACGTTCACAAAAATAACGTTGATTTATACATGAACGACTAGAGGAGTTAAAATATTGCTTTCGGCAGTTTTCTTCTGTTTTTTTTTGACTCATGTCATTTACGTTGTCGTGCAGGAATGTGGGTATTGTACAGCGTTCTTACGTCTCGCACATGTAGAGTAAATTTGATTTTCGTACAATCGTCTATACTGTTCTTTATATAAATCGTATCCTAAAAGTCGTGATATGATAATAAGTTCGAATAAACTTGACAACTAATAAAACTTAATCGGATGATATATGTGTATATAGGAGACAAGTCTCGCGGAAACTATTGATAAACAGCATTTTCTTTTTCTATTACTAATCGAAACATGTTAGATTTTAACGAAAGATAATCAGTCATGATTGTTTTTCTTTTCGGTTTAAATCAATTCTATATCAGTGTGCTTTTTTAAAGTCTAACCTTATAGATGGAAGTAGACGTTTAAGAATAGAAGCTACAAAAAAACTGTAATATTTATTTTGAAAAGACAACGAAACAGGAAAATGAATTAAAAATGTGTTTTTATGCTAATTCTTTTTGAAATCTTCAACTTGTTTTTCAATAGTATCGAGACGATTCAATGCATCCAACTGATAATGTTTTGTACTATCCAATAATAAATTCGCACATGTTTGTTGAAGTCTATTCATTGAATCAGTTGTTGAATGAAAACTTTCGGCCAGTGAACTTATTTTTTCGTCGATTTCTTTGCTTCGACTAACATTCGCACTTGTATGATTACTCATCGTTGATGTTAAACGTCGACAGAGCCAAGTTTTTGTGTAAAATGGTCTATTATACTTATTTATTTCAGTCGATGCTTATCAAAGTCACGTCCTATTGAAAAAGAAGATTAATATGAAGAACGAAAAAGAAAAAACACCGGCAAGAATATCGAAATTTATACATTTATTTAACACGGAGATTGGTACTGCTTGATAATTAATAAGTATAGGCTTTTCAAATTCATCACGAGTTAAACATTGAGTAGAATCATCGGATGAGAGAACAATCTTTTTTGGAACATTAACTGCTGGTTTTGTCTTAGTTCTACGTTTGGTTTTTATTGGTATCTGTTCAGATTGTTTTATGGTTACTGGTTTACGTAATCCCATTGTATTCAATAGACGTTTATATAATTTCTAAAAAGAACTCAAAAATAAAAGTGACTTAGAAAGAAACAGATCTGAATTGAATTCATCTACTCGATTTTCTTGTTCATTGTATTGTTGTGCAATGGTTGGTTTAGTATGAGCAATAAATTTCTTATCAATATGATCATCGTATTGAAGTAGAGAATTTTTATTGAATTTATTACTAAGAAACATATGATAATCGACAGGTTTTTTATCTTTTAATGCTTGAGCTTCATCTCTATTTGCCATCGAAAGTAATGTTTTCATTGTCAATTTCGTTCTCCATAATGATTCAGGTTTCTAAGATACGAATGCATTGTTTTCTTTCAAAAAATTTTGTCATAATGGAACAATTCTTTTTTCCTACATGCTTTACTTCATGATGGACTCTTGTTTGTGGCAGAGTCTCAGATGATGAAGGTTCGGGCGCATATTGAAATTGAAGATTTTCATTGGATAGCTTATTCCGAAATGAATGAAATGGCGATGATGATATATCTGGCGAGAGTTTTGACATTGAACTTCTATGTATATCATTTTCCATTTGAGATGCTATTCGTAAAATAATCATTTGAAAACGAAACATTTCGATTAACAAGTGAACTCTGAGTTTTAACTGACGAGGAAAGACTGCGAGCTGATTTATACATAGATAATATATTTTCGAGGCAAGAATATTCAATCTTTAAAAAATACATCATCGATGTAACAATGCCGCCAAGGACCGATTATTCGGCAAGGTAATGTATGGCTCATTAGTGTCTAAACGAAGGGCAACACATAGTCTCGACTCAAAAATGGAGTCATCAATTAGGCAAATTTTGCATACATGATATTGTTGGATTAGGACCGTGAGAGTTTCTTGTAGACGAATGTTTTGTAGAAAAGGTTTTTTGAGCTGACAAAACACTATCGTGTGCTTTCTTATGAAGTATAAATGGTTCGAAATGAGATGTTGATAATTTTTGAGAAGTAATTGTTATATTAGATAATGAACGTTTTGGTGACGGTAAATCTTGTATAAAATTTAAACTATTAATACTTGATGTTGACATTTTATTTGATATGAATTCTTCTGTACTACGCATCGAATGAATATTTAAATGAAATGAATTTGGTTGATTAGATATCAAACTAAATACGTTTTTTTCTTCCGATTTTATTTTTAAAATATGAGAAATGATTTTGTTTACAAATTTCGATTACTATCAATTGGCGTAGGTCGTTGAGTTTTATTCATAGTTGTGTTACTAGTTGTAATTGTTTTTGATGCTGTGACAAATTCTCCGGGTAAAAGAATTGTGGGACTAGGAATACGATAGGAACTTCTTTTTATAATTGATTTCGAATCATTATTATTCGAGTCAATATTCATTAAATTATCTAGATAAAATGGAATTTCTTTTTGTCTGAAAGTAAATCAAAAATTTTTTCTTTGAAATTATTTTCACTAAATAGATAAATTTGCTTACTCGATTAACGGTAAATCAATAGGTGTGGACTGAATTGCGTTCAGATTATTTACTAATTTATGCGGTAATGAATTCAATCGTAGAACTGGATTATCAATTGAAGGTCTCCTATGAAATATTTATTTTTATATTGATAATGATAATTTTTAAGAATTTTACTTGAATAATTTTTTCTTGGATCTGTTGCTCGAATAATGTTTTCTATAGATAAACACAGCAGTGTTCAGAGTTCCAAAAAAGGAAATTTTGCGCCTGATATCCCCGAACCTTTGTTATTACAAAAAATTTGATAATGTCCGAAGTTGTCAACTTCCGCATTTTCCGGTTTTCGCAATTTCGGAAATTTTCAAAATTTCTCTGCTCTTCAAAATCTCCGAAAATACTTTTCTTTGACTTTACTTGATTTTGAAGATAATAGAAATTGTCGTAATTTCTTTTCTCGGCAATCTGAACATACCTCGATAAACACTAAGGTCAAAACAGTCAAGCATACTCGTGTACCCTTTTATTGGTATTTTCTTATTATTTTGATCTTTGCATGAATTAACTGATGAAGTAAAAAAAGCCGATTGCGTTGGAGAAGAAAAATCATCGTCATGAGTACGCAAAAAATATCTCGTTGACAAATAAGCCAGTATAGAGTGAACAAAGAAAAAAAACAGCCGCGCGAATTTCGAAATTAATTTTATTGGTTAGAATCTATTTGTAATTAATCCATAGGCGACTTTAAAAAATAATCAGACATTAATTCCCTTTGATTTGACTCATAGGTATGTGATATTCTACCATATTTAGAAATGATGACGTCTAACGATTCGCATTATACTTGAAGATATTTATAATTGCGTCGTAAGTAAAGATGAAAACCTACGAACTTTGTCTTTTGTTCCATTTGATTTATATCTATTCTATGAGTTAAGGGTTTAGTAAAATTATTGTATGTTTATACGTGTCAAGGTAGCTCTTCCGAAACGAGCAGCCACTTTTTTTTTGTAACAAGCAATGATGATTAAACACAAAAAAAAACGGAGCGTCTGACATTGATATTTAATGAAGCATTGACATATTAATACGTATTCGATTTCTTACTTGTCGACCCTCATTCCTTATACGAATACGAACAAACTACAGAAGATAAATGACATCATTGAACAGCGCATGCATATGTCGCGTTGAATGGTGTGATTAATTAAAAAAAATCCTTTCCTTTTCGTTAAACAAACAAACAAACTAATCATGTGTACTCTCGTAGGATTAAGAATTCGATGTACACAAGTAATAAATCTAGCAAATTGATTCCTGTTCCTCGTTAAATCCAAATATTTACATTTTCCAGACGATATCAAGGAGCTACATAATCTATAGTGTGCCAAACTATATTCATATTAATATTTTCAGCAATTAGTAGGCTGACATTGATCCATCTATATTTATCAGAGAAACAAGACTACCTAATCAATATGCTTAGAAAACAGAAAAAAAGTTTTTCTTTCTTGAATTTAATGGGAGCGCACTTAGATTGATTACAATGCATAAAAAAGGAAAATAAAAGCAAGCATCCATCATCACATAATAGAGTCTATCATTGAAACGATATTTGCATATTTACAAGGATATATATATATATATATTTCATTTGTTGCTTCGTATGTTATGAAACTATTTGGTAAATCCTTGTTAGCTATAATCGATTGTTCATCATTTATTATTTATAATAGTACTAAATGACGTGATGAATGAGGACGTAGAATTTTGTTTTTCAGTAAATGTTCGAGATCGGTAGTAGAATGATGATTTTTCAGTAGCACCAACATCTACAATCAAGAAGAACGCAATGTGATGCTACCGACACCAATTGTCAGCCATATTCACATCTCTATTTAATGCGTTCAAATTTTCATTGCCGTTTAATAAACTTGTTGATCTGGGTATTTGTTGCGAACGTAATGCTGCATCGAGACGCATTTCATTTAGACGCCACTGTTCAAACCAATCACAACGCCAACGCATTTTTTCAATTAAAACTTTACGAAAACTTCGTCTCGATATAACATAAAGAAAAAAATTTAAACTATAATTGAGTAGATAACAAACTTCTGCAATCATTTTTCCTGATTCGACATAATCTGATGGAACTTTACCACGCACACGGCTAATACAAACAACTAGCCAAAAAATAAAATATGGAAAATTTAATATGCCAAATGTCACTGATATAACGACAAGCATCCATGTAACTTTATCATTTTCTAGTTGATTTTTAACAATCATATTTACATATTCATTATTTGCACTATCAACTTTTTTTGTTTGACTTAATTGTTGTTGTTGCTGCTTTTTCCGTAAACGTCCCGCATGCAATAATTGCCGAACAATTAATATATTAACGATACAAACAATCAAGATCGGAAATGTTAATGTTAAATTTCCATATATAATTGTTAAATAGAAATAAATATTTTTAAATTTATTCATTATATCACATTCGAATACGTTGTGCTTTTCATCATTGTTTATATCGGACATAAGAAATGAATAAAATGGCAATAAAAATGAAATTATTAATATAAATAAACATATTCGTCGAGCACTACGTGGATTGCATAAAACGGATGTTTGTAAAGGAAAATATACAACAATAAGACGTTCTAATGTAAATGCAACAACAATCCAATGAGCAGCAAAACGCAATGTGTGACGAAAATAAGTTGAGCCTGTTACAAAAGAAAAATACATTAAACAGCAACCATGTTTTTATCGGAAGAGAATTTCAATGCTATTTATAATAAAATTAAAGAGCTACGTTATCTGAATAGACTGAATTATCGTTATATCTGATGCACTCGTGCATCGACTACATAAAGCGGCAAGCAAAGTTAATGTAAAGAAAAATATTTCAAATCAATCATCATCTTGAATTTCTTTTGGTTCTCATAATTTTTTGAATTTCTCATTGGTATAAAAGATCAGCAGGATATGTTATTTTTTATTTTTTTTTCTTAGAGTTTTCTGCTAATGTTGATGTTTTTGTATTAGCTGATCAATGAAATGCAATCAATTTTGTTGATGGCGTGGTAGCTTATTCTGAAGTCAATCAAATGCTATATCAGCTTATTGTTTTCCTTTTGTGCTTCTTTCTGTTAGCAAATGTCGACGAAACTATTTAGACAGATAGGCAATCAGCCACTTTCATCATCTCTACCCTCGTAAATTCCTCACTAATCAGGCTATATATATATATATAAATAACGATACAATTTTGTTTTTCTTTTGACAAACAAATAGGAGCATCCGTGTATATATATATATTCGTTATGTTCTTAACACTAGAACAATTTTCGTACACATGCTTAGAAAGCGTAATTTTATAATGAGAAAAAATGATGCCAATACGGTTTGATTGTTATCTGATGTTTAAATGTAAACAAATACATATCAAGACTCGACTGCCGTCAAAGCAGTATCCTTAATTACTCTTGTAGGGCTTTTTGCACTTTCGACAGAGGCTAAAGACAGCTACACTGATTTGTACAAAATAAATTAGCATTATTACAGAATGCCAAATCTCGAAAGTACGCATTTCAGATTATCCAATGGTAACAGAGTATGAGATTATTGAAAAAGAAAAATGTATAGAGAAGGATGCTTACCATTTTATTAGCTACTATCTTTGGTAGTAGGAAAAGTTCAAAAATAGCCTAAAAACCATAACTACAATATACAACACACCCTCGCGGCTGTAGTTGAATTATTATTATTTATAGATCTACTAACTAGAATACACTTCGTGAACTCATTTGTACTACAGTAATGTTATTGTAACAAAATTAATCAAATTTTTGTTTTGTTCTTTTATAAAAAATGACGATTCGTGATTAACTGTTATCATTCTTATCGTCTAAAAGCTTTTGCATCATTTTTGCTAACCTTTTTGTACGTGTAAACCTAATCGATTTCTTTTTTTCTAGAAAGACACATTAGTAACTATCATATTTATCTTAGACAAATTAATTTTTTAACTAATTGTTAATGTCAAAGTTTCTCATTGATCATAGATTATGTTTAGATAGAAGATCTAATCGTCTAGAAACTAGCGAATAAAATATACTGAGTATTTAATAAATAACAATCGCTTTATTGCTTTTGGATGTAAGTAATCCAATAAAACAAAATACTTGGAACATCATTAAAAATGACCCTAAACATTGTCTATACGCGCTCTATAACATTAACAATGTTTACAGATTATATCTTTGTTTTCTCCCCGAGAAAATACTCTAAAAGAGAAAGTTTTTCTGAAACGTGCCGAGGCAACTTCTAGAGCTTAACATCATTTGTTGTTTACATGTCACGACCTTATTTTATTTTAGAGAACAACATTATTCAATAGTTAGAAATAATTAGTAAATGACAATCTCGTGACCTTCACGAAATCGTCTCATAATTTCTAATGTAAAACGTTTTTTTCCTTTTAATAATATCATGGTACTTATACATAAAATTCAAGTTGAGGGTAGAATTGCATGTCAAGAATAACGACGATGATACTCCCAACTAGAGACTGTCACAGGGCAACTTTTTTTGCTATGCCCTGCCCCATCCGGCGCCTTGCTATATCCTGCCCTGCTCTGTCTTGCCCTGCCCTGTTTCAGGACAGGCAGAGCATGATTATAAATTGAACTGAAATATTGAAAAAGGTAAAGACTAAATGAAAATGTTGTAACCGCTGAAAAGTAAAGTACTCATATTTTATTTATCTATATTCGATAAAATATAGATATGCGCTTAAAACATAATTAAATATGAGTAGCAAACAGCAATTAAGATTATCACAAAAATCAGTTCGCTGCAAAAATAATGCGCTTATCGTGATCTGGCGAATTGAATATGTATTTAATTTGAATAAGTGAGAAATCGAGTAAATCTTTCACATTTATTCTCCTCAACTCATCGTGCTGGATAAATAAAGACTCTTCAAAATTTACCAGTAGCAAGAGATTCATTGTGTATTATGGGGTGGTAAGATTTATCATGAAACAAGAGATTTTCTAATTTTGTAGTACCGGGCAAGTTCATATCAAGTGAAAATAATTTAAAACATAGAGAACTAAGCATACAAAACTAAAACATGCGAAGAAATTTACCATTAGAACATGTTGAATCTTTAAGTGAAATTTCCTCTGGAACACTAAGCTCATATCTGAAATCATTTAGAAAAAAACCTCATCATACACATAATTCTTAAATTAGCTCGTTCTCTTATACAATATTAAATGATTCTGCCATGTTTTGCATTTCTCTTTGACGCAGTATTTTATTTTTATAATTGAATTATATGATAATAAATGAGTAAACTGGTATTGTCCGAGCTAGACATAGTAACAAATTTCGCAGTGACTGGCGCATAATGACATACATTATAATCCATCACCATGTCAGCATAATCGACTGAAAAATCTGCTGTATATCAGTTTATAGGAAAAATTATCAGGGCGCAGGACAGGGCAGGACTCCCCTGTGACGGTCTCTGCTCCCAACACAGGGCGTGAAGAGAGAGAAAATATTTTTGAATCAGTAAGTCGTAGTGAATTTACTTACATTTACAAAGTGGCATGGATAAATCGACTAGATTTAATGGTAAATCGATATGAAAATCATGGACAATCCATCGAAGGACTTCGTCACAAAAGAAATTAAATAATAGTAAAGCCACAACAAAGCTCACTAGAGTAAAAATAAACCGAATGAAGCAATTCTTGACTAGAAATGTTTTCAAAATTTACTTGTAATGAGATATTCATTAGAAGAATTTCGTCGAATTTTCGTTGATGAAAATACTTTAATTGAAAGCATAGAGCCAATCATACCTTTTGAAGAGAGAGAGAGAGAGAGAGAGATAAAAACCTAGATTCCTCAATTTACAAAATATAATAATTACCAACGATGACAAGAATTATACTTGAATAAAACCGAAATAATTGACAGAATTGTCTTAGTTGTAAACCGAAATTATCTGGCGCTGATCGTTTTATAATATAATATTTAAAATCAATTGTTTCAGTTGTCGTATTCATAGTTCATAGTGTCGTTATTTTGATTATCATTTCAATATTTCATAATAAAATACTGCTTCTTCTTCTGATCTATCTATTAAAAAAAAAACAAAAAAAAAAAGAAAACAAATCAAGATCAATAAAAAAAAAGCAAAGGGCTTGCATGTACGATGATCGATCGGTAATGGCTCTCTGAAATCTATGTCGACGCTATATCGTTAGTTCTTCAAATAAATCTCAAGAGAAACACAATCGCACGATCATTTTTTAGCTAGCACGTCATCGTACATGCTCGTCTATCAATAAACGACAAAACAACAAAGTGACAATATTCTCGAACGACATATGTAATGGTTCTCGTTCTGGCACTAGTTATTCTTCTTCTTCGTTTTTCTCATAGAGAATTAGAAAATATAAGAAAACTCAAAAGAAAAAGACACACGCGTGTGCTCAAATGTCTTCTTTATATCGAATGCATTGACATTCAATCCATTCTATCAATATCAAAGAAAAAACAAAGCCTAAGAAATATTGAAGTATTGACGTTAGAATAGTCCTTTGTTTTTTTAGTATTAGAAACACGAATGGAAAAAAAAGAAATTTTTCGAAATCTACTTGATTCTCCAGAGAATTCAATTGCAATTAATCAAAATTATTTGTTTCACTTTTATGTATTTCTTTTCCGTTCGTTCTTATATTCTCTCAGATATGTAAATAGAGCCAGGCTTTATATTCATAACAATTTCATTGCTAGCTTTATTTTCGATTCGTTATTTTGTAACTGTCTAGATCAATGTGCATGTAGGCCTATGGGGATTTCGGTCGTTCTTATTTTTTTTTCTTCTATCTCCTCGAAAGTGAATCTGGTGTGCTCGAATTAATTTCGCTATACATGAGCTGATCTAATATTTCTTACGCTAAATAGATGTTCATAGCGTGTAAAATTCCAAACATTTCATTTGACTCGTCTATAATATGTGATAGCTGAAAAAATATAAGAAAAAAACAAACATGCAAATTTATCATAGAATGCCAGTTTCTTACCCATCAATGGGTACCCATAAAATAGCATCATGATGAGTTTTGGTACTAGAATATTCTGTTGTTCCTTTCTTTTCTCTCTTCTGCTCTATGAAGTGTATAGATTATTGTCAAAATATTGGACGGACACATTCGCATGTCAACTACTATTATTTTACTAGGGAAAAGAATAGAGAGAAAGTTGAGAACACATAATTTATCGCCTCATCTATATGATTTGATTTAGAAGACGGTTGGACGATGTTAATAAACAGGATGAGAAGAGATCAATTCGGCTTATAAAATATGAAGAGCTAATAAAACCGAGTAGCTGAAAGGAATGACATCTTTAGAAAATTTTCTCACAGGCTTCCGTTGTTTCAAAAGATATGACTTCTCATGTTCGTGTTACTTTCACAGGTTAGTCCAACTGTTCTCATTATCGGGCCTCTATTCAAAGTTTTCGGAAGAAAATACTTGCCCGTAATAATGACAACAGTGGAGTAACACATAGTGTGAATTTGTTAGGTTTTTGTATTACTATTTATAGTATAATGGTGTGTTTTCCAACACGATAGAATAAAGACTATGTTGGCATTTCTGATTTCTAAAACAATTTCTTATGCAAATTCAACAGAAACGATGTTCGAGTACGTCAGTAAAAGCGCATAGAAATTCAAAACGTTAAATTCTAATGGCATATGTGTTGTGATATTTCTGAATATTAGCTGTTCTACATATTGTCAATGTTGAAGAAGAAACGGATGAGCAATTTTAAAAGCTCATTATTGCTAATGTCTCGTTCTTATTAGTCTCTTCTTCTTTTCTTTTTCAAAACGGTAACTTACGGTTGGAAACGATATAATGAGCTCACTGGTGCTGCCTTCTCTATTACTTCTGTCACTCCGTAAATAGAATAACATTGAATGCGTTTGACTTGAAGATTATGGTTTAGAAAACGTTTCCTCTAAGAGAAAGAAAAAGAGAGAAGAAAGACGGAAAGTTCTATTTTCGTGTCTAATCAACCAAAAGAAAATTTATTCGTCTGAATCTTTTCAAATAAACTATATATATTTATATATATATATTACTATTATTACTATTATTATTATTGAAAATACGCATATTATATTAATAATAATTCTTTTGCTGCAGCGTGTGTATTCAGACACATGCGTATTTTTTTTCAAACAACATTAAGGAGTAATCTTAAATCCGATACTATAATAATACTGAGAATAAAACTTTCTTATCTATTATTGTTTGTACTTACATAGCAATATTGTCTAGAGAAATGAAATCGCTATAGTTCGAGACTGATAGGCTTGATAAAGAAGTCTGCTCTATGACTGTCGATCTTTCTACACTATAAATTCTATCATCAGACGACTACATCGTCAAAAAATGTTTTTTTTGTTCTACGATAAGGTACTTATGACAAGACGTCAAACAAAGCGAAAAAGAATACAATTAAGGATTCTTTTGTAACTCAACTTTCTTAATGTTAAATTCTGGGAATAGGTTCCTTTTTGTGTGTGTGTGTGTGTGTGTGTGTGCAATATATAATTCAAAATAATAATTATTAAAATATGACGAGAAGACAATGTACTACAGAATTACTAAGTATAATCAAGCGTAAATATTAGATATGCCTACAAGAGAAACTGTCACATCTCAGTTTACTGTTGATATAGATATAGTTTTCTTTTTATTTACATTATAATTACGCTAAGAACAGAAATACATAACAATACGTCGAACCTACGTAGTGTGCTTGTCAAGGATGAATTTGTTATCGTTACTCTGCAATCTTTTAAGGAGCAAAAACCAAGATGACGATGAAGAAGCAGACAAAGAAGAAAAAGAAAAGCGTCGACGTTGAGAAAACATATAAATGAAGATGTTCTCGCTTCAATAATGGACAAAATAGAATTTTATTTGTTGTATCATGTCATGAATACTGATTATTTTGTAAAAAATAAAACAAAATAATAATAAAATCTATAAAACTCAGCGTTTAGGACACAAGAGAAAAATTTTATAGTATGAGACTATTTGCAAAAAAAACTTCCTGCTTTTAGTTTGCTTCACTGAATAAGAATTATATTTCATCTTCTAAAGTGAAAACTTCCTGTTTTCTCTTTTAAACAAATCGCATTATTTAATTTTAAACCTTCCTAAAGTAATCAGAGTGTAAAAAATTTCACGCTTCCCTCTCGTTCGTGTCCTACCAAGTGGTAACTGTCATTAGTGATTAATTACTTAACAAAATGAATCTTATCATACTAACTTAGCTTCTAGTAGCCGATAATAATCACTATAATAAGAGAGAAAATATTGATGCTGATGCTCATTTTTAACGGTCCTTTTCGTACGCAATATGCAAATCGGAATCGTCCAATGTAATTTGAAAAGCATATGATGATGATAAGACATATTATATTTCCGATACAAGTATAAACATCAGCAGCAGATGAGAAAACCAGAAAGAAGATTATGTTTTAATCAAATAGAAACCATATGTACTGTTAAATGCGTCTCTCCCATCAGGATTCTCTAGTAATTTCGATTACCTGAACGCATCGACGCAATCAAAACACTTGCTGGCTTCCTGCTTCTGAGTGATCGAAAAAACTAAAAAGTCTCATGCAGATTTGCAACAATTTTATATTCTAAAACAACAGCAAGAACGATAGTGTAACATACCCTGCATTTTCTTACTTCTGTTTTTCTTACAATCGATAAAATACTGATCGATCAAGTTTCTACAAGTCAATAAAAGAAACGTAACGCACTTACATGACTTGAAAGAAGCAACAAACAAAATATTAATTGGAATGAATTTTTTAGATGAGCTTATATTGTACGAAGTATACTGTTGTTCAGCAAACTATATGGCGTAATTTAGATTTATTTATGAGTTTCTCGTAGAACCAACTTCAAAAACTGTCATGCAATGAATATGGAAACCAGAAAGATTTAATGCCAATTCCTATCTCTTTATCTAACTCTAGGCGAGTTTTTCTAATGATACAAGTAGAGAGTTCTTCTAAATCTCGCTCTATTTATTTGTGACATCCTATCTTTGTGATTTTTAGTACAATTTTTTCGGACGCTTACGAGAGAGAAAGATAACGATAACATATAGAGAACAGAATACAAAGGAGAGAAAACAAACAAACTCGACAGGCAGTGATGACGAATCCACGTGTATTGAATTGTTTTTTCTTTCTTAACTATTCTTCCATTATCGAATATCTTTGAAGCCAGAACATCGTGTCCGGGGAAGAAAACGAACCTTCTGCCATCTGACTAAATCAGACACATGGGACCACTGCACCATCCCTGGCACAAGTAGGGATGCACCAATTCCAACCAATTCCAATTCTTGGCTTGAAATTGGTCGGAATTGGTCTGAAATCGGTATAGAATTGGCTCTAAATGAGTGTAGAATTAACTGAAAATGATTGTACAATTGATTATTTTTGACTAGCAAGTGATTGAATTTGCTAAAAATAAAATAAAGAAAGCGAGATTAATAAGGCCTTAAATCTGAAAATTGAGATTTTTATCATAAAAGCTACAACTCGAGTCACAATTAATAACATATTTGAAATCAGCGCAGAGAAAACTGACTCGAACAATGTATATTTTAAGTACTTTCCGTAACTTTTTTTTTCTACCAAAAATTCACTTTGTATACTCCTCAGGGTTCAGTCAAAAAAATGAAACTAATCAGAAAGCAACATGGGCAGCAGCAATTAACTGTGGAGTATGTAAAATGCTTAGTAATATATAAAAAGATCACATGTCTGAGCACTAGAAAAAGAGCCATTTTTTATTATTGGACTGAACCCTGAGGAGTACCCCAGGTGAATTTTAAAGAGCTTACCGAAAATATTTAAAATACACATCGTTCGAGTCAGTTTTTTGCGCTGATTCCAAATATGTTATTAATTGTGACTCGAGTTGTAGCTTTTATGATAAAAATCTCAATTTTCAGATTTAAGGCCTTATTAATCTCGCTTTGTTTAGTTTATTTTCGGCAAATTCAATCACTGGCTAGTCAAGAATAATCAATTGTACAATCAATTTCAGTTAATTCTACACTCATTTAGAGCCAATTCTATACCGATTTCAGACCAACTCCAACCGATTCCGACCAATTTTAGGAATTTAATTGACTCGAATTGGAATTGGAATTGATGCATCTCTAGATAATGTTTCATTTCTTTCATAACTGCTTTTATTTCTCGTTTGCGTCGTGCTTTCTATCCGAACTTATAAATGCGGAGAAAAAAGCATAACTAGTAGTATTACAAACCAATTAATCTCCTTTGTTTCTATTTATGGAATCTCTATTGTAGAAAAACTAATGCGTTCAATCGAATGCACATTTTCGTCGACGCTATTTGATAATCAAAAACGATACGTCGATATAGCTTTGATAATTAGATATACAGACATGGCAGAAAATTTTTGCCAACTTTTATTCGCATACGTTTTCCAATCAATAATGCTCGTTCCCTGTCTGTCTCTCTCTCTCTCTCTCTTCTCTTCACTTTTTTTTCTGATAGATCTACTCGTACATCGTTAGTGTCTGTTTTTTATTGTTCTTTCGTCTTATTTTCTTCTTCTACATCCTTTTCTACTCTCATCACTTGCTTGAATACTGCTTCGGCTATACTCGCAATAGGCCGACTAGCGTGTTGGCTGTTCTCGTCAAAACGAATGAGCCATTTTTATGTGCAATTGTATATGGTCTTCTATTTTATTTGTAGAATAGGTTCTAGCAGAGTCTTGTTAAAGAATGTGCTATTTTTAGGTTTCTATTGAGAAATATATTCATTTAGAAAAAGTTACAACTAAAACAGAATAGAAAAGCCTGACTAATGTCAAAAAAAGTATTAAAAGAAAAAATGTTTCTGGTATTTATCATCGATGCAATTTTTCTCATCATCATCATCAATTTCGTTCATTGCCGCGTTGACGACACTAGAACGGGCAACTATATAAATATTATTGTATTTTGACAAATAAACTTAACGGATGTCAGGAATCTTCTCACTTTTTACTTCCGTTTCAAACTATTATGTCTTCAACAGTCATGTTTTTACTGATATAATAATCATGGAAACAAAAACGACTAATTAGTTTTTTTCTTATATATTATACAAAAAGCACGATAAAGAAGAAAAAAGAATAAGATCACCAAGAATAAAGGAAAAGAAAAATAATTATATCAGGTCTTTATTCATATTTCAACTATAAACAGTTGTCGGTGTTGCTTGTTGTCGATTAATATCATTAATTGTGGGCTGAACAACAGTTGTTGTTGTTGCTGTTGTAGTTGCTGCTGGTGCAGTTTGCTTTGACATAGATCTTCCACTGATATTAAGATTTTCTGATATAAAATTCGGGTCAACCACATAGCGATGTACACGTTTTGGTATTGTATTATAAAAATATGTTTCTGATGCATTGTAATGAACTTCTTGTGGAGGTTTAGGTATTTGAAATTTTTCAATTGGAATTGTTTGATAATATTTTGTACGTTGAGCAAGACTAAAAATCAAAGAGTTTTCTGGCATTGCTTTGTCAATGACAATTTACTTACTTCGAATTTTGATTATATTTTTCGATTGCTTTGGGATCAATATTTTCTAAAACATTATAATGTTGATCTTTTATTAAATATAAACGTCCTTCAATGAAGTATTTCGTTAGGTTTAAGGATGCATCGTCTATTGCTAATGTTGGATCATATATTAACTTAATGCCATCAATTTCAACGGGTAATTTTGTTGGTTGTAACATGGGTGTTAAAGCAAGTAATGGTTCATGTTGTTTGTCACGATGACGATAATTATGATGATGATGTCTTCGATGAGATGATCTATTCATTTTTCTAGATGCTGAACTTTCTCGTACTATAGGCATTTTATAAGTATTACTAGCTGCAATAACACCTGGACGGTGAATATAATGCGGATTAAGTGGAATAGGATTTATTTCAATTTTAGTACGAACAGTTTTTTTATCGATAGATGTTGATGGTAGTTCATTCGAAGACGCACTAGTTGGTCTTGGATAGAGAATAGTAGGTGTTGCAGAAACGAATAATAATGGTTGTTGTGTTGTTTCAGAATCAATTTGATTCGAACCTGTTTGATATTCTTCATCGGACAATCTTGTTTCATCATTTTGTCGAATTACTTGTGCGGATTTTATTTCCCGACGTTGTTGTTTTATGGTAGCATCCGTTTGTTCATAGTAAATAGGAAGTGTTGTATTAAGGCGTGCTCTAGCAGATGAAGCTCGATGTTTAGGTTTTGGTGTTCGTGGTAATTCAGTTGTTGTAACCGGAATAATCGGAGTTACAAATCTCGGTTCAGGAATAGTAAGAATGGATGTCAACGGTTGTGAACGAGCGACCGGAGCACTTTTCAACCGACGTGGTATCTCTTCACGTGTTGCTAATAAAAAAAATCGAAGAAGAAGAATAAAGTATTATTGTTTAATAGAGAAGACGTTCAATTGAAAGAAAATTATGAAAGATCAATAAAAAAAAACTATCTTGACAATAATGACTGTATAAGTAGTATACGCAATTAATACAGAAACAGAAATATAGGTTCAATAGCGTAGATAATTTATGAAATTTTTATTAATTAAATATAGTATGGTTATCAACAATAATCTAATGCATAGATGTCAATATAAATTTCAATTATAGATCGTTTCTGGCATTTCTATGAATCAAAAAAAAACAAAAAAACTTTCATTTCCGATTTGATACAATATTCAATTCAGGGCTTATGTTGGCATGTCAAATTCTATACGACTTTTATGGTTTGAATATGATTACAATTATATAGAGCACTTAAAAAATAGTCGAAGTTTTTATCTTTATAAATCGAAATAGAATAAATGAAAATGAATTAATTCAATTTCTTTCTTTCTTTCTTTCTTTCAAGATGAAGTGTTCGCAAATTATTATTGATTTAACATGAAATTCATCATCATCAGAAAGAGAAAGAAAAAAACATTTTGTATAAATATAAATGACATATGAAAATACTTTCAACAGATTATTATTATTCTATGTATATATATATATATATGAAATAGATTAGCTCGTGTCGACTCATTATTTAAGCAATTATTTATTGTGTTTAAAACTTCTTGGAAAAGAGTAAGAACAATAAATTTTGTCGAAAAAAACACTTGCTCTACTCATATATAGATGTACCTAAAAAGGAAAAAAAAAGTTTCCATTTCTACATACTCTCAGTAGAATGTGATGGCGGGTTCGGTGTAGCTGGTGTTCGTTTTACTTCATAGTGTAACGCCCATGGTGTTGTTAATGCTTCATCGAGAGTATCTGCCGAATGATATATAGGTTCACTTGGTGCCATACTTTGTGTGTAACGTCTGATAACTTCATTATTATTATTACTATTATTATTATTGATCACTAGAAGAAGAAGAAAAAAATGGCAAAAAATTATATTCACAATAAAATAGAGCAAAATGGTAAAATTTGTATTTTTTGTTTTCTTCGTTTGTTCTTAAATTAGCTATATACAAAATGTTATTCTTACATCTGTTTTTATGCGAATCCTGTTGTATAAGATCTTTGTCGATTCCTTTGTGAATATAAATATCTCTTGGTCCCATCGGTTTTGTCGTTTCCGAATCTATTACAACTTCTGGATACCATGCATAAAGACATTCTCGATTAACTTGATTCCGTTGTTTTAATATGACTGGCGCCGATTGAACGATCATCGTTCGATTTAATCTCTATCTACTACGTTGAGACTACAAACACAGAAATATGTATGAAGGCCGCAAATAATTAAATACTGTATGCTGATTTTGTTGTTGCCAACAACGATTAACATGCACAAACAGTGATACGCATGTCACAATCATCACAAAAACGGATGCCCATTTCTCTCCGTTCGCTTTCAAACATTGGCAATACTCTCTCTCTCTCTCTATTCTTTTACTTAACGACAACGGAAGAAAATGAGAAAAAAAATTTTCAAAAAAAGAAGTTTCATTGCCTATAACAAAAGAAAATAGACGATGGCACAACAAAGAACAAAAAGTAATCAAAAACATAGAGACAGAGAGAAAGAGAAGAAAAAAACTCGATATAAGTTTGAATGTTAACCAAACAGTTATGAAAGTTAAAGAAATGAATTTGTTGTGGGCGATGTTTGAATTCAAAAGAAGTAGCAACCAACGTTTATGTTTATAATAAAGAGAAAAAAAGTCGATTCAAAACACTTCTATTTTAATGCAATCGCACTTTGAAATCGGTTTATAAATGAAATCTTACACTGGCAAATATATAAAAATTTTAATTTTAGCTCAAAAACATAGCGAAACAAAGTGTTTCTATTTACCTTTTAAATCTTCTATGAAAAATATTTGTCCACAGATGATAAGAACAGCTTGGTTGGGTTAAACTTTATGGCCTATTATCAACACTATCAACGGCCCTCAATAAATTTTGTTTTCTAACTACTCGTTTAAAAAAATATTATTTTTAAAAAAAATTTCTCTATCGATCACATTTACGGAATTATTCTTTTTGAAAAAAAAATCAATCGATCTAATGAAATGAAAAGTTTGAATAATCTATCATCCACAAGAAAAATCTTTTTTTATTTATTCACTATGTATTTAAATTTTATATTGACAAAATCTATGCGAAATCAAGATTTGTTTGCACTAGAGTCGAGAGGTCGCCAGGATTTCTTTTTTTGTTTACACATCTGTGAACAAGAAAGAATCAAAACTTTTCAAGATTGGCACTCTCAGTTCCCGATCAGAACATCTCTACTTATTTGAATTGCTAAGTTTGACTCTAGAATTCTATTGAAATAACTTTTATGTTTATAAACAGAAAACAAATAGATGAAATTCAATTGTATTTAATTTTACTTGAATAATTTATTTACAAAAATTAACATCAGCAAAATCTATGTTTTATTTTGTACGTGAAATATTCTATTCTAATAAAATAAAATTTTCTTCTAATAAAATAAAATTTTCTTCTAATAAAATAAAATTTTCTTCTAATAAAATAAAATTTTCTTCTGGCAAAAAAAACGACTCAACGAATTACATTTATTGCATTACCGATTAAAACCGTTATAATATCGCACGTCGACCATTAATTGATCACGGTTTTTTTAGCTTTTATCAAATCGAGACTTGTCATTACATTAAAAGAAACAAATAGGCCTTTTTTTCTTCTCTGTTTGTAAGTATCATTTCTGAGCATGACTACTTTTTTTTTTAAAACGTTGGAATACACTTTTACCTTCAATGTCAATGAAGACTTTTAACATCTAATTTGTTTTTAATGTTGATACACAAAAATCAAGAATCACAAACGACATTCGTAAACTGTTGAAAGTTCTCCGTTGTGATTTTAACTATTTACTGTATTTATCTAGGAATATGTTGGTATTCAGTGTATTAGCGAAATACATTGATTCGAGTACTAGCGCAAGACATCTTTTGATGGAAGTTAAATTTCGTCATGATTTTAACGAATGACAAAATTTTCAATCGAAGTGAATGAAGTTTATTTTTTCGTACAGATTAAATTTGATCGTATGAACAATGAAAATCTTTCGATTACATCGATAAAGTACGAAAGTCATAAAATACGATCGAAATCAATTCATATTTTATACTTTTCTTTTTTGATTTTTATAAATTATGCAAATCGAATGATGAATGTAAAGTGTATCGTCGCGTCTCTATGAACTATTAGTTATGCAATAATATTTTATTCATTAAATTGACTAAAATATAAACATTAAATCAAAATTTAAAAAGAAGTTTTTTTATCTCTCCAGTATACCAATTTTTATTGTGCTCTAATGAGTATGTTGCAAGACAAATGAACATCATTTACGTTTAATTGTAAAATCATTCAGGTAGAAATCTTTTATTTATATTCGTTTAATATTCTGTAAATTTATTCTATGTTATAAAAATATTAGACGCATACTGGGACATTTTTAGCAATTATTAACCCCATCTAGCCTATAAATTGATCAGAAATTTTATTTGGAAAAAAATCGGTATTTATTCTGGTGGTTTGGCACATGCACCTGAAATAGACTTGTTTCGAATATTGATTTTCGATGAAGAAAAGAACGACAAGCCATATCAATATTATAACCAATACAGATCATATAGGTAGGACGCGAGAAGTTCTTTTTTCTTTTTCATTAGAAAATGTATTGTTTTAATAGGTTTCAGAATGAGTCATCTTCTGTCGTCCACATGAAAAATCGTCCGATTTCAACACTTTTTTCAACCCTTTATTCTAAAAATCTGACCCATACAAATTTAGAGCGATATTTCAATCTATATATATTCTTAATCTTTGCGAAAACAGCAGAGTAAGTCATCTTCAACCAAGTAGTATTTGCGAATACTTTTATTGATACTTATTCTTGCCACTCGTATACATATATATATATATATATATGTGTTAACACCTGCCAAAATCTACACTTGTAAAAATCTGGCAATACTAGTAGTATAATTTTAATTATTAAAAGTGAATTAAAGAAGATCAACATAATATAATTGAAAAAAATGTCTTCTTTGTTTGATTCAGTTCAATACAAAAGGTGACAATTGGCATCAAATGAAAAGAAAACAACGTCGGACAACTTCTCTTTGTCATATCAATATTCTTCATATACGTGAAGCCTTTAGGGATCAGTAAAAAAAATTAATTCTTTCACTGATCTCTTTCGCCATATTTTCAAGTATCTTGAGAAAAAAAACGAAGCAAAGTATTGATTTTTCTTCTGATTTAACTGTCTTAGATCATCACTTGCACATTAAATTCGAAGATTTTTTAGTTTAAAAAAAAAATTTACATCTATTTGAAAGAGTAACATACTTCAATTGGCATGTAACTAAAATGGTGTACATCAATAATAACAATAACAACAACATCAGTAATAGACATTCTGACAGGCGTTCGTTGTTGTAGTGAAGAGAAAAAGAAAAGGCCTCCAGTTAAGTATTTCATGTACTTGTTCACAACATAAGTGCTCACCATCTCTACATTTATCGGACAATTTGCCTGGAGTAAATGGGGAAAACGAGAGTGAATAAGTGTTGATAATAATGAGAAGAGCATTATAGTGAAGATTCGGCCTTGTTTATTTGCCATGAACAAAGGTTTTTTTAAACATCAGAGTAAAAAAAGAAAAAAAAACGCAAAAGAGAGTGAGAGAAAGTTGTCATGTCTTTTCTCTTTTTGCTCGAACTGGCTACTATTATGTATAAGTTAAATTCATCTGAGAAAAAAAACGAACAGCTCGAGACATTGACACATGTCTGATGCACACACACGCAAAAACGATTGATGGAACTTGCATGTGAAGTGTGTACTACGGCGACAAGTCAAGAGTTTCGTGTTCTTTTTTTGTGTTATTGACTATCCAGATAATAATCTTTTCAAATCCATCGAGTGTACAATATGTAAGTAGATAAGAGATCTTAGCAGTTGTTTTCTAGCGCTCTCTTGACGTTCTACCATATGATTTTCAAATAGAATTCAATTAGAAAAGAAAATATTCCAACCAAAGAATACCTTTGTCTTTGGCGAAATTAACACGAGAATCATAGCTAAATAAGAAGGAGCGATAATTGTGATAATAAATCTTCGTTTTCAAAATCCGTTTTGAGTTATTATAAAAATTTTCGTTTGGTTGTGATCGGGAAAAAAATTGAAAGAGAAGACCAACTACACATTTGTTACAGCCCTCAATCTACTATTGATATGAACGGGTTTTTTTTTTGGGTGGGGGGACCTATATTTTGTCTAAGTTTTTCATCTGAAAATCCTCTTTCTCAATCAAATAGATTGATAGAAGAAGAATTGAAAATTTTCTATTCGATTCAATTGAAGCACGTGCCAAGATGTTAATGTGTCAGCTATAATTTTACACCTATTAATTTTGGTGGCATTTCAATTACATCGAATACTCTTCACAATAGAGAAAATAGCATATGAGAATTCTGTGACAAATCATGATTGAAAATATCTCTCTTCTTATATAGCAATAATAGAAATTCTGTCTAAATCGTATTAAAGTACTAAGGAATATTTCGAGATTGTAAAAACAGAAAAACAAAGACGCACAGTTGAGTTTTAAAATATTAAAATTTCTCATTTTTATTTTGTAGGGATTAGTTTAAAAATAATCTTTTGCTTTCGTAACTCAATATATAAGAGGGAGAGATGAAATCGATTTCTATAATTTTTCTTATATTTGCCAATTTTTTTCTTAAACAAACTTGAAGTTGAGTATTGTCAAACTGAATCCCTAAACTTGCGAAAAAGAAACTCTGATTTATTAATAAAATATTGAACTTAACCAATGCAAATTTATCTTAAATATTCTCGAGAAAACTTTTAAACAAACCCTTTATTATTCTATATCATGATTAAAATACAGGTAAAACTATTCTTTACAAAAATAACAATGTAAACTTTTTATTGGTTCTTTTTCTTGATCGAATTTTAAACCAATCGGATTGTTTTGTTTTTCTGTCGTTTTCTTTTTCTCATACGGTTTATGTTAGTGTTTCGTGAATGATGAATGGAATAATTCATAAATGTGAATGTAAAGTCAATTGTATGGTGATTAAACTTCGGAGTAAGAAGGAGAAGAAAAAAAGAAAAAGAGGTAAAGAGAAAGAGAAGTGCTCCACTATTTGCATATGATACGAACGATGAAATCAATTTGACAGGCCTTTCTTTTTTTTTCTCTCTGTGCCGTGTCTCTTGCTCTCTCCATCTCTCTGTCTTTCTCATTCTTGTTCAAGTGCAGATTACACGGAGACGGTGTGTTCGCTATTCATTCTTCTCATATATTTTCCCTCCTTCTCCTTCTCTTTTACTTTTATTTGACCAAGTAGATAAAGTTCTCCGGAGGCTATCTACCTGAAAGCAAGAAAAAAAATCGTAGAAAGAGAAAAAAGGAGAAAAAAGGTGCGCACACGCATAGACACATACACAACAATAACAACTTGTGTGCACAACATACAAACGGTGTGCACTCGAGATTGGCTATCCCTTCAACATAACGAGTGGCTCTTCGTACGCTGACGAGTACGTAACAATCGTCATCTCATTTTTTCTTCTTCTTCTTTTTCTCCTCCTTTTTTTTCAAGTGCCCATTTGAGTAGCGATCCTTGAAAACCAGCCTGTTGGAGTGGTCCCTCATGTGCGGCATCCTCTAATCTAGAGAGAACGAGAAAAGATAGATGAGAAAGAACAAAAAAGAAAGAATGGAAAAACGGACAAATGCATTTTCATTTTTTTTGTTTATCACCAATGATGAGCATACGCATCTTTACAACTATGTTTATTAACGGTATAGAACTTAGATAGTTTTTTCATATGTTTATCATGTTGATTTTTATATTTTAAAAATTGTTCTTCTATTGCATCTATTTAGGAATCCATAATGATGAACGGAATGAAACACGATTTAGTAGGCTCAGCATCAGCAGCCGCTGCAGCAGCAGCTGCATATCAAAGTCCATTACTCTATGGTCCAACACCATCATGGATGGGTACAGAGAATTTTCCAGGTATGATTCAAAAAAAAAAAAAAAAAGAAAGATCAATTGAAAAATGATTGACCAACAATTATACTTTTCTTGAGGTTTATTAAATTTTTTTTTCCATCGGTCCGGATATTGCTTGATCTTACCGGCGGATGTCAATCGTTTAAAATAGAAAACATGAAATTGTCTATTTAATTTATTCATAAACATGTTATTTTTGTTTTTTTAGAAATGAACAGTTTTGGTCTTTATCATCCACATCCCTATCCAACAAGTTATGATCGACACCATCATCATCACCATTCAGCATCTACATATTCTTCATTAGCTGCAGCAGCAGCCTATCGCAGTTCCATGTCTCCATTGAATCATGAGTTTAAAACTGAAAAAACCGAACCATACATACCAAATTCCAATTCATTACATCATAGCCCTGTTCATTGTGTACCATCGACATCATCACTAATTCCAACAAAACCTCCAATGAACTGTCTTAATGAAGAAAAGCCTTCTTCAACAACAATAATAACGTCGTCTTCATCATCATCGTCATCATCATCATCATCGAAACTTGTAGATCATGATGAACAACAATCATCAGTGCGTATTTCACCAACACAACTAAACAATAATCAAAAGAAAAAGTCGAACAATTCCAATGAGATTTCAAATGGTGGAAAAAAACGTAAACGAAGAATACTTTTTACTAAACAACAAATAGCTACACTTGAACAACGTTTTAATTCTCAACATTATCTATCAGCACCTGAACGAGAATTATTAGCTAAACATATTGGTTTAACAGCTAATCAATGTAAAATATGGTTTCAAAATCAGTAAATATATTTTAAAATCCTTCGAGCGGTTTCATTAATATATTTTTTTCTTCTTGTTTTAGTCGTTATAAACTTAAACGTGCTAAACAAGAAAATTCTTCGAAATCGGCTTCCTCCTATACAGATCTCTGTTTTGATCCTAATAATTCTCCACCTCCTCAAACTCAACAACCTATTCGTCGTGTACCTGTACCATTACTTGTTCAAGATGGTAAATCGCTCTATGGTCCGCCAGCATCATCATCGTCTCCAACATCTTCGCCGTACGGTTCAAGTCTAAACGATTCTGGTCTATCTGGATCCGTATCCGCTACAAATCCATCATCAACATTTGATCCATTAGCATACAATGTTTATATGTCATCCATTGGTTATCATCCTCACCATCATCAATATCCAACATCGAATACACAATTTCATAATTCTTATGAGAGTTGTTTGAGACAACAGCAACAAGCGCCAAATTCAGCATGGCCAACAAGTGTTTGGCCATAAGTAGAGGATTTCGTTTCTTTTTTCGTTTCTTTTTTTGTACAGGTTTTTTTTGTTTTCTTACAATATTCAGAAATATATTAATTAAAAAAGATCAACTGTCAATCATCTGATTATTTTCTATTGTTCACAATAGTCAAGTGGAGAAGACATTTGCATACGATGTCACCTATACATATATATATATGACACACTCGGTAGCATAAAATTGTGTTATGTTTTTTTTAAAATTCCACCACATGCATCTCTAATTAATCATTTTGTTTTAATTTTTGTTTTTCAAGTAGGTCAGAGATAAGCATTACTTCTCATTGGTTCAAATCAATATTTACATTGATAAGAGAAATGATAAATTCTGTTTCATTTTTCTGTTTTCGGTTTAAACGATTGAAATTTTAAGATAGATCGAAAATGAATTGATTTCTTTCTTTATTTTTTCCCCTTCATATTCTTCTCTCTAGGAAAAGATTAGTTCAAACGAAATAATGATTTTCTAGTTCGATGAATACGCTCCTCCTTTCGCACGGTCGATCATCAATTGATTTGATTAGATTTCTGTTTTTTTTCTCTTTTAATGGATAAATCACAAACATAATGCTTCAATGATTTGTCATGATCAGCTTGAAAATAAATATATTGAATGTCTCATTTCAGTCTCTAATAATAAAAAAAGGAGACCTTCGTATTTGTTAGAAATTTAATTGATGCATTCTGTTTTCACAATAAACGAACTTTTTTATTATTATATATATGAGTCTATTGTTTTATCTTAACATACGCGAACTGATATACATATATATTTATATAGAAGAAAAGAATAGGTAAATATTGATATTCATAAAAATAGTGAGGCGAATGATCAGAGCACGTTTATCAATCGTTTATATTTATATATATATATATATATGATGTAGATTCTCTCAAGATGAACGTTATTTTCTGTAGTTATCAAAAAAGAAGAAAAAATTATTCTCAGACTCTCACCATCTATAAGTTTAATTAAAAAAGAAACCTTGATTTGTCAAGCGAGATGATAGATTACGGTTATAAATGAACCATAAAGCGGATTGTTTTTGATCTCCTATGCCAATGATTGCGTCGTATTTTACAACCATTTCCCAAGCAGATAGGGAAACATATATAAAACTAAAAATCAATTCTATTGAAATTATTTTTAAAAGTTAGCGTAGATTTTACGAAACATATCAAAGTATGACAACTGGAATTATTTATTGTATAAATTAAAGTCAGAACGATCATGTAGAAAATTGAAACATTCTACAGCTGACATGAACCTCGGGTAGCCAATCAAATCAATATGTGAGAGCGAACGACGCAAAGTAACAATTTTAAGACCGATTGTGCACATGAATTTGCAACGAATAATAAACTATTTAATTTAGACCAAATTTAGAAAATAAATGATATGATCGATCAAAAACGTAGCCAACAATTCTGCTAATGATAAATAGTTTTTTGCTCTGAAGAGTTGATTGCCTGAACAACAGTAGTCGTAGTGTAAGCAAGAATGAGTTAGCCGAAGCGTTGAATTATGACCATCCACAATCTCTCAATAAGAGTACTTACATGGAATCTGAGTCAGACAGTTCCAAAGTTAAAAAATCGATGAATTTTTACTAAAATTATTCAAGAGCCGAAAATTCAAATTAGTTTTTAATCTTATTTATGAGTTCTTAACAAAAACGAATCATTTCGAAATATTCAAACGATTTTATTTTATTCAAATTTTTACAACATCTGATTCTTGTTGATTCTATCAGATGGATTCATATGTAATTTTTTTAATAGAACATTTTCTAATTCTTGTTTTAACGATTTATTTGTTGTTCTCAATTGTTGCAATTCAAAAGGTACGGCTACATTAATCGATGGATATCTATATTCATTGGATGATTTAAAAGTCGAATCTAATTTTAAAATATTTTCATAGTGATCTTCAGCATTAATTAATTGTTTTTTCATTTCTTCAATTTCATATTGTAGATGATCAATTTGATTATTTAATTTAGTTTTAGCTTTTTCACTAAGTAGAAACGTTCGCATTGCATACGCATTTGCACTTAAATAACTGTTTGAATAATCTTTCATCATTCGGCGATATGTATGACGAACACGAGATAATAAAATACCACGTTCACTACATTCGATTGTTATTTGTCGAACAAGTTCATCGAAACATTCATCATAGATATTACGACGATGTTTACATAATCCAACTTCAAGAGCTTGAGTTTGTTTTAAACGGCAATCAAGATTTTGTTCTAAATTATAAAGATCAATTTTTGTAGCTGGATGCCGAGAGACACATTTTATCTAGATTTAAAATCATCGTTTCTTAAATAGGCGAAACTAGTTATACAACGTACATATTTATGATTATTTGCGTCGATATATTCAATAGGTGGAAAGAGAAAATCAAGTATATCGGCAGGCCGACATAAATCTGAATAGGGATCGAAAAGATTTAAATGAGTGTCATAGAGTGATATTGGTTGTGAAGAAGGAGAAATAGTTGCGCGGCAGATCTTTTTATAGTCTGCATCTGATACGTCACGACTAACAATTAAACGTCGAGGTTCATATTTAAGTAAAGAATCTTTTGCATAGACGATATCATTCGATTGAGATGCGTGCTGACGATGACCACAAAGCATGAGAATTTATATTCGCGCCATATTTTATAATTACTTATAGTTTGAAGACAGCGATGCGCACACAATTTTATGTTACAAAAAATTGATTTTTTGCTTTACGGCAATGAAAGCAGTACAATATTACTATCTGCCGCATATCTGATAGATTTTTGATTGAGTGTCTTTTTCAGCTAAGCATTTAATTTTGTTTTCTAATAATTAATCGTATTTCTATATGGTGCAATGCAGAAATATGAACAACCTATAGGACTTTTTTGATGATGAGTTCATTTCTTTCAAAGCAAAATGACAATAAATATTAAAGGTGGATTATTGATTTAAAATGTATTACAGTGTTTTTTTCTGAAAACAGAGATGGAAATTACCCGTTTGAGTTTATTTATTATGGATTAAAATCTACATTCTAAGTATTTTTTCTGAACGTGAACTGTTTAGATATCGTTTCGTGATTGAGAAGTTGAAAATAGGAAAGTAATTTAATTTTCCTTATTGACCAAGATTAGCATTCTTTAAATGTTCAAGCTTTTTTTTGTGATACAAATCAATATTATTCGAGTGGATATTTCCTTCTGCATGAAAAACATCAGCTGTGCTTGAATTATTCTTGTTTTCATTGATAACCAATATTAGTATTGTTGTTACACAGAATACTACATGTACACATTTATAAATCAATTACAAATAAGACAAAATGTGAATAAATATATCCAGTGAAGGACATATCTCATTGAAGGTCAGAATTCCGACTTATGTCTACTGAATAAAGAAACTCTTTCGTGAGCAGAATTTCAAAGTAGATATACAAACGTACAGTTGAATCGTGTATCCAATACTGTAATTATCGATTCCGGATTGTTAGAATATGAATTTGTAACGGTAACCGTGGAATAAAACTAAAAGTAAATGTTTGCTTGATAGAATTATGTAGTTGTTCTTTCTTTTAATTCGATATAAAATAATGATTGATTATCAACAACTTCACGGTCACGTCGTTTTATTTAGAATCAGGCAATGCGAAAATAACGATTATATACCTTGGCTCTTGTTTTATAGATCCGGTTAGTTTTCTTTTTAAAGATAAAATCAGGAATCTTGAACATTTAGAATTCTCTTCTCACAATGAACTCGAATGGCTTTGTCTGATCTAATCTTCATCGTCCTTCCTAGAAAGTCTAAGCCAGAAGCCTTTCTCGATTAACTATAAACAAAAAAATGAACCCATTCCGCTGTGCTAAAATGGACAGACTTCAATTCTTTTTTGTGTACTCAAAAAAAGTGAGTACACTCTAGATTCGGTCAGTGTGTCCTTCCGGCCGTTAACACGATAACCTTTGAAAGCCTCATCCAATTGTCATGAAATTTTGTACACAAAATGATCTCATTAATATCTCAGTCGAGTTCGAAGATGAGAAGGATCCGTCAAGAAATGGCTGAGTTATCGAAAAAATTGTCATTATTGACCAGGCCATCCCTGAGGGGGAGTACAGGGATTTTTTCAAAAAAAACTTTTTTCTTAGAATTATTCACAGCATATATAAATCGACTCCGTTTTTGCAGTACGCATAACAATTGGATGCGAATCCGATGTTTCCTCATTTATTTTGTTTTATGGAGGTCAACCGGTTCATACAACTTATTATAATTGTTCTTTTTATTTGATTAGCAATAAAAAAAATAAAAGGCAATAAGTTGAATTTTATTGTGATCATCTCCTCACTATTCTTACAACTGAAAAGAGATGATGAAAGTAGAATGCTTTCATTATAGAATTTTTAGTTAGTTTACCGACAAACATCCGCCGATGGTTCAAAGGTATATTATAAAATTTCCTTTGAAAAAAAGAACTGGAACAGACGCTGCCATAGTTTCTTTTCAGGCTACAGAGAACGGATGCTTATTTCATCTTTGTCAATATTGGTTCGGTCAACCTTTGCTCATGTTTTTTTGAAGGAGGTCAAAATTACATGTAACTTATTTTTCTAATACTACATAGCACCACGAACAATGAAGTGTACTCGACACTTACTATTAACATACATTCTCATTTGTATCTAAAGGCAATCGAACAAAACAATGCTCAATTTCAAACAATAGATGAATTATGTTAAAATCAATGGAATTTTATATAGTGATTTAGGCTATCGCAGGTAGCCAATAAATATTTGAATATCTTTCAACTATTCCATCAATACTTAGCAGCTGTTTTAACCTTCATCTTTCATTCTATCAGATCAAATATGAATTTTCTTGCATAGTGATACTTTATTGAATGTTTACACTCAACTCTTATCCATGCTGTTAGATATACGTTCGCGCCGTTTATACAGCTAATCTGCCATTGCCATTTTAGTAACAATCGACGAAAGAAACACTTGCCATTTAATGTGAACTTTTAATATTCGAACGCTAAAACTCAACAGACTAGTTTCACATATCGACATTTTATTTTTGCGAAGCGTTGCCTATGCAAAAAATCCTCATAAATCCCTTCTCAAATCTATACTCAACAATTGATTTGAAATGACGCCTTACATAAATAGACCTATCAAAATAATGTTGTAACTCTCTTTCTTGTTGTTTTGCATATGTTCTTTTCCATGTGTTTTATACCAAACTAAGAAAAATAATCTGCCTCATATTATTATCAGAAATTGATCAAATCAGATGTCTATTGATTGTTGAAGGCGATAGATATACATTTCATATGGAGAAAATACAATTAGTGGCAAGCCAAATAAAAAAAAAACAGAAAGAAAAAACTAAAGACAGAGACTATTGCAAGTATTTTTCATCGTTGTTGTTTCTTATCTTTTATTTATACTTGACTTAGTCATATTATATACGAAAGAAGCGTTTCTCGGTTTTTACTTGTGTTTTATATCATCGACTATGGCAAACCAATACTTGCGATTAAAAATGACAATTTCCATTATTCTAATATTACAGTTTATCAAAATAATATCATCAGCTAGTAATCCTCGTTTGTTAATTATTTCACTCGATGGTAAAAAGAAATCTACATTTTCATTCATCATTTTGTTGTTGATTTTTTATAATACAAAAAGGTTTTCGTCATCAATATTTAAAACAATATCCGTTCGAAGCATTGAATCGTGTAGAAAATGAAGGTATTAAAAGCAAGAATGGAATGCAGCCAACATTTGTGACCATGACCTATCCAAATCATATATCGATTGCAACAGGTAGAAGGAATTTATTTAGTCTTTTTTTTTTGAAAGAATTTACACGTTCGATCGACTTTAGGAATGTATCAAGAAGATCATGGTATCATTCATAATCGTTTTTTTGATACGAATCTACAAAAAATCGTGACATTTGGTACGAACAACAAATTTGATTCATTGATAAAACAGAATTTTTCTTAGATACACGAGATGAGGGCCAATGGTCTGACACTAAAGTCGAACCTTTATGGATCACAGCAACGAAACAAGTTGAATAGGGTTTTCTTGTGATTTTCACACATTTATCGATATGAATTTATTTAGGGTAAAAAATCTGCTGTTCTTTTTTGGCCAGCAGCTCATAATGAATTTCACGGCGCTCGTCCATTAATATATACTTGGCTATATACCGATAATATTTCCATGCGTGAAAAAATTGATAATACTGTTTCTTATTTTCGTGAAAATGTTGTTGAACTTGTTATGCTGTATCATTTGTGAGTTTTCATGTGAAGAACATTAAGAAACGTTTTTCTTTAATGTTACCAATAGTGAACCTGATAAACAAGGTCATGTGTATGGTCCAGACTCGGATGAAATTCATGAAACAGTTTGTATTATTTATAGATGATTCGTATTTATTTTTATTTTATTTTACCAAGCTTATCCGTCTTGATGGAGATATTAATTATTTACTTGAAAAAGTCAAAAGAGAACTCGATGACGATTTAAACATTATCATTCTATCGGATCATGTAATGATCAAAGACAAATAGAATAATTTCAATCTTATTTTTGTTGCTGCTGTAGGGAATGGCTAATACTGTACGAACAGTTCAACCATTTCGTGACGGCTACGTGAACAGATCATCGGTTGAAGACAACATCCTTGATGGTACACTATTTAGTGTTACTCCTCGGTCTGGACAAGTAAGGTTCTTTTTTTTTGTTCGCAACAGAACAAGGCACGTGAAGCAGCGAGATTTCAAACGGTGAAACTTCCATATATTTAGTTTTGAACAAAAGTGACTGCGTCTCATCAAGTGCTACTACTCTCTATAATATTTAGTTTATAATTTGGGAGTATGCGCGAGACAATTGACTCTGATTATAAGCACAAAGTTGTCCTCCATTGATTGTCATCTGTTAAGGATATGATCCAAATACCGTGCTTATCTCGTTATCAGTTTGTCGTAATCCTGTTGACACAAATACTTTCTTCCAAGAAAAATACTTCTTATGTTAGATAATTTTGATATGGCCTTCTTATGAAGAATATCTATTATTAGTTAAATGAATATGTCCATTTATGACAAACTTTTCCGAAGATAACAAAATCTCATAGAAGAGTAAGTCTGTTTTGACATCTCAACGTGTATTAATAAACGAAGGTCTGCACTATTTTCTATGACTTGTATGATAATAAATTTGCTACATGGAGTCGTTTTAGGGTCCAAAGAAGACGCAGTACACTGCCGAATAGTAAACTACCAAAAGAAACACTTTTTAGCAAATATTTTCGTAAAAATTCTTTTTTTGCATGAGAGAAAGAGCATGTGTAAAGTGATGAAGATATTCTGATATTCACGATAAAAATTATTAGGAGCAGCATTATTTTTCACGTTAAACAATACAATTTTATATGTTTAAAATAGTTTGAACAAGTACTCAATGGTTTACGTCTTATTCCAGGTGTTAAAGCTTACAAACGCGAAGAATTTCCAGAAAGATTTCATTATGCAAAAGCAGTCAATCGACTCGGAGAAATAATTGTTGTGCCTGATAGCGAAGGTGTCGTTTTTTCACAAGTAAAATCAAACTTTTTAATGCAATAGATAATAAATGAAGAGATTTTCATATATGTTAGGCAACAGGAAATGTATCGGTCGCAAAAGGTAATCATGGTTACGATAATATACTCCCATCGATGCAAGCAATATTTATGGCAAAGGGTCCAGATTTTAATCGTCATATAGAAATAGATTCATTGAAAAATGTTGATATCTATCATATAGCTTGTAAAATTTTAAATCTCAAACCAAATCCGTATGCAAAAGCTGGGTCAATCGATAATTTAACTAGTATTTTTCACTTGCGAGCAAATCATTGCTCGCAAAAATTTCTCAACATGTCAGTGATAGTTTTAGCATGGTTTTTGTATTTTACCATGGATATTTGAATGACAGAATTTATAATTTTTTGTAACTCCTGTACTTTGTATGCTAGATAAATAAAATGTTGCACTATTGACTAGTACAAATTTTAAAACAAACCACAATATTTTAAATTCATAAGGAAAATAATGACAAAGTGGTTATATACCAAAGAGAAGACATTCACTTTATTCTTGTCGAATTAAATATTTTAATCGTAAGCGTTTCTCAAGTACTTAATCATGCTTGATATGTATGTGAATAAGCCTTTGTCTGGTTCAAATAGATTCGAAATGGACTGTGTTTTCTTTGAACACATAATATAATTATGTCAACTGGTACGTGCAAAGAAATTCAATTGTAATACTTTTGTACGAAAGTCATGTCTACCGTTTTTAATATTGCTTTGAGTGACAGACTGTATCTAGTTGTGAAATGCAAGGAGAATATTTTCAGTAAGCGACAAATTATTTGCTCTCATCTTTTGTTTTCTTGTGTCAGACCAACTTACCCACACAAACTGAACGCTCAATACTGAAAGAAACACGTAGCTACATACATGAACTTGACTAGTGTGAACAAGGCATCAATTGTTCACCGGTATATTTGCACACTATATTTTTTAGGTGAAACATCAGAGAGAATCATTATATAGTACATAGAAAAGCATAAACGAATGTGCTATGATGATACATTCGAATACACATTATTTGTCTTCAATTATGGAAAAAAGCACATCTGATCATGCATTGTGAGGATCAAAGCTAATTTCTATACACAAACTATCATCGATCTCCATCACGAGTAAGCGTGTCAACTCGCTTCAGGCATAAATAGAGCGCAACATGCGTCTGTCGCGTGTCGCCGATACATATATATATATATATATATATGCTGCTCATCCAACAGTGTCGCCGACACACCTTGTATAATACATGTCCGAGCAATGAATATAGATGTATATGATTTGTTCTTTTGAAGTTTGTCGTCAAAAGTATCCTATCGATCACGTAATCGATCAGCGAACGAGAAAATTGATAGGCGGCGAATATCGAAATACCATTTTTCGGTTCAATCCTCTAGCAAAAGGGCGTCGTTTAATAATGATGTTCTAATCGAATCAACTAATTCACAGTTAAATTTTCTCTCTCTCTCTCTCTCTTGTTCCCTATGATTTCGAGTGTATATGTGAAAAAAAGACGTACACCATCTGTCTAGTTTTTCATTTAAATAAAGTATTGATAAAGGAGAAAAAAATTGATCGCAAGGACAAAATAAAATCTGATGACTTTTCTTGATTAAATAACACCTCACATGCTTCTATTTCATGCTTGACGGTCATCATATGATGTAATGCGAATAATAAGATGGAACACAATATGAACTTTCTATTGACATTTCTAATCACGGAGATATGAATCACACATTCATAAATATCTTCGTACATACAATACATTGGCATGCGTATGCGTCACATCATATCTCATCAGAAAATTATAGACAATGATCAGAATGTGTTTGTTGCTTAAAGGAATAGAAAAACAAAACAAAACGATAAGACATGTCACACTTTTGATTGAAAACTCATTTGAGAAACAATCAAAAATCGCGATATAACTCAACACCGGAAAGATTTTTAAAAGCAGAAAACAAATGGAAGCTGCGTGAACATATTTTTCAAGTAGAGAGCGACATTTCCTTGTTCAGAAGTTCATGACTATTCTAATCAAAATTATCGTTAAATTTTCTACTTCCGCTAGTCTCAAGATAAAGTATCATGATTGTTCTCTTTAAAAGCACATGATACAGTTTTTTTTCTTGCACTTAAAAAAATCTATTTCTGTACTTACGCAATCATTTGCTCCTGTTTATCGAATAAAAGTATTTTTATCGTTAAGAATAAATATCCTGTTTATTATAGTTTCTTATCTATTTATAACAAAATTGTTTTTTATCTAGTAAATAATACATTTTTTTTCTCTTGCTCTCTCTTTATTATGGCCACTAAGTATTTTTAAAAATATATAGAACCAACTATACAAGTCTAACTACAATAAATTATATTCATATACAATATTAAAAACGAAGGCAAATCAAAAGTGTGTCGGATAATAAAAATTGTGATGATGATGTTGTGACACCATTGGTGGTGGTGGTGGTGGTGGTGGAGGAGGATAAAATTGTTGATTATTTAACAGAAAATGTTGTTCTTCCACATAGAATTCATTTTGAAATCCTTGTGAAGATCCTGGCAAAATTAAATGTCCATTAGGACTTATTTCATCCATACTGCTATTTGTCGCATCGTTGCCATAGGATGATGTTTGATCAAAACTACTTGAACTACATATCATAGCATCGTCTTCACTTTCACTTGTTAAATTATTTTGAGTTTTTGCTATTCTTGGTTGTTGATTGCCTTTCTTAAGATTAATAAATTCTAATGGATTTCGTACTCTTGGATGCATTGATGATAGCATATAAGTTTCATCCATGGTAACCATATTTGCCGGATAGGGACTTCCATGTTGTTGTTGCTGCTGCTGTTGTTGCAGTACACGAGGATTTAAACAAAGTGTTGCTGCAACTAGATTCATTGTATTAGGTGATAAACCTTTGCATAACAATTGAGCAAAATGTGTATTATCTGGAATTTGATCACTCTGAACAATTTCACCTAATGCTTCAATATAATTTCTTGCTAATCGTAATGTTTCAATTTTTGATAATTTTTGTGATAATGAAAAACATGGAATTGTCTCACGTAAGACTTCCAATTGTTCGTTGAGACCTTTCATACGTTCACGTTCGCGACCATTGGCTTTGATACGGCGAACTTTGAAACGAGCAACTCGTGCCGGTGTCATTTGTTTCTTTTTGGGACCACGTTTTTTCGGAATTTTAATGTCGTTGATTGGTGTTGCTTTTTTATTTATTGAATGATGATGAACATGAGGATGATGATGATTATTTTCTTTCATACTTTCCACTTGTTCATGATAATGTATTTCGCGTTCAAGTTCTTTTAATTGTCGTTGTTCTTCATCTCGAGGAACTTTTGTAGGCATCTTTACTTTTTTGTTAAATAGAGAAATTAACTTACTGAACGGTTCACGTCGATTCAAATGAAAATAATAAAATTGTAGGAAATGTCACTTCTCTCCTCTCTCTCTCTCTCTCTCTCTAGCTCTGTCCCTTGCTTCCTTCCTCTGATAAGAGAACATACTCAAATTATAACCAATGAAAATGTATGGTCGAAAAAGCACAGGATTGGCCCATCGCATCAATGTGGAGATATCAGCTCATTATTAGCCTAATTATTTTAACAGATAAGTTTATAGTCTAAAACTTAGAATACTCTTGAATATGGTATATAAAACTCAACGATGAATAATGTCGCGTGTCGGTAAACTTATCAACAATAAAAATAAAACAAAAAAAGAAGAAATAAAATGGCATGTGCGTGTTCGTCGGGCCGTAAAAAGGCACAAACACTATGAGATGATACTCTCCTTTCTTCTTCATCCGATCGTTTTGGATGTATTTGAATAGAAAAATAGTATCGGGAGCGCATGAGCATTCTTTCATCATGAATAAAGAAATGATAAATGCTAATTTTCGAAGGCCAACTGTTCTCGAAAATAAAATTAAAAAAAGAAGAAAACTTAATTTAATTAAGCACTTCTATTAGCCTAGTTCAAGGTCAAATTAGTTGACCGCTCCTTACTTACTTACTTGATGAAATTGATAAATATCAATTCATTGACGGGCTCTTGAGAAACATCTAAGCATATGAACGTGATCGTCTTGAATATAAAAACAAAGAAAGAACATCTTATCTTTGTCAAAGAAGGTGTTCAAACATATCGCGCATCAACGACGATTGACTGACAATGTCATTGACAAAAAATCAACAAGCATAAACAAACGAAATTATATCATAGTCTTGCACGTAAGATATTCAATTTCCTGATTATTATGAAGAATAAATCTGATGCAATCGTGCACGGATGAACAAGCATGTGCGTGCGAGGAGTATTTTACGTCAATATGTGTGTATATATATGTATACATGCATAGAAAATTTTAACGCCTTCAGTAAAATAGAAATATATTTCCATTCACAAGAGAATTAAAATACATTGTCAACTTATCATGAGTAAAACAATTTTCTAACTCGTTCGTCACTTCGATTTTTTTAATTGTTCACTAATACACAAGAGATTTCGTTTTATCAGTTTTCAATATATATAAATGCATACATTGTGTGTGTGTGTGTGTGTTCAAGGTGGCAAACAGTCATCTCGATAATCGTGTGTCGTGTCGTTATCAGTCAAGTTAATCAATGTCATATAGTAGCTATAGCAGTAAATTCAACATTAGCAGACAGATGGCATAGTATTTGCGATAGATTTACAGCTCTTAACTCGAGAGGTATAGAAACAAAAACTAGACAAACGAACGGTGATGTACAGATAGAAATAAAAACAAAAAGAAGAAAAGAAAACTTTTTTTCTGTGTGACCAACTGCTGAGTATTTTTTGGCGGCGCGTGCCATCCCTTATCAGCTAGTTTCTTTTAACGCTGTGAGTGGTCATTATTCGGCTGCATCCTTTTATCAATCAATAAGAATAGAACGTTTGATTCTCTTGATGCGAAGTTACAGCACCAGTGTCATCCGTCGCTTTTGTCTCTTTGAAGGACATATGCCAAGAAAAGCGTGCCCATCTGTAGTAAAATTTGATTGATCAAGTTCATTGTTATTTTTGTAAATTGAAATTTATTGTTCGATTACGATTACGAATATTCATGCGCATGATATTTAAAACGACAAATCGAATATAGTTATATATCATAACAGTTAAACCTGCTGAGCCGATCAAACAGACACTTTTCTCAACTATAACTAGTGCTTATCGATGATGTAAGATTTTTTTTGCTAGTTTGAAGGACACACCACTCTGCTCTGTTATTCTTTCAATCGTTCATGTGCCGACATATGAAGAGAAAAGAGAAACGACGAAGGGGGGATTCGCTAATTTGTCACCTTTTCAAATCAGTAATGATCACATCATATAGAAAGTGCAATTGACTGTAATTTTTTATTCAATTTAAATGAAAGTTCCTTGAATCTCAAAGATCATCGACTGAATTTTTTCCTTTTTCTTTTTCTTCTTCTTCTTGTCTATGACGTAAAAATGAAAATTGATATGAATTAAACATAATTTTACGTTTGTTTGTACAACGAGATACGGAAGGCGTGACACTTGAATAACGTCTATTGATTAAACTAATGCTGTTCTCATCATGAACAAATTACATATTACTTCCTTTTCTTCTCTAGTACTACCATCCATCGAACTGTGTCAAATGTTGACCATAGGTCTCATATATATGCTTACACTTGTTTGTCTGTTCAACCTTATCTCCTTTTTCACTAGTTTCCCAGTGGGCATACTGGTGACTGATTGATAAACATAGACTACATGTATATAGAATGGACAATTGAGTCGCGAGTACACATTCGAGCAACACAACAGGACGCTAATGGCATAGCATTGACAACACAAGGGACAACTAGGTCTACATAGAGTAAGAAGGAGGAGAAAGAGTGGGAGGTGTTGTTTTCCTCGTCGTCTTCTTCTTCGTCCCCCTCCATCTCTTCTTTCGCATTGAGAATACAACTGTACAATACACTTGTCACAGAGTCTAATCAATTTTTCTTTCTTCTCTATCTGAAATTGTAGTCGATGAGAATAGATTGAACTCCAGGCGAATACACGGACATACACTAATTGCATTCAATGAAAGAGACACTTGCCTAGAGAGTTTGTCTTTAATATGAACAGTCATACTCTAAATTTAATAGAATTAGTCAAAAGAAAAAAAAAACAATATGATCAATTTTTATTGGTATATCCGCCGAATATAAATGTTCTAAATATTGATCAAGAAATAGCATATGTAAATATGATTTATCCTCTTTGAAGCAACTGAATATTTAACAAATACAAAAGTACTTCTTTCTTTTGTAAAGGAGCAAATCCATATTTTTCGACGTGGTGACCTTTAGTTTTTTCTTTGTTCTGTACCATGTGATTTCATTCTGTTTGTTCGCTTCTATAAATTTCTTTTTCCACTAAATATTTTCCCAATTAAAACAATAATCATAATAATACTGATGAGAATGAATATTAATTGGCAAAAACGAACAATTTTTCTCGATTGAATTAAATTCTGATAAAATCGTAAAGCATTCGATCGTATATCACGACCATGAAATTTAATCATACGCGCGTCATGAATGATTCCATCTATCTTTTCGTCGGTTTCTTTTAAAAGTATACCTGCATTAATTGCTTCTATCCGTATTGCATCATATTTTTCGTCAAGTAAAATCTCTGAATGTATAGCCGGAGAGCTTCCGGTTTCGATATTCGATCTATCCACTATCAATAGATTCGATAATAGAATTTAAAACGAGGAGAAAACGAACGAAATAACCTTGACAACTTAATTATTAAATAACTATTTGCTTTACTAGTTTACTCAACAAACTTGTAAAAAGGTGTACTATTAGCCTGTTGCAAAATTCTGTAGATGAGGCAATATCGACAAGTTGTTTTCTTCTTCAAAATAACTCTACATCTGATGATATGCAAGATAAAATGTTAATCTAACTAATCTTCGATCGGATTCATCGTTGATTCAAAAATTCGTCGTTGCTTCGAAATCGTTATGTCAATGTCTCGCCAACAAAAAGAAAACAAATAATAATATCCACCTTCACCTTTTGTCTACCACAAATTCAGTACTAAATCATTGCTTATTAAATATTAAACTTCAATATATGCTAATGAAATATTTTTTTTGTCTAATGTTTTCTTTGAGAAAGGATCAAATTTCCTTTGAATTATATTGGATTCAGTTTCGAGATTTAATCTAATACTGAAATAACGTTGTATAACGGAAATATTTGGCAGAATTTTCTTTGTTTTCCATTAACAAATCACCTTGATATTACTACTGACTTGCCAATTAATATCGAAGAACAAGAAAAAAAATGACGGCAGTCCTTTTCTTTTTTACTATTTATCACTGTAAAACGAGCAGACATTTATCTATATGGATTCATATTTCATGTATTTGTAAAATACAATTTTAAAACATTGTTCTCATGTTACTTTTCAATTTAATAATTAAACTTTATTACAAAGAAAAAATATTATTATTATTATTATTATTCTTTTCTAACCAACGAAAAATATGCAACACACAGAAAGATAGCGAAGTCACATAAGGCACTTGAGATAAACTAGTGTTCATGCAGAATAAAATAGAAAGAAAAATTAAGAGAAAAAGTTTAATAGATATTCTATATTTATCATTGGACGTATATTGCGTTGAACAATTTCGCGTTTTGTCTTGTTTTAGATGTTCGATTTATGAAGATCGACCAAATTTAAATACAAACGCACTGTAGAGAATCAATGATAGAAACGTGAAGAATAAAGATATAATTTCAAGACCAGTAGACCAATCGACTCGTACTTTAAATATGGTTCGAGCTTCGTTTCGAAGTGTGTCTAAATTGAATTCTTAAAAAAGAAAAATTGTTAGTAATAAATATAAATCTGTTTTTCGGGACAATTCTTTTTCTTGCCAAATTATGATTGATATTTAAACAAGTTTAGTGTTGAAAAGAAAAACTTTTAATAGTCGTATATTAACACTCAAAGTTTTGTTGCTCTTCTATGCCTCTGGCATATTCAAGAATTAATAATATTTTGATCTTGAGACTTTTGGAGGTTTTCAATTTGACTCTAGGACATAGTTACCAGTGCTTGGTTGATGCAAAAGATACATCACATCTCGTGACAAATAACTTCCGACAAGTATAAGTGCAATCAGGATGAATATGAATGCTAATAAAAGTAAAATTAACGGCAAGAGACTAAGAATCATGCCCAATGAACGCGTTTCTGTTGCATTGATTGAATGAATAAATAGAATAATAATAGTAAGACCAAGAAATATCGACGCGATGATGGTACATGCTGCTATACCTTTTGTTGATGGTAGAAAATCACATGAACACAATGGATTGGATTCTCGGGCCAAACAACTAGTTTGCGGATTACAGCTATTATTGCCTGGGAACATATTAGGAAAACATGTCTCCTGCTTGAGAGTAGGTGAAATTATGCACCGTGTGAACAGACCAATGGTTGTATAGTTAAAAGCAAGTGGATTAATAGTGTTCATATCTCTGAGATCGGCTTTTTTCCAATGATGATGTCCCATAGCAGTAACATGAAAGATGAATGCAAATACGACAAGAATAAAAACAGCAAAATAGAAAATTTTTGCCTTTTCCACCATTCTACTAGTTTACACAGTCGAATATCTATGCAAAAATACTAAAATCAAACAAAAATTATTAAAACCGGTTGCGTCGTTTTGTTGTCAAATAACTACTACGGTGTTGAATTTCTCTTGAGGAGAGGAGAAAAAAAAACTTGACTTTGCTTACGACTCGAAATATTTGACACCTATGCCAAATAGAAGAAAACGAGTTCATTCATCTTCGAATGAGATTTATATATTTTGTTTCATCCTCTCTTAATCATGAGAGATTCGTTTTCTTCTTCTTCCTTGTTCTTCAGTCTTGTCGAAAGAAACGAAGCAAAATTTTTCGAGGCAATACAAGGACAAGTCATATTCGTTCGTCTAGAGAGCAGATTACAGACAATTGAATGTGTGAGTTATGTAGGAGTAAAGTTGATACAGTGTATCAAATGTGAGGGTTTTTTTCTCACTTTCTTCCTTCGTTTTTTATTCTCTCGTTTTTCTCTTTCACTACATGATTATCTCGCATCGATGTTGCACGGATGGGAGTCTCATTAAGATAGAGAAAAAAAAGGTTATAAGTATTTACTTAAATAAAATAGCCAAGGAAAAATAACATAACTAGCCCACATTTGAATATTCAATCAAATTTTATTCATTTTTATTATATTTTTTATTGTACATAATTCCCTAGTCAACTCTCCCTAGAAGAATCCCCAGGGAGTCCCTAGAGATTTCGTTCCTTTTAGGGGATTCCCCGGGAAGTTGTCTGGAGAAAATAGATGAAATATCTAATTGCGAGTAAATTCTTCTTAATTTTAAAAATTTTTTTTTTATTTTGAAAAATATCATCGATTCTCCCCAGAGAAATCCTCGGGGAGTCGTATGGGGAGAGTGAATTAGGGTTACAACAGTTCGAACGCTCTTAACTTAGTTATTCATCTGCAATAAAAGCGAAAATGAAAAGACTAGGTTCTTGATCGTTTACATATTATTGTGGCTATTATCGTTCCTATTTGCATATATTGATTCAAAAGCATACATTAATACATGTTAAGTGCTAATCAATTTTATGTTTTTATGTATCAAGCAAATAAAATGCACAAAGTTTCAAAGCAAAAGAATATATTAATCGAAAATTTTAATAGTATTTATACAAAAATCTAAAAATAGCATATGATGTGTTCGGAGAATATCCCCGGAAACTCGATTAAGTGCTAGGGAACCGAACCTAGAAGATATAACAGATATAGAGATATATAGCGTATAGGGGGGGGG